GTTATTCAAGAACAACCCCGTGAACCGTGACCGTATCATCCCACTAGACTTCACCAACACCAAAACCTTACCCGACTCTCACGTCTGGTCTGATTCCGAACCCGAACTCGAACCTGAACCCATGACCCGAGCCATTCCCGTTGTCAGCTTGTCCAGCCCGGAGCAGGTACTACTACAACATGCCTGTGAGGAATGGGGCGTGTTTCATATCACAGACCATGGGGTCCCACACTTGTTACTCCAAAACGTTGAGTGCCAAATGAAGAGGCTTTTCTCTTTGCCCATGCATCGTAAGATCCTAGCCATTCGATCACCAGATGAGTCCACTGGTTACGGTGTTGTTCGGATTTCCATGTTCTATGATAAGCTCATGTGGTCTGAGGGATTCTCTGTTATGGGTTCCTCTCTTCGACGTCACGCTACACTCCTATGGCCCGATGATCATACCGAGTTCTGGTGAAAATTCGAAATTTTCTATATTTGATACTTTTTCAGTTTTTGGCTCCATTTACCAGTAACATTTATGATAATCTGGCTCTAATAGCGCGACATAAATACATATATATTGTCACGAAGTATAATTAATGTTATAGCTAGAAGATTATTTGGACGAATCTAAACATGACATTTTTGTTGTTTTTTTCCCAACAAACATGACTATTTTTGAAATCACAATTGAGTATATTACTGACTTACTGTAGACAAACGATGCTATATGTTTAATTTGACAGCTATATTACTCAAATCCAAATGCATTCTATATAACATTGTCATAAACTAATATGGAATATATCTGATGCTCAACATCAGTTTAAAATATTTTTTATAATTAAATGTCTTTGTATGTGTTCTTGGAAAATGCAGCAATGTGATGGAAGAGTATCAGAAGGCAATGGAAGATCTCAGTCACAGACTAGTAAGCATAGTGATGGGTTCGTTAGGACTAACACATGAAGAGTTGAGATGGCTTGTACCGGATAGAACCGGTTCAAGAACCGACTCGATTCAATCTTTTCTACAGTTGAACTCCTATCCGGTCTGCCCTGACCCTCATCTAGCCATGGGCTTAGCCCCTCACACCGACTCTTCCCTGCTCACCATCCTCTATCAAGGCAACATTCCAGGTTAGAGATATAGGAGATTTTCCAAATTTTAGTTTTTGGTGTAAACGTATACCAAATTGTTTTGACTAATGCGGTATTTCCTTTTAAAACATATCTTGTACTTTGAACATCAATGAAAGCAATTGTTAAAAAATGTATTACAAAATTTGTTTAATCGATTGAAACGGAAGTAAGCGGACATAGATATCAGAAAATGCGTATGTTTATTCCAAAATGTCATAAAATCATAAGTTTAGGACTATGCATTGCACTGGTCAGGTCTAGAGATTCAAAATCCACAAGAAGAGTCGAGATGGATAGGAGTGGAGCCAATAGAAGGAGCTCTTGTTGTTATAATGGGAGATTTGTCTCATATCATATCCAATGGACGGTTCAAAAGTACGATGCACCGTGCGGTTGTCAACAAGACGCACCACCGTGTCTCGGCCGCATATTTCTCCGGCCCACCCAAGAACCTTCAGATCGGTCCACTGACCAGAGACAAGGACCATCCTCCTATCTACAGACGTTTGATATGGGAAGAGTACCTTGCAGCAAAAGCAACACACTTTAACAAAGCCTTGACTTTGTTCCGTTGCTGAAACATAAAATATAAACTAATGTTTACTTTGGTTATTGTTTGATTTGCGTCGTTGCATTTGAATGTGTATTCTATTTGTTTCGTATTTTATGTCAAATTTCTATAAAAAAATTGCTCAATGTTGGTTTTGATATCTTCATTTTTTTTTGTTTTATTCTTGTTGAATATCTGAATATGTTGGGTTTGATCTTCTAATTTGTTTAAGTTCAATTAAGGGAGGTCAACGTAACTGAAATAATTAAAACAAATAAAATCAAATTAGACCAACTTTTCTTACATAAAACGATCACCTTGATAATACCAACCAATTTAAGGGACAATTTGGTAGAATGTTGGGATTAAATTAGGAAAACAGCAAAAGGCAAATAAGCTAGAAGGAACTAGTTAAAGGATGACGAACGGTGATTTGTAGACTTGATTATTTACATTTGATGCCACTGAGTGCGCGTGGGTGAGTGGAATAATGAAGTAGGTGATGACGAGTATTAAGTGGTTGATGGCGGATATATGGATATTTATGATATGAGTTTAAGTTGATTTTGAGTTTCGTAATAAATGAGGAGACATGATATATTCGCCGTCGCTTTACATAAGCATGATATAGACAGAGGTGATGGCGAATTAATGTCATATGTAATGCTGCAACAAGATTATTGATGAGCGGGGCGGGAAACTAAAATATATGGGCACACCTAGGTTTATGGACTATCCATAAATACTAGTTCCTGCTTCTAATTCCATAGAGCGCTACAAGCTGAATAATCAGGTAAATTATTCTGAATTCTTTTATACTGTGTATGAATATCTATGTTGTAACTTGAAGCATCTCTCTTATTAATAACGGCATCGTTATGAATTTGATATTGTTAGGGATTATCAACAATGGTACAACTGTGGGATCTCCTCAATGATCTAGTGCGGACAGAGCAAGGGTGGTGGATGAAAGATGCCAATGGGGTTTGACGGTTTGTGTTACTGGAGGATAGGCTTAACAAAGTTATAAAGTTGTGGGAGGACCAGGGAATAGCTTCGGTCAATGCGACAGTATGTAGAGAGCTAAACATCGACATGGATGAGGAGAATGTTGTGCTTACGTACGAGATGCCGAAGTGGATGGACGGTGATGGAATTGTAACGGGTTATTTGAAATGATGGGGATTTGTGATGATATAAGTGTATCGTAAATGTCTATTAACATTAGTGGAGTGATATATCATTTTAAAGTGGTTATGTTATTTCTTAGTTTGTTATATGTGCGCATCGGATCATGTACTGGTAATTTATATTATAGTGTGTTATTTTCTTTCATAGATATTTATCTTGCTCATGCATCTATAATATATGTTAATCTACGAGCTTATATAACTGTCTATTAATATTGGTGGGGTGTCATTACATATAATGGACAGATATATAAATGGCTGTTAAAAGAATACTAAATAAATGTGTACAATAGGTTATAGACGTCTAATATATTTGACAAACGGGTTTTCACATGATTGGATCAAACAGAGAATGTCATATTGGATGTGGTATATGAAGGAGATGAGTTATATTTGGGCTGGGTGTTCAGGAACAAACGAGACTGCAAGGTTAAGATAGCTGATATCATCTCTATCATGTTAGGCACACTTTCATCGTTCTGCCGAGCCTTTGTTGATTTCCTACCTTCCTTGACTTTCTTAAGCCCCGCCAAACTTTTTTTCCCCGTACATTTCCCTTCACGTTTCTGACTTTGTATAACCGCAGGTTGTGTCGATGGAGCACCACCTTTCTGACCCCCAACAAACATATCTCTACAAAATCATGTACCCTCTGCAGAAAGCATCTCCAAGTGATCCACCTTGGGGTCGTCTACTTCAACAGGCCATGCGAAGGCACTTGGGGGGTTCCATCGAATTCGTCTTCGATTATTGAAGTCACAACCACCTACAAAAATAACCGGCATGCTGATTTATAAGGCCGCATGTTGACATTTAGATATCCACGTAATCATGAATCCGATTAGATTGTTGGAGATCTATAATGTAGGATACGGGGCTACGCAGATTTATAGTTAAGTTATCTAAATGAAATGATTATGACTATATATCAATGAGGATGTACATATATGAATGTGATCTCTTTGCCTTGACTTGAATATGCAACTAATTCTACTAACCATTAAAGTCTAACTAGTGAAATGGATGACTATATATCGAATCGGATGTGCATATATGCATGTGGAGATCTGGTTTCTGAGTATGAGATTTTGTTGTAATTGTTGAAGATCTGATTTTGAGACCTAAGGTTTCGTCACTTATGCAATGTTTCTGGAAAAATCAAAGACTGGAAACCCGACAAAGGTGGGAATCACTTCCCATAATTGAATGAGACAACAGGAATATCTTCCCATAATCGGATAAGGTAACAGCAAAAAGTCAGAACTTAGTAGTAAAAAACAGTTGGAACAGAAATATACAACCGACAGATGGATGTTACTTGGATATTCAACTCTCGGTGGGTGAGTCGCTATATTTCACCGACGAACAATTATTTTTCCTCTATATCTGGTTAATTCCCCTGTCTCTGGTTTGCTTTGGGTTTATCGGGTGAATAAAATCCGAAAATGGCGGTGTGGAGCTATAAGATTTCATGAAAGCAATATGGTGAGTTTTTTAGGTGTTTGATTTCCAAAGAAGACGAACTGTCTGTATGGTTCCACCAAAGAAAGAGGGTGAGATATTAAATATGTGGTTTCATTCGCCACACAAAGACAGAGTTGTGACTTTTTAAATTTAACTGAGTAACATAATATTTTATTTTTTTATAGGTCCATTATACAGAATATTTCATATCATGACTGGATTTGTGGAGATCTAAGAAAGATGATAGCGTGTGAGGATATCGTGGACAAAAGGAGTGACAAATTAATTTAATGCTCGAACGATGAAAAACAATAGTCAATCCCTTAATTCACTACCAGTCTTTAGCCATCTAGTGCAATTTCCCCCAGTTTAATTAGTAGTTGTTTTGAAAAAAGCTATGGTTAAGATGTTTCGGCATTTGCAAATTCATGAAACATTTTACATTTGATTAAAATTATTTATTTCTTATCCTTAATCAATTTTAACAACTTATTTTAGTTTAATTTTTATCTTTAACCAGATTAACCCATTTTTAATTTATTACATAAATGGATTAATTAAGTTATAAAAAGGTACAACTTTGAAGCAAGCGGATCTTGGAAATGAAATGTCAGAAAGAGGAAGGAGGAAGAAACAGAGTATGTAAAAGTTTCTCACTTCCCCATTACAATGGCGACTTTTCGGCCGCCCTCTTCATCTTCACACTACCCTTCTAAATTCCTTTATTTACAATCATGTCCTTCTCTCTTCTTTCTCCTCCTCTCTCTGACCTCTGCAACTTCACTCACCGTTTCATCCTTAGTGAATCCTAACTCCTTCAAAACCCCACGAATCCCTTACTCCGATCACTGCAACCACATAGTTCCGGAGTCTCCGATCGATCCTTCCCCCTCCGCCGCTTTTAGCCGCGCGTCGCTTGCATTCGATGTCAGCTTCTTCTCCGGCGGCGACTTCTTCTTCAATCGGAATCAACCACGGAATGGTGACACTAAATCGGCTAGGTTTAGGCCTAAATCCGTCCGCAAAACTCTGGGCGATGGTAAAATCTACAAGGTCGAAGCCAGATTGACTTTGCAAATCTCCAGAACCTCCGCTTCGTCCTCTAATTTCGCCGGCGATTTTGGCCAACGAAAGATTCAGGTAACGCAGATCGACGGACGGGGGATTCCGATGAGTTCCTGGGGAGGACCCAGTTTCGATTTTTCTGGGTTTTGGTCGGAATCTACAGGACAAGTCTGTATGGTAGGATCAACCCAAGTTTTCTCTGGGGAAGGTATCGATTTGAAGTCCTTTGATGCTCGTCTCTTGCTTAACTATTCCAAGGACTCTAATATCTATGGAAGTTTGGTTAAGGGAGTGTTAGAGACTGTGAACAGCCAGAGTAATTTCGAGAGGATCTCGATTCTTGCTGCAAGAAACACTCCTTTAAACTATGAGTACAAGTTGTTAGAGGAGTCGAAATCGGGTTGCGGGAGAAACAGTGAAGAGAGTTTGTCGTTAGAGAGTGTTTTGGGAGGAATGTGTAAGGTGTTTGAAGGTAGAAGTCATATGTTTGGTTTGAGGTATGCAACTGATTGTGGGGTTAAGATTAACCATAGTTGTAGTCCTTTGGGAAGTGAGATAGAGTACACACCTGGTTTCATGTCTCTGTTATCGTTTCTGTGTGATGGTGAGAAGATGCGATTGCTTTTGTCATTTAGTAACACAAGCGGTTTTAGCAGGTTGTTTCCTTTTGATCCGAGCACCAGTTTGGTTGCTGAGGGAGCTTGGGATGTAGAGAAGAATAGGTTCTGTGGTGTTGCGTGCAGGATCTTGGATTTCTCGGATTCTTTGAGTAATGCTGTGGTTGGTGATTGTTCGATGAGGTTAAGTTTGAGATTTCCTGCTGTCTTGTCGATTAAAAGCATGGCTCCGGTCGTTGGGCAGCTTTGGAGTGCTAAAACAGAGAGTGATCCTAGCTACTTAATCGAGTTCTCGAGCCTAAACGATCCCTTGTGGCGTTTCTCGGGTCTGAGGTATGAGTACACAGAAAGCGAGAGATTGAACAAGCTATGCGGCACTAGAAAGAGTCATCCAAAAAGCAAAGGAAATCATTACCCTGATGCTCAAACTTCAGACATGAGATTTGTCATGTCAGTGAAATTTTCTGGAGAAGGTAATGTGTTGAGATCTGCCCGTGCAAGCCCTTACTTCGTGGGAGATGGATTGTATCGTGATCTTTTGGTTCGTGGGCAAGGGGCTGGGGTAGCTGGAATCCCTATGAATGTTAACGGTGTCACCAAAAGCTTCACAAATATCACTTACAGAATCCGTTTCTTGAATCCTGTATCTGAGTCTCGTGGAGATATCTATGCAGAGGGAACATATGATAGGGATACAGGTGAGCTATGTATGGTTGGATGTCAAACACTTGGGATAAAGAGCACAGTGGCAATGGGAAAGGAGACTGTGGATTGCAGTCTTGCAATCAAGATCAAGTTTTCTCCAATTGATTCGAGAAGCGATGAGCGGCTAAAAGGAACCATCGAAAGCACACGGGAAAAGACAGATCCGCTTTATGTTGCACGTATGGAGGTTTTGTCGAGGTCGATTTACGTTCATCAAGCCAAAGAATCTGTTTGGAGAATGGATTTGGAGGTTGGTATGGTTTTAATATCCAATACACTTTCGTGTCTCTTCGTAGGGATGCAGCTCTACCATGTGAAGAAACACCAAGAAGCACTTCCTTTCATCTCCATTACAATGCTGATGCTTCTCACACTAGGCCACATGATTCCTCTGCTGTTAAACTTTGAAGAACTCTTCAAAAGCAGCCATAACCAGGAGAGCTTGTTCTTCGAGAACGACAGATGGCTTGAAGCCAAGGAGATTGTGGTGCGGATAGTGACAATGATAGCTTTCTTGCTCGAGTGCCGTCTTCTCCAGCTAGCTTGGACTGCTAGAAAAACCGAAGAGCATCATCTCCGTGAAGGCGTGTGGAATGCAGAGAAGAACGTTTCTTATGTGTGTTTACCTCTTTACATCACCGGTGGATTGATTGCTTGGTTAGTGAACCGTAATAGAGCTCCTAAAAGAGTTGTATACATAGGGAAGCCGCGCGCACGGAGTCTCTTGTACCGTCCTGTGACCCTGAAACGCTCGTTTCAACGTCCTTCTCTGTGGAAAGATCTGAAGTCTTATGGAGGTTTGATGCTTGACGCTTTCCTTCTTCCTCAAATACTCTTCAACGGATTCAGCAACTCGGAGTCTAAGCCTCTTGCTGCTTCGTTTTACGGTGGAAACAGCATTGTTCGATTGCTCCCTCATGCTTATGATCTGTACAGAAGTCACAGCTACGGGAAGATTCTTGATTGGTCATTCATTTATGCGAACCACAAAATGGATTATTACTCCACGGCATGGGACATCATTATCCTCTGCATCGGTTTCCTCTTGGCTTTTCTGGTTTTCTTGCAGCAGAGATTCGGTGGTCGTTGTTTCATTCCCAAGAGATTCAGAGAGAATGTGGGATATGAGAAAGTTGTAGAGCTACAGCAAGCTGGTCAGCTACACAGTTCCAATGATTCTTGACAATACATATAGATGCACAATTTTGTTGACATACAATTCAATAATCTTGTCTGTTATTATTTTTGGCTGTAATCTATAACAGTATTTTGTTTGTGGGGAAAACAAATTGTTAGAGAGTAAAAAGGTAACCAAATTTTTGAAGCTCTAACTTTTGCATTCTGCTGATTCAATGAGAGTAAGCGGGAATTGAAGAAGAACAAAGGATTCATTTGTGACATGATCTTGACAATACAAGATTCCGGTCCTTGTAAGATCATGTTCTATTGTTGAAGCAAAACTCACATCATGTTCTATCGTTGAAGCAAAACTCATATCTTGAGGATATCACATTCACGAATCCTTGTCTCATAAGACAACTTTGCAATCACATCAAGCAAGAAGAAGAAACTCTCTCAGCAGGGACTTCTTGTGCTGAGAATCGCCGTGGTTTCGTCATCGGTTTCAATCTTGTCGTCTTCCATGCGCTGCAACAGAGCGTCAACGTTGCTTCCGCCTTCTCTTATATCAGCTTTAACAAGAGCATGATACATCTGTCTGTTCACACCGATACAGTTCCTAAGAGAAGCAACAAAGCTCTCTACTTCTTTCGAGCTTCCTTCATCCCCGAGCCAACTCAACACACTCGTGACCAGCTTCATCCCAGGTCTCCATTTTTTGTTCCCCACTTCTATACCTAACGCAGTTTTCAAACACTTATAAGCATTATCCAAAGCACCATTTTCTGCATAAACAGCAGCCACAAGCCCCCAAGAATCTGGTGTGGTAGCTTTCCCTCTCCTCGCTAGATCTTCAAGCATCGCTTCTGCTTTCTCCTCCATACATTTCCCAACGTACGCACGGATCACGACACTAGGGACTCGAAAGTCGTAACAGTTTCCCGACGATCCCCATTCCGTAAGCACCTCCTCAGCTTCTTTCAAAGCATCAATCTTCACAAGTGACTGCAACACCGTAAGACAGTCCTGATTGATTCGCCTTTTACAAGCATCTTTCTCCAAATCCCATAACCTTAACACCTCTCCCTTTTCACCTAACCTAGCATAGAGCGTAATGAGATGATTGTAACCTTCACCATCTTTACTCTCCAATAAATTTTCCGACATTTTAAGAAGCTGAATCGCTTTGTCACGATAACAACCATCGATATAGAACTTTGCTGCGACAGCATAAGTGTTCCAGTCCATTGTCATATACTGTTGCCTCTCCATATCCCGCAAGATGGCGCCAAGACTCTCGAGATCAGACATAGCACCGAAAGCATTAATGCAGATCCTGAAACTGAAGTTATCAGGAGAAACATTGTCTTCCTTCATCTCATCCAATACACTGGGGACTTTCTCGTGCTGGCCGAGATTCGTGTAGAGGCACATGATGTTGTTGTAAGTGAGAGAGGAAGAAGCGAGACCCATCTCCTTCATCTTCCGAAAATGCAGCAGAGATTTCTCAACGTTCTGTTGCCTGACGTAGCAATTCAGAAGCGCTCCGTAAGTCTTGTCGTTCTTGTATTGCTCCTTGAGGTTCTCGAAATACTCTTCTGCAGAGACGAATCCATGGACTCTGCCAATGAGATCGAGATGAACAGCGTGTTCCGTTGGAGAGAACACGCATACACCAGTCTCGTTCATCCATTTTGAAACCTGGAAAATAAAATAAAAATCCCTCGGAAGATTTTCTCGGCAGGTAAAAGAGAGAAAGAGAGTTGATTCTTTCACAAAAACCACATAAGAGAGAGAGAGAGAGAGAGAGAGAGAGAGAGAGAGAGAGAGAGAGAGAGAGAGAGAAGGAACCTCGAGAGCGTGGCGGAAGCGTTTGCGTCTACGAAGGTCGTGAACGATGCGAATAAGCTCAGCAACAGAGACTTTCTTCCCGCATTGAACCCAGTTCTGGAGTTCTGGGTAGACGCTTGATTTAGGGTTTCCTAAAGGACTGATTTTGGAGTAAAGTGTCGTCTTTCTCAATCTGTTAGTGTAGTAGTACCTGCTCGCGATCAAATTCGCCGGAAATCGCCTCAGTATATTCATCGTTTCCGGCGAGGAAGAAGAAGAAATACAGTGGAAACTCTGCTTAGTTAGTTGTCTGCGAATAAACTAAAGGTCTCGAGTTCGATGCTCGATAACAGCATCATGTTTGTAACCTGATTGAGAGAAGTGGAAGAATCATGTGACTATTGGGTTTTCATTTCTGATTCAAAGGGCCATCTTCGTTTTACGCATACATGATTTGATCTCAACTATGTTTTCCTATGCTTTACAACTATCTCTCATTTGCTATTTGGATGTACAGTCTCACGACTGATTCAGGTAATAGAATAGCTCCTCTCATTCAATTATCAACTATAGAGGTATGTTTTGGCTATCTTCTAGATAGAGGTGAGTTTTAACTCTCAACAATGTAACGCTGATTTGAGAATAAACCTTTTTTATCGTCTCAAAAGAAAGATACACACATATAAACGGTACAATTTTTTTGTAATTTAGTATTGTTACAAAGCTATTAGCCAGAAGAGAAAAAGAAAACTCCTCACTTTCTGCCTTTAGTATTCATGTCTTTGGTGAGCATCCGTGGCGCAATAGCCATTGACATAAGCTCCTGAAAGAGCAACTTGCAAGCATATGGAATGTGAACCTGTGAACATTAGATTATATGAAATGCCACCAGTCAGACAAGTGAGCATGAACGAGAGAGGAAAGATGAATCCAAAATCAGTTGTGGAAACACTTACCTGAACAATATCTGTTTTGTTCTTGCAACCTCTGCACTCGAATGAATTCTTCTTCAGGTTTGCAATGGCGATGAGCCCACAGGTTTCACAGACATGCACCCTGTAGGCATCGCTCTGATCAAAGAGCCTCTCCTTCAAAAAGTTGGCAGCACCATGCGCAATCATGCAATCACGTTCCATCTCTCCAAAACGGAGACCACCATCACGGGATCGCCCTTCAGCCGGTTGTCTTGTTAAGATCTGCACAGGACCTCGTCCACGCGAGTGGATCTTGTCGTCGACCATATGCTTCAGTCTCTGGTAATACGTTGGCCCAAGGAATATCATAGCTGTAAGTGGTCTGCCCGTGTGACCATTGTACATTCTCTCAAATCCACGCATTTGGTACCCGCACTTATGCAGAGCCTTGCTTATATTATCCACCTGAAGAGACACGACAATGGTCATCAAATATATATACACTGAGCCACAACTAACCAAGCAGAGCTAAGGGGCAATGAAAAAGTTACCGTGACATCTGTGAAAGGAGTCGCGTCTCCTTCTTTTCCCATGTGAGCTGCCACTTTTCCCATGATGCACTCAATTAGCTGACCAATTGTCATCCGAGACGGAATAGCATGTGGATTCACAATGATATCGGGAGTGACGCCTTCAATTGTCCAAGGCATGTCCTCCTGTGTGTACGTCATGCCAACAGTTCCCTTCTGACCATGTCTACTACTAAATTTGTCTCCAATTTGAGGAATACGAACGGATCTAACCCTCACTTTCACAAACCTCAAACCATCAGCGTTTGTGGTCAGCAACACCTACAAGATATTCAGAAGTTATAAGATCAGACAACTTTCAGAACACCAGCTTTATATGTCTTTATGTCACTAAAACAAGATAATGATCAGTTTCATAGTCTTTAAACTTTCTAAGCGCCAACTGCAAGGAAAATACCAACGTTACCTGATCCACCATTCCAGTTTCACTATGTCGCAAGCTTATACTATGATCACGTCTAGTGTATCGTGATGATTGTCCCTGAGCCTCATCTTGAGATATTGGAGTGGTTTTCCCAATGATTACATCTTCACCTGAAACTCTAGTACCCTATACGAGAAAAAGAAAAAAATTGTATGATACGCTTTCTAACATTAATCGCCTAATCATATCAGATACAAGAACCATTAAAGGAACAAAAAATTATATACTTACAGGAGGTGCAAGACCATCATCGTCCAATTTTTCATAAGATCCATGACGCATACCCTGCAGCAGGAACCCCAAATGTTGAACTTCACTTACAACAAGCACTACATAAATATGAACCGTGAGTGTCAAATTATGTCTTACCATTGTACTTGCTCTGTCCGGCCGCCCAAAGTCTTCTTTGACAAGCGTCCCCATCTTTTTCTCTTCGTCTCTGACAGCAGACAGATTGCAGTATAAATAAATGGAAAGACCGAAAGCAAAATGTCCCCAAGTATGGCAAACTCACCTGTAAGATCGAAAGAACAAGGACCGAAAGAAACCACGATCTATAGAAGACTGATTCATGATGACGGAATCTTCCTGATTGTATCCCGAATAGCAAGAAATGGCAACAATAGCATTCTACACAAGAAGATAAAAACAACAATTGAGAGATTAGATAGAAAGAGTAAAAGCTGAATTCTGAAAGACTTTTAGCAAAATAACTCACAATTCCTGCTGGAAGTTGCCTAAAGTGAAGATGCTCCATAGCTCTTGTGGTAACCAGAGGCTTTTGAGGGTAATACAGAACATAGGCCAAGGTATCCTGGTTGACAGAACAATAATAAATAATATCATAAGAGCATGTATGATAAGAGATAACAGGATAAGACCACAAATTAAGAGCCTAGAACATACCATGCGAAATTGGTAATTGGTGACATAAATTCCCATTGCTTGCTTCCCCATAGCAGATTGATATGTATTACGAGGTGACTGGTTCATCAAAACACAGAAGTGGCAGAAAAGTGTAAACGAGTTAGTTAGCATTTTTTTTTAAAATTAACATAACTAATTTGCTTCTCATGGACAAGTCAATTAAAGAGAGTGAAACCTGATTGTGGTCGGGAAATGGTATGATCGAAGCACATACACCCAATATTAAAGACGGGTGAATTTCACAATGTGTATAAGTTTCAGAATATGCCTCGTCGGGACGGAGTCTAGCTTGAACCAGATCCTAAAAAAGAAATTAGAATTGAGTTTTCTGTGCAAATAAGGGCATTACAAGTGCATTTATTCACATTATCAATTCAACCTCTAGACATTCTATTACTCACATTGATAGTCATGGATATCATAGTCGTCTCCTCTTCCTCTGTGTCTATGTATTCTATAAAACCCTTTGCAACTAGATGATGCCAACCATCTTCTTCTGCACTTTCCTGGGATATGAAAACAACTATTGGTACAACGAAGTTATACAAACGGTACTTTGAGAACAGAAGACTAGAGTTTTACCCTTTGTTGCAGAGCATAGATATCTCTCTTCTTTATTAAGAGCCTCTGGTTATCCACAATAAACAACGGACGGCTACAACGACCATAATCAGTATATATCCGGAGCTCTTTTAGACGGATATCTCTAACAACGCCAACTTCAGTGTTAACATCAACCTGCAAGAGGAAAGTCATATTGAATATCACTTATATTAAAAGTTGGAATTTATTTGCTAAACTATTTTGAAACGTGAAAGAAATTGCATGCTTACCCTTCTTCTTAGACGTCTCAACGTTTTCACTAACATGTCAGGATCTCGATGAACTCCAACCCACATTCCATTGACAAAGATTTTTGTGGCTTGGGGTATAACAGATGGAGAGATTTCCTACAATCAAGATAAAGCCTTGAGTAAATCACAGGAAATGAAACGACAGAGATCAATGAAATGTAAGAAACTGACTGTGAAGTGCTACCGACCTCAAAGTTCTCAGTACCCCATTCTTCCAAAAATTCCAGTATGGGATAAGCAGCTGACCCAACTGTTATGTAGACCATGAGCGCCAAGTTTTTCACTAGACCACAAGCCTGGAACAGCAAAGCCACAATAAGTAATGGAACTAAATGAAACCCGTAACAACAAAATTTATATAAATGCAACAACTTTACCTGTCCTTCAGGTGTTTCAGCAGGGCACATCATTCCCCATTGTGAGTTGTGCAGTTGTCTTGGTTTTGCCAATTTTCCTGACATATAAGACTCGATTAAGATTCAGGTGGGAAAACAGAACTACAAGCCAATCTAAACTTGCAAGGATGTGGTGGATAAAGAGAACCATGACTAAAATACGCCAACTGCACTAACATATACATTGAGACAAAATAAAGGTGCAGGAAAAGAACGAGGCGTTACCTTCACGCCCTATAGGAGAATTGAGACGCCTCAGATGTGACAAAGTGGAAGCATATGTTAACCGATTTAAAACCTGTTGTTAGTTAAACCATTAGAACCATGTATAAACCACAACTGTAAACCTAATAACATATATTAAAATACTAACTCAGCTGAAAAACAGAAGTCACAATGAATTATCCTAACCTGAGAAACTCCAGCTCTTGTGCCAGCTGCGTTTGCCTGCCCCCAGTTCCCAGTAGCAAGAGAATATTTCAGGCCAGAGGTAATTGTTTTAGCCTTAATGGCAAATTGAAGATTCACTTCTTTGCCATTGTCAACGCACTGTCAAAACGACATCAATCAGACTTCCAAACAGGACAACAAGCTAGATTTAAACTCTTCAGCACGAGAAAGAGAAACTAGGTAAGAGACCTTCTGAACGTAAGATCTCACATCCCTCGTTAGCTTTCTGAAAAGCTGCATTAAAGAAGATGTTAGGTCAGTAAGAGATAAAATAAAATGAGACTTAAAATTCTTAAAAAATTTCCCAGCAATGCATGACTGTGGCACGATTCATACCATTCTAAATAGCCCTCCAAGTAAAGGACCAGCAAGGTCCAGCCTTTTGTTACCATAATGATCCCTGTCATCTTCTGGCCTTCGGCCAAGTGCACAAAGCAGCAGCCGATGTATGATATACCTAAGGGTTATAGAATAATATGAGCAACACAGAACCATATGAAATCTAAAAGAATACGATTGGGCTTAGCTAAATACGTACCCGAAATAGTAAGCTTTCTTCGTCTCACAAAACTCTCCAATTCCTACATGAGGAAGCATTTCTTTCTGAAGGATATCTTTCGCATACCTGCAATGATAATATTGCAATTGCAAACCTCCAGTGTCAACATCTCAGTACTTGACATCTTAGATCACAATGCCTAACTTAACTGGTGTAATTACATACTTTATCCTCTTTTCCTTGGTTACACCAACAGTTGCACCACGTTTCCCAATATAGTCAAGTGCAACCTGAAGCAATATTAAAGTTATCAACTGATTGCAGGATTTATCTTCAAGCACCCAACATGAGAAGAGTCAGAGTGAACCAATGAAAGTTCAGTGGATACCTGCTGATTTTGAATAACGAAAGCTTCTTCTAAGGAAGGCCTGAGCAACTCCATCATCTGAGTATCGGCAAAATCATAGCAAATGTGTTCCAATATGTCCTTATCGGCAACAAATCCTAACGCACGAAACACTATGATAATAGGAATTTCTGTTCTGATGTATGGTAGAGTACACCGAATATACTGTCCAGATGAACCCTGCATCCATTTGCCCCATAGAGTTAGAATGTAACTTATATACCATATTCAAGAATTTACAGATAAAATATTGAGGAAAGTTATGGTAAAAATTAAGACAATTAGCTTTATCTTACCCCTTTCGCACTAGCACGAGCAAGCATGCGCACAAACATCGTGCTTGGAGGCCTATTTTGGTTCTCAGCCATGGACCGGACTTCGCCAACATATGCATACTTATTTGGCTGTCTCTTCTTGAAAACATAAACATGGTTCGTACTCATCTTCTCCTGAGCAATCAGGACCTTTTCACTGCCATTAATAATGAAGTATCCGCCCTGATCATAAGGACACTCTCCAAGCTCTGTCAAATCTTTCTCCGAGTTCTGAAACAAGGTGCAGTAACTAGACCGGAGCATGATGGGAACCTAGAAGAATCAAAGAATAAGAAAACATTTCTAATGTCAGAACCACATAGTAGATGCAGCTTACTAAATCCTGCACAAAAGCAGCTTACTAAATGCTGCACAAAAACAAAGTTCACGGACCTTTCCAATGAAAACTTTGGTAAAATCCTGAGTCTCCGTAACTTCCTCACCATCATGCCCTTTCTTTATAACTCTCTTAGTAACATCGACATACAAAGGAGCCGAGTACGTGAGGTTTCTCAACCTTGCAGCCTTAGGGAACAAGGTGGCAGTCTCTCCATCAGATTCCGTCATCATGGGTTTACTCAGATAGATCTGTCCAAAACTGATCTTGTAGATTGTCTGCAGGAAAATTAGTTTTATCAGATGTGCAGCTAAAAAAATATACCAAGCACATTTTCCTAAGTGCCAAAACTGATCTGAGCTTCAACCAATAAAACCACTGAATATACACCTCAAAAAAACGAAGAGCTCAAGTAGGGAAATACAAAAATTGAAATCGGTACATCACGAGAAGGGAAAACCCTATTTGCAACAAAACTGTACATGAATTGTCTGCAGGAGAAATCTGAGTTTGAAAAAAGATAACCACACACATTCTCTTAATTTCAACACTGATTTGAGCTTCTACAAATATTCAACAAATTGTTGGTTTCAGGAAAGCGATTAGCTCAAGCATTGATTACACATATAATCTCAGGAAATCAATGAGATCAGCTACTGAAGAAGAGCAAACCCTAATTGCAACAAAACTGTAACAAGCTAAATCCGAAACACTTAAAGAATCCACAACCACGATAAAACCAACACGGAATTTCAATTCCTCGTTGAAACCCTAGAAAAGAAAAAAACCGAGGAAGGAACCAGCTTAAGAACCTCGGCAAAATCTGACTGGTGGCCAGGATTATGCTGGGATTCAGGTCGGATCTCGATATCAGCAGACTCATCGACGATTTCTTGCATAGTATTCTGAATAAACTCGTCGAACGAATCGAGCTGCTGACGAACGAGACCTTTCTCTTCGAAGTAAGCAGATATAACGGCCCATGCGTCCTCCTGGGTAATTTCCTCATCGTCATCATCTTCAATATACGTAGGAGGATCCTGTTCGTATTCGTTGTACTCCATTTTTATTATCCCCTCACTGAAGAACAGAGCGGAGCAAAACACTACTCAAGGCGAAGAACAAAGGGAAACGCAGAGAATGGGAGGGCTTCGCGAGTTTGAGAGTTTATACTAAAACCAAAAAAAAGGGGGTCGAGGAAGAGTCGGCTTACTTATGGAAATTGTCGGTTTGATTGGTCAACCGGTTTAACACGATCGGTTCGAATTGTTAAAGCGCTTGGACTGTAAAATGACGGAATTACCCTTACTATATAAAGAAAGTCTCAGATACTTTTTTACGGCTTCCGCGATATTTTCGGCTGAAGAGAGAGAAGGACGGAGAGTGAAGGCGGAGGAAGAGAGAAAGAGAGATGATACCGCAGCAATGGACGCCGCCGTGTGGGAGTCAATGCACGCATAAGTATGCAGCTCTTATGCAGATTCCATGTATGTACTCTCTCAATTTGATGACTGATTCAATCCGTAATGGCTTACTCAGATTTATGTTCTTGGCTCGTTTGTTTTGATGTTTTAGTTCTCGATGATTACGATCGCCCTTTCGAGAATTCTTGTTAGGAATGTGTGTTTAAGCTATTCAATTGTGTTTTTTTCGTTGATATCGGTTTCGATAATTGATAGATTTCTCATTTCTTGATCATGGATGATTCATAAGTCAATTCATCTTTCGAGGATCTCCTCTTTCTGTGTTTGGAATTGAATTGGGAACTGTTACTTGATAGTTTTTGGTTTCTTTTCTTCAGCTTCTTAGCCCTAATCAACTGTTTGGCGAATTTTGCTTTCATACAACTTTACTGAACATTGAGAGAAGTATATAAGAACATATTCTTTCTTCTTGGTTGAATAATGTAGATCGAAGAATATGGAGATTATGCAGAGTAACGGTTTTAAAGATGCTTCCGCATCAATGTTGCTTCTGTGAACTATCAATACATATGTATGCTTTAGCTGGTGAAAGGGCTTAGTTTCGCTGTTTCTGATGAAAGCTTTTTATACTTTGATCTCTCTCAATTCCATTCATGGTCACAAAAGCTCACTGAATGTATATCTATCATCCATGTTGTTGTGGAAAACTCTTTCAGGATCAATAGCAATCCGTTTTTTTATACGCTTATTCATCAGTTTAGGCACTGATGATAACCCTGAATCCCCTGTAGGGAGAGTGTTCTGCAAAAAGGGATGTGATGCTGATAGTGATACATTTGAAGATTGTAAGCATTTCTTTCTAATCTCTGAAATCCGTAATGAAATTGTTAAGAAAGTGAGGAGAAGATACATCTGTCCTCACTATGCAACATCAAAAAACCAAACTTGTCTCCTACATTCATGAAGATTTCTCCTCTTTTATAGGTGTATCAGACTGCAGCGAGATATGCTATAAAGATCCTGTGCTAAAAGACCGACAATGGAGTGCATACATAGATCGTTCTCCTGGAGCTGCCAGCTACTCTGAGGTATCCACAGTCTTCTTAAAAGAAAACCCTTTTCTTAAACGGAGAAATATAAACCGAACCGTATCTTAACTTGTTTTGCATGTTCCTCTGTTTATAAAACTCAGGAATGCTTTCACGCGTGTGTCGCAGGCTGTGGTTACAAGGTTTGGTTATCTTTGTGTTTGACATTGATTTTTATGTTCTTTGCAAATATGCTTCTTCTTTGTTAACGTGTGTGGCTGTTTGCGTCATCATCAAATGCAGTTTGAAGTTGAATCTGAGGAAGTCAATAAGGCGAAACCAAAGAGACCACCACCGCCACCGCCAAAGCCACAACCACCACCACGAGCTAAAAGACCAATGCAGTCTCCTACTGAGGATGTTCCTACAACTTCTGCTTGACATCAAACGCCTTGTGAACTGACTTCTTAAAACTCCTCAATTTTTTGGTAATCTAACATCTGAGGGAGTATTAATGTTCAGAGTAGCCAAACTTCAGTACATTTGGTTCAAGTTTCTTGATAGTTTTTGTAATAGAGAGAGTATATCGGAGGGACTCGTCCCATGGATGGACCTAGCGACCTTTTTAGTCCATAAGGCATATATATGAACTAGAAAGGCACAAACAGCTCTAGTTCATGTTCTTAAATGCTAACCGTAACACCAACATCACCACTTGACCATTCAAACTAAACCTTTAAACACACTTTTGTCTAGACAAAAGGTGAAAACATTTTTCTCTAGTAATTTAATTAGCCAGTAAAAAAATCATATAGTAATGAAATAAAAACTATAACCACCTAATGGTTCTTGGTACAATAAGTGAAGTATAACCTTCTTGAAATTTGTTGGTTTGCGTAAAGGTTTATCTAAAAATGTAAAGTAAATAAAATTAAATTTTAGTAGATTTCATTTTGTTTCGTTTCAATAAAAGTGATTTCGTTTTGGCTTCAGTTTTTGGGGTTTTAAAAAGAATGATTTTAATTTGCTTAACGATTTACTAAATATGTTAGTCCTGTATATGTAATATCATTTTCAAAAAACAACCATAACTTAAGGCCGCACATAAACCGAAAAATCTTTTGTATAATAAACTCTAAAAGTTTCTAACCATTAATCTATAATCTTTTAGAGTATCCGAGATTAGCTCTCTCTAATAATACTACACGTAAATTATTTTTCTTATATATGCTGAAACTAGCAATCATGACTTCTCTCATCATAACTAGTAGACCACCAAATAATTGGTTCATATATAAAAAAAAAATATGCATGACTATGGATTGAAAAAACCTACAAGTGTTTAATTTTTACAATCCAAATCTAAATAATAGTAGTTTTTTGCTTTATAAAACCAGAATATTTTGGGGTTTCCCGGAATCGCTCATCATCAGTCATCACCAATAGTGAATTCATTTCTTCAAGATTAAGAGTTGGTGACTTTGGTATCTTCTTTGTCAATGTTCTCTTTCTGTTATAACTTTTTGTCCTGTCAATATCGGTGAGACTCCGTGATGAAAAATTGAAAAATACTCCCAACTCTTCTTTATGAACCCCACAAGACAATAAACGGTGTCGTTTTAGGCTCATCGCATCACACAAAGCAGCTACTTAACTAGTTTAACGAGAAAAATAAAGAAAATAAAATTCTCTCTCTCACATGGCTCTCCCCTTAAACCGCGTTAGATCGGCGTCGATCTTTTCCTTCACTGTAACATTTCTCGCCATCTTTGCCGGGAAATCACTCGCCCAAGGCTTACGACCGTCGGATCATGGCTTACAGTATCAATTCAGCTCACCGCCTACCGAATCTCACTCACCGCCGGGGAAAATGATGTCTTTCTTCGGAGATTCTCATTCTCATTCTCCACCTCCTTCTCACTCTCAGCTCCTCCCAAAAGCTACGGCTGCAGACGGCGGCGACGACGATTCTTGGTGGCGAGACGGAGCTGAGAACAGACGTGATCACGTGATGAGGCACGTGTTTCTGGCGGCGAGCATAATCTGCGGCGTCTCCGGCGTTGCGCTTCTGGTGGTTTTCACATTGATTTACTTCTTTAGGTATCGGAAGTCAAATGGATCGGACTTCCCCTGTAACAACGATTCAAAGTAAAAATTCGATTTTGATTTTAAATTTTACTTTATGTTTGTATTATATTAATTGTTTTCTTAATTTATATTTAAAATATATATAGAGCACTTTGCTTTATTTCGAAGACTTTTTAAATGTTTTTGTTGCGTTAGACCACTGTTACAGACCCACGTCTTCTCTAATTATTGTTGTAGAAAAATAAAGAATTATAATATATGTGGTTACTATTAGCCACGAGGATCTGTGACTGTGAGGCTTTGAATTTACATGTGATGTCCAAAATAAAGTGATTAAAAAGAAGAAAAAGGATATTATTGTCTGTTCATTTAAATAACTTATGGAAATGGAAGATTCGTGCCAAAAACACATTATAATTGATGGAAAGTTCTTTGTAGTACGTTAATTTAATTGGTTAAAAAACTTTCTGTCGCCAATATAAATCCTATTTAAACAAACACTTGAACATAAAATAATGCAGTAATATACTTTTTTCTTTTGTTTGCAACTAAATTTTTTATCCACAGCATATTTATCACAAATTTGCCTTTAATCCCCAAAATTAATGCAAATATGTAATACAGATAGTTCACTAGTTCAATCTATTGCATATATCTTTTATCAGATTCACACAAACAAATACGTTAATCCACTACTAGCTAGTCTAAGAACTTTCTATCTTATTTTCACAGAGACAAAAAAATAGGAGAATCTTCTTTTTTTGATTAAGTTTTTTTTTTTTCAAATGATTCTCTCATTTTGCTAGTCTAAGTGGTCAGTTGGTAAATCTGTACGATGAAAACAGTTTGAACGACTTGATGTTGTGTAATACTCCATTTACGTAAATGTTGAAAGGAGAATGAGTAACGATAACTTTTGATAGGGATTTAAGTATAATACATACATTTTATTTACGTGCATGTATAATAAGTACTGTCTATCATTCATGATAGAAGATCAAATAGTATTGTTTAAGATGGCAGCATTAAATTATATAGATGCGCAAGTTTTCATTATTCTCCTAACAACGGGACCCAAATATCTGATCAGATGTTTTTTTTGTCTCTCTAGTGATCGTGTTGTCTGGCAATTGTTTGCTGTTCTAATAGCATGTGGTATCCCCTTGATTTGTAACTACTATCTTAATTACGATGTAACACAGATCTAATAATGCGTGTATAAATTGTTACATGATACAAAAAATAATCTTCAATTTATCATATGCATGGTTTTGTTAAAGTGTTTGTGACTCGTTATTGTGAGCTGTATCATTGCAGTAAAGGCTAGGAAAATCTTTCATGTGATACCTCGTTAGTGGGTTATACTCATTTACTACTTCAATTTCCCTGAAAAAGATGTACTATTATTGTCTATATATACAAACTATATTAATCATGATTCTAGTTGATAAAAACCGAGCGAAGTTTATTAATAAACGAGGGGGATGACGGAACCATTGAACATAAATCTTGATTCTGTAATTATTAAAAAGGAATAGTGCTTGTATTGAGCTTCTTACAATAGAAAATTTTTCATAAACATTTTGGAGTTGGCTTGTGATCGGTATATACCACCGATATGGAATATAAATTGTGTTTATGTACCATAAGAGATGATCTCCAACTAATATAACAAAAGCTGGTAATTTTTTTAAGTTAATTAAACAACCTTAGTACACAAACCAATTAAGCTAAAACAATTAAATAATTAGTTGAGATAAGATTACACCAAAATTGTGACGCCACTGCATAACTTCGAAACCCAGAAATTTGCATCTGAAAACGTAATTTCCTTTTTTTATTGAACAAAACTCCAATAACTTAACTTAATCTGATCCAAAAAATCCAAAAATAAAAGAGGAAATTACGTTTTCACCAAAAAAGGAAAAACAAAGAAACAAAGAAAGGGGAAAAAAAATAAAAAAAAACGAAAGAGAAATTACTAATCCTACTAGGTGGTTGGCCCGCACATATGTGCGGGTATAATTTTTTTTGATATATATAGTTAATTGTAATATTTGAATTTTAAACATTTGTATGTTTGTATATATATATATATATATATATAGTTTTAATATTTCATAAAAAATTTTCTGAAATCAATGTATTTTATTACTTTTATTATTATAATGCTTGTAATAGTATATAATCACAAATAAAAAGTTATGTTAAATAATAATTAAATTCTTATAATATTAATATGCTTTATTTCTCCTTACATAATCTATAATATGTTTTTTTGCGTCTTACATAATATGAGTTTGTAAATACATATAATATATTTTAAGTATATATTTTTCTTGATTTATTGCAAATTAAACTGAAATAGATTTTATCATTTTTATTTATTTCTAAGAGCGGATAGATGGTTGGCACGCATGTGCGGACATAACAATCACTTCACTACACTTAGAATAATAAAGATTTTTTTAAAAAAATATAAATTAGATAATAATTAAAATAAAAATTAGATTGTAATCAATCTTAACAAAATACATGCACGAAAAAGTTCGCATGTGACTTTAACTAATGTACAATTAATATTTATATATGTACGCTTATTTGTAAAAAAATTGAAATATGGCGACCAACCCCAATGGAGAACTTATTAAGAAGGTTTTAAAAATATTTTATTATTTATTTTAGACACTGGGTGTCTTAACTCAACAAAAGTATCATATTTTAGACACTGTGTCTATTTTTTAAGACCCTTTCACTATTTTTTTTATTTATTTTTATTATTAACATCTTTTGTTTTAGACACCCAAAATTCTCCATTAGGGTTGCCCTTACGTGTTAAATTTTTTTTAAGTGACTTTGTAAAACAAAGGGCGAGAGATTTTTTTTTATATACTTTTATTTTTATCTCTTATTCATATTGTTTCTTCTTATTATAATTTATTCTTTCGTTCGGTTATTTTTTAATTCATTTATGATCTCAAAATTTTGATATACAATAAAAACAAAATTATGTATATATATTAATATGATATAAAATTTTATTTTTATTTAAAATATGATAAGAGATAAGATGAGATGGTAACAAAAGTTATGCACATTTTAGAAAACAACAATAAAAAGATGATAAAAGTTATAGAAAAATATATGGTCCTATTAATATTATAAAATAATAATTAAGATATACTTTATTCATTTAGTAAATACTGGTTTGAATTTTTTTTTTAAATAACGTTTTTAAAAAAAAAAATCAATAAAAGTTAGTTATTTTTATTATTTTTAACATTTTATTCTTTAAATTATTTTTATCATGATTGTATTTTATTTAAAATTGTATTATTTAATAATTTGTTTATTTAAAACTTTTTAGATTTAATTAATAACTTTCCGAAATAAAAATATATCATACTTAAAGTATTATTAATAAATTGAATTTTTACTATTCTATTAGATAATTTAATATTATTTTTTTATTTTTATATGAAATTATAAGATATATATATATATATATATTGTTGAAAAAATTTCGTAATTGTTTTTTTATGAAATTATGAATATATTTAAAAAATTAAAATTATAATAGCTTTTATTTTCTGTTAATTTAAATTTGTTAATTTTAGTGTTATAAATATAATTTAGTTTATTTATGTTTTAATTTCACAAATTCTATAATTTCAATTCAACCAATCAAAATATTTCGTTTATTTTAGGAAGTTTGACATGTCACATTTATATGTCATCAATTAAAAGCATTAACTTTGATTGTAGTGTTGACAAGTAAGCAGTTTTCAATAATATTACTTCTCAAATAATATGTAGTGAAGTGTGGTGATAGATGGAAAGATGATTTATGCAGTGGATAAGGAGGGTAAGAGCTTCTGCATCTTGCCAGGTTCTGCTATAGAGCTTTACAAAATGGATCCTAAGGCAGGAAGCAGAAACGATTGGTGTGTCATTGGGCAAGAGTTGTACTGTCGTGATACTTGCGGGAGAATATTGTGGTGTGATCCACGGCGTTTGGATTGGAAGGAAGTCAAGGGTTTGAAAGAGCTGCAAGATCACGACCATCTCTCTCGTATGAGACGTCGGTGGGGTCTGGCAAAGATCACCAAGGCCAAATATGATGTCAGCAAGCTCGGCAGCAACGCTGCTGGGAACATTGTCATCTTCTGGAACAAGCAGCTTAAATATCCTGACAAGGGTTTGGAGCTTTGGTCTGCCGAGGTTTCGGTGGAGAGACGCCAGGGAGGAGAGGTTTGGGGAAAAACTGAGTGGTCTGGTGCTGTCTTCAGACTTGATCCACTCTCACGGTCGTATGGCGTTGAGGTCTTATACTGTGCTTCTGTCTATGCCTGAAATTTCAATATTTGAGAGAAACATTTTCTTTTTTTGATAAAGTATGTTTTGCCAATCTAAGTTGTAGTTGTTAAAATATGTAACGATGAAAACAGTTTGAGCACTTGATTTACGTGCATGTATAATTTTAAGTAGTATTCTGTAAGTTTTCATAATTCTCTTAGCAACGGGACCCAAATATCTCTGATCAGATGTTTTTTCTTTTTATTTTCCTAGTGATAGATCCTGTTGTCTGGCAATTAATTGTTTGTTGTTATAATAGCATCTGGTGCCCCTCTTGATTTCTAACTACTTGCGATATAACACGGATCCAATAATGCGAACGTGTATAAATTGTTACATGAAAACAAAAAAAATCTTCAATTTATCATGTGCATGTTTTTGTTAAAGTATTTTTGACTCGTTGTTTCTGTATAACTCTATCATATAGCATGTCGTAAGATGTATCAATAGTTCTGGATATATCTGTTGGATTAGACCAGCTACGTACTTGGGAAACGATCAATTAAACAAATATGCTTTAAACTTAAAATACAAATATGATTATATGATATGGCTCTTGTTCATCTCTCCAAGTTTTAATAACCGCTGCAAGCCTACAACAACAAAAAAAAATTCTAAATTGCAGAATAGATGGAATTGAAATAATTTTTGAGCAACTTAATGTGTATAAAATATAAAAAATCTCACTAGCACTAGTGGTAAAATAAGTGCCGTTTGTACCCCATAAACCATTGTTTAATTTTCCCTAATGACCTTCATATTTTCTTTTCAGATTGATATTTTGATCCCCCTCAAAATAATTTCTGGATTCGCCACTGCCAAGCACACTCGAGATGTCTTTTTTAACTTCCCGAAGACAATCTAAGAAATGAGTAATGTCGAGTTTCTCCTTCCTGATGTAGATCGGCTCTTTAGACCTGCCATCTCTTGCGGCTGCCATCTCTATGATATAGTATAGCTGCTTAATTGGAATCTGAACAAAAACAAAATATGTAACTTGTGAGAAAAGTGTTTTTGTAATATAATTAGGAGCTTTTTTGCTTTCCAGTTCCAAATTCTACTAATTCGCGTCAAAGGGTGATAATCAAAGACACAACGACGTCGAGCACATACGTTATTAAGAGCTTCGGAAGCTTTTTCGATATCATCTTCCGAGAACACGTTTAGTTGCTCCAGCACCTAAAATCGAGAGTTGTCAAGGGCTGTAACATGGATAACATAAAGAAAATTGAGTTGCAAAGAAAACAGATTATTATTACCTTCTTTGCATCCTCTCTTCTCAATAATGGAACAGAGAACTCAGAAAAGAAAGCTTCGCGCAAACCAACAGCTTGTAAGAACGTTACATTACTTGTTGTACCAAGTACAAGAAGCTTGCTTCCCTGTCAAGGAAAACAAAAATATTACCCAAGTTATAGTGAGATGCTAATTTCTACCGTAATGAACAATGTACCTAAATGTGCAATAAAAATAAAAATTACACCTCCGGAGGATTTGAGAAAAGGCGACAATGTATTTAGAATGTTCTTTGAATACCATTGTCCAAGTTCTGTGTACTCTAACAAGCTACAATATTATAGAATATGCAAAGTGAGTCCCAGCCAAAAAAAAAGAGAGGTAAGTACACAAAATAATATAAAAAGCTTTAAAACCAATCAAGTTGGAAGCAAATAGTATTATTAACCTTTCAATATTGTCAAGAATAACTATGCTCAGTGGTGATTTGTATGCATCCTCAAAGACCTATTCTCATTTCACACACACAACAAAAAGAGTGTTAATTAGTAGATAATTTGTTTAAAAGAGCACAAAAATTTTAAAAAGTTAATAAGCTTTTGAAAGATACGGACCTTGATGATGTGTTCGCATTTTTGGCTTTCCTGTAGACCAATCATACTCTCTGCAGATATCTAGCCGAAGTATATATATATAGTGAACAACACATAGATTAATAAAGAGGATACTTTAACGAGGTTCAAAATTACAAACTTGACACTTACTATTTTGGCATATGGGAAGTCACTGCCAATACCAACAGTCGCAGCTAAAGTCGTTTTCCCACTGCCCAAGAAGCTTGAAAAATCAGGAAACGCTAGAAACAAAACGCTAAAGCGTTGAAATATGAACTCGATTTTTTTGTTTACACATTTACAGTCGAAATAATCAAAAAAATTGAAAGATACCATCCATTAGGTCCCTGAAGAAGGCAAGTGACTGGAGGACCTCTTTCGTTGACTTTAACTTGCTCAACAAGAAACATGACTCTTTCGTAGATGAGCTTTTGCCGATCACCACAGTCCACAAATCCCTTAGGTCTATAAGAAAATGTTGTAAATATAGGACTAAGCATTGTAAGCAGATTACATTCAGAGATGATGCAATATATATGTAAACGTATTTAAGATTTAAGTTGACTAGACGGAAAAAAAAAACTAAACCTAGAGCAATAAAGTTAAAAGATAAGCAAAGAAAATCTCCAAAAGACTCTCTATAACTTCAAATATAAAACTTGTTGCACTACAAGAGAAATTTCAAAACTTCAAAATTTGAAATTTTGAGCATTGAAACTCCAAATTTGAAGTTTTACTGTTCAAAACTTCTAATTTGAAGTTTCACCTTTTTATTTGCATTTTAGTCCTTCTAATTATATACTATATAAATATTTATATTTTAGTTTTGTTGTTTATCACTTTAGTCCATATAATTTTAGCATATAAATTTTGTATACAGATTAAATAAAAATCTTAAAATAAATTCAGAAGAAATATTACACATTATTATAAATATTTTTATTACACAACAACAATTATATATAAAACAAATTTAATACAAAATACAAGAAAATAAATTACATAAACACATAAATATTACACAAATTGAATTACTACAATAATACTAATATTCAGGTAACTTTGAAATGCATTGATTAATCATATATGAAAGCACTAAGGAAGTAGTTTTATTGAATAAATTGATATTTTATTTGTAATTTATAATTTAGTATATGTATATTATGTATTTTTATATTATTATGTAATGTTTTATTGATTAGTATTTGTTGTAATCTTTTCATATGTATGTTTTAGTTATTTATAAAAGTTTTATGATGTTAATTAATTATTATCAATATTGAAGACTATAATGCAAAATATAAATAGTTTTGAAGGTTTTTTTTAAGTTTACTATTGGAGGATAAGAGCATCTCGAATGGGAGGTTCTCAACATAATCTCTTAATAACAAAAAGGAATAAATTAATGAAAAGAGGAGAAAAAATAAGAAAAAACGTAGAAAACCAACTCGTAAAAGAGAGCTTTTAGAACATCACCAACGCTGAGTTTTTAAAAATGGGCTTCTCATCTTTAGTTTAATAATATTTTACTTTAATAATAATATCTGATTAAATTTTATTTTATTTTTAAAAGATAAACTAATTAAATGCTGTCAAGTGGCCAGAGATCATTTCTAAAAACTCTCAAATGAGAAGCAACGCTCCTTCTTCTCTTTTCCTTTTTTTTTTTTATATTCTTTAGAATATGGATTTATAACCTCTGTTGGAGGTGGTTTTAGAGCATCACCAATGGTGAGCTTCTATAAATAAGATTCTCATCTTTTATTTAATAATATTGTGATATAATAATATTATTTAATTAAATTTTATTTTATTTTTAAAAAGTAAACCAATCAAATAATGCCAAGTGACTAGAGATAGGTTCTAAAAACTCTTAAATGAGAGCCTGCTCTCTTTCATCTCTCTTTTTTATTAATTTTTTGATTTTTTTTATTGTTTAGAGTCTGAGTTTAAATCCCCCATTGGAGGTGGTTTTAGAGCATCAGCATTGGAGAGCTGAAGAGAGAAGCTCTTAAAATAATTTTATTAATAATTTTTTTTTTAAAAAAAATCGATTTTTAGAAGGAAAAAAAATTGGCGAATCGCGTCTCGCCACGTCATAGAAAAGACGCTCCTACAACCTCTGTGCAGAAAGACGATTCTTGGTATCAGTCTTGCCACATTATTTTTTTTTCTTTTTCTTTTTTTTTTAGAACTTATCTAAAACTGACCATTAATCTTGCTCTTAGAGTCATGTTCTATACATTAAAAACAGATGTCACTTGTTTAATGAAGTAAAATAGTATTTTAAATAAATAAAATTAAAATATTAATATTTTATTAGTTAGAAACTGTTATAAGACCATCCGCAGCGGTTATACCGTTTCTAAAATATATTATATTAATATAATTTAATTAAATTTTAAATAATTAAAAAAGTAAACCAATAATAACATGCCACATAAATTTAGAGTATCTCAATGTTCTTATATACGTCTCCAAACAAGCAACAATTATATACGTTTCTAATTCTCTTTTTTCTCTTTTTACTTTTTAATTATTATTTTATTCTTAAATACCATTTTATATACCCTTTACATACCTTTGATGGAGCTGCCATAAGACCATCTCCAACGCAGTATCTGAAGGGAGTATCTAAAGTTAAAAATATATTAAAAATTTGATAAAGAAGAGAAAAAATTTCGAATCGGTCTCTTTAACCCTCGTTTGAGAAGCGCTTCTAACAAAAATGAGACATTTTGAATGGATGTGCCTTTATGTAATTGGTTGATTTTATTTATCATTTAAATTTAAATTTAATTATTAAATTATAATAATATAATATAAATGAGATAGAGTTCTAGCGTTGGAGATTGTCTAACATACTAGAGTTAGAGTTTAAAAATGGGCTTCTCATCTTTAGAAATAATCCCTCTTTCGACAGTATTATACCAAGTCCATCGGGGTCTTTTAATAGGATTTCTAGTTATAAAAAAAAATAATAAAAAAAGAAATAAAAAGGAAAGAGAAAAGATACATCTCTTCTTTAGTGATTTTAAAATACCTATGTAGACATATGTAAACTAATTATTGGTGGGCTTCTTTTTTTAATTGAAATCTAATTAAATAAATAAATTATAATATTTTTATATACCTTAATACTCAAACCTCATCTCTCCACTGATGGAGATGCCCTTATACTGGTGCTCAGCGTCTATAACCGTAAAAATGTATGTAGTTCCAAGATACTCAAATGTAACTCTCTGGTCTACTGTCAAGACCTGCATATAAGCATGCATAGTTTAAATAAATCAGTGCTAATTAACGTTTTGACTTGCGAGTCAAGGAAAAGGTCATACAGACAGAGTAAATGATAGCGCATAGCCGTTATAAGCACAAGACACCATCTAATATGATGCTACATGCATTTAATAATTATTAAAAACGTGTATGGGTCCTCACATCCACTTATGGGCCCACGTCGTATCAACAAATACAAGAAGAAATGGTTAGTACCTTATATATGTTGTATATTATTCTTACTCTTTCTTAATCTTTGTATATTTTACAACACTGCAGGAAAAGGCATTAGGAAGACCGGTGAGTTTTGGTGAAATTTTCATTAAGACACATACGAAGCCAGATGGTACATATATTGACCGGAAGGCCGAAAAGATCGCTGCAAACTATGAGAAGAATGTGCAAGAGAAGCTAGCTGAGCTCGCAGTGAATTCAGCTCTTTCAGACAGTGCTTCACCACCTCCGGACCTCACAGCAGATGACTATACAGCCATCTTTCTTCAAGTAAAGTATCATTGCCCTTTCATCACTAAATTAGGTGTCTTTATGCATCTGAATTTTCGATTCTTGTGTAAATTAGTTTTGGCAATCCTTGTTATAACATTCGTTGTTTCACTTTTTTTTCATAGTCGACTGAGAAAGATTCACGAGGCAATCTTTATGGAGTTGGAAGCCTCAAGGAAAATCTTGAAAATCTTGTCACTGGCAAAAGGAAGCGAGACTCTTCATCCTTTGTGGAATTGGAAGAGCAACTGAAGGAAGCTCAATGTAAAATCGAGGAGCAGGCTTCTTATAACACACGACGTGATGCTGAAATTGCTGCCCGTGAAGAAGAGCATTCCCGAGCTGTAGCTGAGCAAAAGGACAAGCTCGAGCACTTGTCCTTGGTGGAAAAGTATCTACGCCAAACTGATCCGGGCTTTCTTGACTTCATGGCGACTCATTCAGCTGAAGCAACGACTCATCCATCTGCTTCTTAGGTCACTTATCAATCTCCTTTTCTGAACTCTGATGAACTGATCACTTCTATATATCTATGTGTTTTTTTATGTTGTGAATTATAAGAAACGGTGTTTGAATTTGTATGTGACTTTTCTAATGTGTTATATTGCTTTTGGTTCAATTTTAATTTTGGTTTTGGTTTAATGGAATTTTTCAAAATTTGAGAATCAATTACCAATTTCGAGCAGGATAAATTTGAGAATCAGTGTTTACAACTACACCAACAATTTTACGACTACACCAACAATCATTTTGTGTTCAATTAGAGTAGTCGTAAATTAGTCGGAATGTAGTCGTTAAAATTTTACGACTATAATACGACTACCGAAACAATCTCGTGTGTAGTCGTATATTAGTCGTACTGTAGTCGTAACATTCAACGACTATGTTACGACTACTTTTACGACAATATAGTGTAGTCGTTTAGTAGTCGCTAATTAACGACTACTTTTACGACTACTTACCGACTAAGAATTTACGACTACATGAGTTAGTCGCTAATTAGTCGTAGTCTTTGATTTAGCGACTACGTTACGACTATTTATGTTGTCGCCAACTCTCTGTTTTCTTGTAGTGTAACATCGATCCATGGCCTCATATCATGTAGGAGCCATAATACATACATAAAGAGCGAGCACACCAAGAATCCTCAAAACCTTTACCTGATCAATGAACTTCCTCTTGAGTTCGGTTGAAAGGAGCACAGCATCAACCTGAAAGCAATACTTTTTCATGCATACGATGTTCACGGATCGATCACAAGAAAGTAGAATCGCACCAAAACGCATATCATACTTCATTTTTAGTACCCTCGTTAAAAAATTCCAACTCAAGTACCAGCAAAGCCAGGTCAAAACTATCCGGAGGAACGAATCTGCAAGAACAAGGCAGGTCTTTAAGACAACAGCCCTAATTAAGCCCTAGCGTGTCTTGTTATGAGAATTAACTACCTGCTGGTGGTTACAATGCTATCATGAGAAACATTAGCATGTTTTCGTTGAACATCATTCAGAGCAATTGTTCCATCATTGATACTCTCGTGTCCAGTATGTAACAGTTAAGTCAACAGACAAATTGAATAGTAACTTAACATTTAAACACCGTAGGAACAAGTCACAAGTGTAACATCTCCTAAATTAGTAAGATAAACTAAAAAAAAAAAGGATATGAGAGCGAGAGAATGAAGACGTCGGCGACGTTGGCGAGGAAGAGACCGGCGGAGCCGGGAACAGCGAAGTGAAGGAGATCAGAGGGGGAGCAGTAAGCGAAGTTGGTAAAAGCTAGATGTGTTTCCGACGTGGAAGTCACCGTCATAATTCTGACGCCGGAGGACTGTGTTGGGGATTGATCAGCATGACTGTTTCGATCTCAGAACCGGAAGATGTAAAGTTGCCTTGAGATGAAACTGTGTTGGGGATTGATACTTATAGTGTCCCCCCCCCCCAATCTTTTCATCTCGCACAAATCACTTTTCCGATAAAAACGCCACACGTATCAGTGAATAATTTTTAATTTTAATTGTTGTGAGTGATCATAAATTCATACGATTTAGATTCAAACTCCAATAACTGAACTTTAATCTGATCCAAAAAAAAAATCCAAAGATAAAAAAAGGAAATTTTCACCAAAGAAAGAAAAGGAAATTTACTAATTTCGTTAGTTATTGGACAAAAGAAAAAACACTAGTTTAAAATAGAACCCCCTAGTCTCAGTCCTCACAGAAACCCTAACTTGAAATCGAGCGAGAAGAAAGAATATGGCTGAATCCGTTAATCAATCACCGAAACGAAGAGTTGAGCTTTCGCGTTGTACGGCGTCCGAATTGCTACCGCCGCCCATTAAAAGGAGGAAGGAGACGAAAGAGGAGGAGGCGTCTCCGTCGTCGTCTGGGTTACAGTCGTTACCAGACGAGTTGGCTTTGAGCTGCCTTGCTCATGTCTCGAGATCGGGCCTCGCGTCCTTAGCTGTTGCTTCCAAGACCTACCGCAATATCGTAGCTTCCCCTGAGCTCCGCGACTTGAGACGGCGGCGGATGAGTTCCTATTCCACCACCGAGGCATCTTTCTACGTCTGCTTACGCCTAGTTCCCGAACGAACCCCACGCTGGTTCATCCTCACGCCTAAGCTCCGTCGGCTGAGCCCGATCCCGTCAAATCCCAGCCAGGCTTCGGACTCATCCACTTTCGTGGCGGTGGATGGAGGCATCTACGTAATCGGTGGACTCAGAGACGGCAGGCCCACTTCGGATGTATGGTTCCTCGATTGTTTCCATCACACGTGGCGACGCGTCCCGTCCATGAAGAGGGCCCGCGCTTCCGCAGCGGCAGGCCTCGTGGACGGGAAGATACACGTGTTTGGAGGGCTCGCCGGTTGCTCAAACTGGGCAAGGGAGTTCGAGGTGTTGGATCCAAAGACCCAAACTTGGGAGTCCTTGTATGGAGGGCTCGCTGATTGCTCAAACTGGCCAAAGGAATCCGAGCAGGATCTTTTGGCGGCGGATATCAAACAAAGTGTGGTGATAGATGGGAAGATGATTTACGCAGTGAATGTAGAGGGTAAGAGCTTCCGGATCTTGCCAAGTTATGCTGTAGAGCTTTGCAGTAAAGACTCTGAGCAGCGCTTCTGCATCTTGCCGAAGCCTGGTATAGCGCTTTGCAATGTAGACTATAAGGCAGGACGCAGAAACGATTGGTGCGTCGTTGGGAAAGAGTTGTACTGTCGTGATACTCGCGGGAGAATACTGTGGTGTGATCCACAGCGTTTGGATTGGGAGGAAGTCAAGGGTTTGGAAAAGCTGCAAGGTTTGCAAGTCAAGGGTTGGGTCTGCCCACGGCTGATGAGGTCGTATATGATATCGGAAAACTCTGCAGCAACGCGGCTGGGAACATTGTCGTCTTCTGGAACAAGCAGCTTGGGAATCTCGAGAGGAGTTTGGAGCTTTGGTGTGCGGAGGTTTCAGTGGAGAGACGCAAGCAGGGAGGAGAGGTTTGGGGGAAAGTTGAGCGCTCTGGTGCGGTCTTCAAGTTTGATCCCTTCGCACGCTCGAATACCGTTGAGGTCTTATATTCGGCTTCTGTCTATGCCTAACAAATTATAATATTTGATTTAGGTTCTAGTTGCTGTACGATGAAAACGGTTTGAAACGACTTGATATATATTACACGTACGTTAAATGTTGAAAGGGGAATGAGTAGCGATAATTTTTTGATAGGATACATTTTGTATAAAATATTTTACAGGAATTCCCGCGTCATGTTAGTGTGTGACGTCATAATACTAATTATGATTCTGTGAGCTCCTTTCATTAATTTTTTTTTTTTAAAATTAAATTTGTCGAGGAATCGAAGAACGGTAAAACACCAAACGTGGGTTGAACAAATATATATGTGTAAGTTGCATTGTTTAACCCAACATGCATGCATTAGACAGTTGTCTACAGTTGACTATCATAGTGCTTCAAATCCCAAAGTCTTTCCTTATAAATAAAACTTAAGTTTATTCTTAGGAAATTAGCTGGCGGATGTAGTAAGCCCACCTACGGGTACACGTGCCTCCGGTAACTTTTTGATATCACTAATTTTTTAAGCAAAATGAAATGAAATTTATATGTTAAACGAGAAACAGTTATATGTTCTGTGACATTTATAGGAGAAAATAACAAATTATTAAGTCATTCCATATAGCACAACAATGTTCTATGTGTATAAAACAACTAGACAATGTTTATCTATTCTCTGAAACATTCTTTAAATGAACTAAGAAATCAGTTTTTATTGTTGGATAAACTATATATTAACATATATGATTTGTATACTACAAGTAGTGTCATGGTTCCCCACTCTCTTCTCTCTTGCCCGATCAAGCCATACTTCTTCCTTCATTCACCTTCACCATAATAATTCTCTATTTAGGCTATATCTTGATATTTTCTTGTGTAATTCGTATGGGAAATTATATGTTTGCTTAGTGAGAACTTTATACGCATATATATGTTTTGTTAATATTCATCGAGAGGCTTCCCCATCAAATGAAAGAAGAGTTTCTCTCATATTTGTTTCATCGAGAGCCCGTCACATTAAAACCGGAAAAGCAAGAGTCAATCTCTGTAATCTTCAGGTACTTTTTGATCCCAATGCAAACTCTCTTCACAGTAAACCAATCAATTATATAATGAGATTATGGGATTATTATGTCTGAGAGTTATAATTTTGTCTCAGATGTAAAAGTTAAGTATTCCTAGGTTACTAATGTTCATATGTTAATGAAAAGGGTCATAAACTGTTGAAACTTGAGTGTTCCATGGGATGAACCATCACATGCATATTTATACTTAACGTTTTCCTTCTATATATGTTTCCTACTTTTTATTAAATTATTTTCTTCTTCTTACTTTTGTAATAGATAAGGAATAGAGCTTGTGTTGAGCTTATTACAATAGAAAAACTTTCATAAACATTTTGGAGTTGGCTTGTGATATTCTCCAACAACATTCAACAATGTCAATGAAGATGAAGGGCATCTACAAAAGCTTCAAATCGATCTCTCAAATATTTGGTATAACTCTTTCCATATATTATAAATCTCCAATATATAATCTTTTATGATCTATCAAACTTTCTTGCAGCTTTATATATAACATGTAACTAAACTTTGTAATCTAGAGAGGAAATAACTTTTACGAATTAGTCTTAAGTGGTATAAAATTGTGAATTTCTTAAGGTATGCCTCCACACAAAACAATTTCCCGTTCATTTTTTTAGACATTATGGTTCATGTTATTTTATATGGGAGCATTCAATTATCTTAAGACTTTTAAAGCCGTTAAATGATGATTTTGTTTTATTATTAAAAACCAATTAATTTGGTAAACAGTTGAGAAAGAAAGAGATATTGAAATTGGGTACCCAACAGAAGTGAAACATGTGGCTCATGTTGGCTGGGAGGGCTCCTCTGGTAGTGCTCCTGCGTGGGTAAGCGTCTCTCTCTCTCTCTCTCTCTTTGTTATTTCTTATTTATATATAAAACAAAATATTTTACTGCAACTTATCCCCAACTACATATTTCAGGAGTTTGCTATGAACTAGTTTACTTGCAATACAATCAAAATTTACACGATGATAATATAGTTTTCTGATGATGTTTATTTCAAAATTTAATTGTTTCGGTGGGTGAAGATGAGTGAATTTAAGGCAGGAGCAGAGCTATTATCTCCAAGAGCATCATCCTTTAGTCATGCAAGACATTCAAATTCTTTCTTCAACAATTCTTCTTCCAGTGGTAATATTCTTTCTTTTTATTTGTTACAATTTAATTTAATTGAGTGTAAATAATTAATGAAGCTGTCTATTTTTTGTTGAAATACAGATTTTGATCAGAGCTCAAGCCAACAAACTATATCGGATAGGCTAAGAGACGTGCCTCCAATTCCAGTAGGTCTATCCAAGATTCATACTAAGAGCAAGAATAGGAGAAAGAAACAATCTTCGACATCATCACCAAGATCCAAACCATCTCCTAAATCTTCGAGATCCACGGGTTTATCTAAAGCTTCGTTTAAATCAAATACATCTCGGTTAAACTCTAATGCGTAAAGGCGAATTCAAAAGTTCAATGAAACAACAACAAAATTAAACTTGTGCCTCGTAATATGCATAAAGGAATTTTTTGGTAGTTTTCGTGATTTTCCTTTTGTTCAAAGTTTTTGTTTTGTAGTTTCTCGGATTTGAACAACTTCTATGTACATTGTAGAAAGAAGTACAGAAAATGAAAAATATTAATCTGTGTGATAAAAAAAAAAATTATTTAGTGTAACGAGTTTTTCTAATGTAGCCTGGATTTAGACTTTGGAGAAATATATTTTTTTTTATTAGGGAGAATCAATAATATTATGCTAAATTTGATAGCACAAGAAGCAGAATTCTCTCTTTTGAGGAATTTGGGAGTAGACTGTTCAAGATTAATTTGCTTCAACAGAGAGGTGTATGTATAGAGATCCCTTGGAGGTCTAAATGATTAACTTTTTATACATTAAAATACAGTCAAACTCACATCCAAAAAGAGAACAATGAACCTCTTTGATAAAAGCCAAGCAATGAACGTGATGTTTTGGGTTGCCTAAAGGCCCATATTGCCAACTCGTGTTACCTTAGATTCTTACCAAAACACATACATTATACATATGGTTATTAAACATGTAAAAAGAAGATATATAATCCGTTGACATGTTAAAATTTAGAGGTACATATTCTGACAAAGAAACGTAGTACAAATATATGTAGTGACCCGAGACGTCATCTATAACATGAGGCCGAGGCTTGGAGCTTTGACGGCCCGATACTTTGAAGTGAAGAAAATGATTGATTGGACTAAAAATTGTATAATTTTTTTTTTTCATCTGTATTAGTTAAACAAGATCATTTTGATCACATACACAAATATGGATCATTTGATGTATAAAACATGAGATCACTATAAATGATTCTATCTTAAGACTAAAAGTAAAACATACTGAATCTAAAATCTATTTACAGGTTTACCGATTTGTGTATAAGAACTTCAAAATTTTATATGCCACTAGACCAGAATTACTAGCTGTTTCTTCAAAGATAGCTAACACGAAAGTGAAACATTCTACAGAGTGAAGTGCACCCAAAAAAAAAAACATTCTACAGAGTGAATACTAAACCTTTCATATTTTTTTGTTTCAAAGAGTAAATTTGTCTTTACACTTGATAAAACGGTATTTATCTAAATTATAAGATTATATTACCATTCATTAGTTTAAACTTACAAAAAATATAGAAAATTATTTCAACGATAATCAAATTAGAGTCACATGATGATGATGTTGAACCAATTGTAAAGTAAGTAAACATTTCTTATTCAGGTTACATACACTCAATAATCTTTTATATATAGCATTTGTCTCCAATATTTACCAACTACTGGTATCTTCTTCAAAAGTAATAAAACGTAAATAGCCTTCATAACTTTTGAAATAAAGTAGTAATTAAAAATGTAAAGTTCAGTTTCTTATTTGGTTTGTAATAATCCTTCTGTGTTGATTATGAAGTGTACCCAATTTTCTAATTAAAAAAACAAGAAGAAAACTATGCATATACTTTCAAAAATGTGCTAAGATTCAAAATTGGAGACATGATTCACTGTCTGAAACTTTGTTTCCAAATTACTGAAAATAATCATTCAATGGACCTAAAAACTTGTATAAAAATAAATAAATATAATAAAATTTCCGAATTTAGAATTTGGAATTTGGTGTTTAAAAATGACACCAATAAAAATATTTCGAAGGCAATAAATGAGTTAGTTGGTAGGCAGAAGTCACCCTTTCCCACTAGCTATTATTAGAAGATGACGTCCCCACAACTCCAAGGCGTTTCAGCTCCTTTGATTTACTCAGTTACCCTCGTGATATCTGTAAAATTACCTCTCTAATTCAACGCACCTTTTACAAATCATGTCGTTTCCCTTTAAATGAACTGAACTACCTGTCGGATTACCGGTTGCCACATCCACGCAACGCGTGTCATTTGGATGCTCTGCGATTATAGAAGCCTTTAAAACAATACGGCGTCACTTAAGTTTGTATTGCAGTAAATCAAAATTTGCACTCTGATAAAATTATCTATGTATATGTAGATAGGAAACCAAAACCTCATGTAACAACTAAGCATCGAGAAACTTTTTAATTACGTAAATATTTCTGACCTATAAATATTTCAATACTTAATATAATAATTAAGTCAATTAGCTATTGTTCCCCGCTGTCAAAAAAAAAAAAATGCTATTGTTCCCCCCCTACGAGGGTTTAACAATGATAAATTACGTAAATGGAGTGCATCAGTTCTGAAATTTTCTAATTACGTAAGCGGGGAATCACACAGTCGTGACTTGTGGTGCATGACAAACTCAATTAATAGTTTAATATCAAATGATCAGCATAATTAACGGAATAAATTAATTAGTACTTCGACATCCAGATTGTAAGTCATATATATATATATATACATATTAATCGAGATAAAACGCTTAGGAAAGGGCAAATTACATCTGAAAAAAAAAAATCAGGTACTGTCAAAAACTCGAATTTGAGAACAAAAATTCACCACTTATCAAAAATGATTGTCAACCAAATGAGGTACTGTCAAATCTCGAACTCGTGAACAAAAATTCAAACCTTTTCTATATAAGACGAGTGTCAACCAACCTTTTCCAACCAAGAGATCTTGGGTTGCTACACAAATATTTAATACGCTATGTACAGATCATATTATAATTTATATATGTATATGCAGGCTCGTGCGTGAGAAAGAACATAGGACCCCCTAATTATTAAATATTTTGGTAGCTTTATTTACATAAACAAAAGTACTAGTATATTTTATTGTGTAGTATGTTTTTGCACTACAAGTTTTAAACTCTAGTTTTGTTTACATTGATTAGTAGGGTTCTGTTTTCAAAATTTACGAAAGATCCCAGACATTTTATACACGGTCAAGCTATATATATTTATGTATACTGTAGATATGAGTATGAGCATTCGTAAAAATGAATCTACTCATCTTTTTGCTGAAAACATATATCGTATGTGTAAATAAAACATACTATATAGCTTAATTCATTACCACACCCACACACAAAACACGTCATGTAAATCTAGACAGCAATATTGACAATCTATATGTAGTTTGATTATGGGTACATATACTTTAATTATACATTTATACACATCACACATACATTCATAAAATTGTACTGTGTATGTGTATGTGTATGTGTACATGAATGTTTAAACTAGTTCAGTGTAGGTATATATGTATTGATGTAAATCTTAATGTATGAGCTGTTTCTTGGACCATGGTCCACAAGGATATTGCTCCCCAACTACATGAGTCAATCGAGTGGCCAATTTTAATTAAAACAATTAATCCAAACTGCCATTAAATATATCTTTGACCTTTTTAATTCATTTTTAGATATTCTTGGAACTTACGTAGTTTCCATCTCATCCCTTTCTTTTGTTCTTCGAAAGTGGGTCCAATCACAAAACTTATTAGCTCATATCTCTTGTATTTTGGTACAAAACACGCATAATTATAGGTTGACCACAAAAATAACCCATTATATACATAGCGTGGCGACAAAAAAAAAAAATGGTCTTCATAGTGTTTTTTCCGTTACAGTACTTTATCATCCAACCTGAGACATTGAGTTTCACATCAGCCATTGTAAAACTATTTGGTCTAGTCTTTTGGATTTTAAATATTTAGTCTACCATAAATGATGTTCTTAAACATCGTTTTATCTTTGGATTTTAATGTTTTGCACTTTTAATGTAAGAACTTAATTTATTTTCCGTATTTACTCATACAGTTCACTAATTATACTATTTATTTATGCATACAGTTCACTAATTATACTATTTATACGATTAGTTGTATATAGCTTATGGGTATTAAAAGATATATATGAAAAAATAATGATTGGTGATTCAACCTAAGCATCTTTTATTTTCATTTAGAGGAACCCTTTATATACTGCTGATTGAAGATGAATTAAATTGATAAATTTGGGATATGTGTATAAGATCATATATAACGTCGTGGAGTTAAAAAATTATTTAAAATCCACTCTCCCTCTATTCTCTTTATCCAGCAACAGCGACAGAAAAGCAAGAAGTATTTTTCTTCATTAATCTTTCCTTTTAAATTTTGAATTATCGATTTTTATTGCAGCGTTATCCAAACGTTCAAAATCACAATCCAACAAATTTATAGATTGATTAGTTGTTTTTATAACCGCAAGTGTTAATGCATGTCATGTTTTTTGAAACTTTAAATTTACCTCTTAAACGTGCACCAGCCATTGGAAGTGTTAATAGAATCTTGCTTTGAGATAGATAAAATGTTTAATTACCTATATCTTTATAAATTATAATGACAGTACGATTGAAAACTAAGAATGTAGGCTTACAATGTTCTATAGTACTAAATCTCGTCACTAATCAACCATATAAGAAGCTATTATACAAAAGTTGTTTTCATTCATGAAGTTTTAGAGATTGTATATATTTTTTTGACCCAAGAAGTTTTAAAGATACATAAATTCTAAATCTATTGGTTTTTTACATTTAATAAAGACATAAATTAATATATAATTAAACATAAATAAATCAATGAATAAAAAGCATACTACATAATATAAAAGCTTACACAAAATCAACTTTAGTTAACTTTTACATAAAAACTTGAAAAAAATCAAATATAATGAAACAAATAAAAATTTATAAAACATCTTGCAGGTTAACAAAATAGAGAGTGAAATAAATACTTTCAATTTCTGTATAAATTTAATTCAGATCAAACATTATGCTCAGTTATACTAGTATAGAGTTGTATTTAAAAATGTAATTAAGCAATCACATTTTCATGACTCATTATTGACTGACATAAATTATACTAAGTGAGTGTGTAAAGTGTAAACAAACAAAGCATATATGTATATGTCCATATTTTTCTTGGACATATATGTAATTAATGTGCAATATGCAGTTATGCACAACACATAAATATAAAGACTTAATCTGATATGGTATACACAGACAAATAAACTATAACATGAACATACTATATTATAACCATGAAATGGCGATCATTTTTAAAATTTCGTCATTTCTCTATTGTTTTTTTTTTACCCTACGAGAATCCGTGAGGTCAAGAGAAACAGTGATTTTAATTTTTCAAAATTGATGAACTGAAACTCTCTCTCTCTAGAAAATATATAAGTTGTGGTATGAATTTTCTCACACTAAAAGCATTAATTGACCTTTCGATAATCATAAATGCAATGCACCCTCTCTATGCATTTCGCAATAACTCCTTTTCCTTCTGCCACATTCTCCTCTCCTCACCTCTTTCTCTTCTTCCTCCTCTCCTTAGTTATCCCTCAGAAAATTCTCCATTTTTTCTTTATGAATAAAAATTCTCCATTTTTTCTGACTATTGATACTAATCGGTTCTAAGAGAATCCTCTGAAAACTACCGGTTATGTCTTGACTGGGCTACAAAACCAGTGCCCTAAGACACCCTTTTGATTTGCGCATATTCTCTCATCCATCTCTTTTTTTCTCCAAAATAAGAGAACCAAAAATTTGTAGAAGACTCCGAGCTAGGGTTTCATTGTGTGTCCAAAGGTAAAACCTCTCTCTCTCCCTCTATATGTGAATTTTCTTTGTTTCTTGGAGGAATGGGATGCAAATTGCATGTTTGTTCACACTAACCGGATCCATTATTTTTCATCTTTTCAAGATCTGCATTTTCTTTTATTTCTAAAAAGTTACCTAGTGGCTGTTTTCTTGTGATGATCTAAAAATAAGCGTTACAAAATAATAAATCTCTTTAGAGTTACAGAAGTGTAAAATGGGTTTGAGTTTGAGGAATTGTGTAGTAAAAAACCATTGACTTAATGTCAACTCATATACACATTTTTTTATTAATTTGTTTTTGTTTTTTTCTCAATTGATTAACCTTTTTCCAATTACTGTAGCTTTTACGGAAAACGGTTCTTTTTTATTTTTGTTACACTAAGGACCAAGGTCAATTAAATATATATATTCCACCGAGAGAAACACAAAATAATTAAAAACGTTTTTTTCTTGGCTTCGGTAGCCTGTGAATTTATCTATCTCGCCAGCTCTTATGTAGACAGAGAAAAGGAAAGAGAGAGACAAAATATCATTAATTTCGATCCAAAACTTCAAGAAACCAAACCAACATTTCAAAAAAAAAAAACAGATCTGTATGTAGGGTTTCACTTTTTCTGCTTCCTTACAACTCGATCGAGTTTGGCTCAACCAAATAATATCGAATTTTGATTCACTCTAAAAAGTAAGTAAAACCATATTAATTTTTTTCTTTTATGGTAACTAATAGAAATTAGGGTTTTTTTGCGATCGACAATCTCTTCATCCATTTCTTCTTTCTATACCTCTGCGTATTCTTGTAGATCCGATGATGTTTGTGACTTTCAAGATTAAGTCTATCGCGTACTACTACTGCTTATATATATTTATTGATTGTCTGCGTTGTGGGTGTGTGTAGGTGTATATTCTAATGGATAGATATGCGCTTGAATTTTCTAAACATTATGTTTTCAATTTCTCACTATTTTTCTTATATTATCGAACAGTATACTTATATATTCAGCCGAATATTCGTGTCCCATTTTTAAATTTGATTCCCCGATAAATTGTTTTTTATATGCACCCAGGTTATGTAACGTAGTGGTTGCATTTATATCCAAACCCTCTTTGATAAGAATACATATGCTTATGTAAGCGTATAGATATGAATTACTAACAAAGATAGAGAAAAAGACCAATATTTTGCTTTTCGGTTACTTGTGAAATGTGAAAAAGACCATATAAATGTCTACATTGAAAATATGTATAGTTTCATAATATCTAGATAGAGCATTACTTTCCATAATACCAAGATTTATATTCCGTTTCTACTTTGATCCTCGTATATATAAACATGACCATTTGATCTTTGATTTTGGATAGTGGGAGATACTTGGAGTAAAATATCAAAGGTAAATCAACGAGAGTGATTTGGATAATCATATTGAAGATTTGAAGGAAAACCAAAAGCTCAAAAGCTCCAAAATCGATCAACAATCACCATCATCATGTATCATCCAAATATGTTCGAGTCTCAGCATCATATGTTTGATATGACCCCAAAAAGCTCCGATAACGATTTGGGTCTTACCGGGAGCAGAGAAGACGATTTCGAGACAAAGTCTGGCGCAGAAGTCACCATGGAGAATCCTTTAGAAGAAGAGCTTCAAGATCCTAATCAGCGTCCTAACAAAAAGAAGCGTTACCACCGTCACACGCAACGCCAAATTCAAGAGCTCGAGTCGTAAGAAAAAAATTTCCACTTGAAAACGATATTTATAATGTTTTCGGGATGTAGGGTTTATGTTTGTTTGTTTGGTTTTGATTTTGTAGGTTCTTTAAGGAATGTCCTCATCCAGACGATAAGCAAAGAAAAGAGCTGAGTCGCGAGCTAAGTTTAGAACCTCTTCAAGTCAAGTTTTGGTTCCAAAACAAACGCACTCAAATGAAGGTATGTACTATGGCTAATTTTCATTACTGACTCATTTATGTTCAATTAAATGTTGCTGTTTTTTTCCCATTAAAATCAAAATTTTGGTGTAATAACATTGATTTCTATTAGCCTAATTTTCTGTTAGCTTACATAAAAGACAAACCTTATATGGTTTTTCATTTTTTTGTTGTTAGAATATCCCTTCAAGATTATAGAGTATAAATATTAACAATCCATTTAGTTTGCTTTATACACTTTAAGATCAAACATAAAGAAGAGAAAGTTGTGATCTTTATAGGCACAACACGAGAGGCACGAGAACGCGATTCTGAAGTCAGACAACGACAAGCTCAGAGCAGAGAACAATAGGTACAAGGATGCTCTAAGCAACGCAACATGCCCAAACTGTGGCGGTCCTGCTGCTATAGGAGAAATGTCGTTCGACGAACAGCATTTGAGGATTGAAAACGCGCGTCTACGTGAAGAAATCGATAGAATCTCTGCGATAGCTGCTAAGTACGTAGGGAAGCCATTACTGACCAATTCCTCGCCTTTCTCTCAGCTCACTTCTTCACACCACAATATTCCCTCGCGCTCGCTTGATCTTGAAGTTGGGAACTTTGGGAACAACAACAACAGTAGCCAGACCGGTTTCGTAGGGGAAATGTATGGAACAAGCGACATTATGAGGTCGGTTTCGATCCCTTCTGAGGCTGATAAGCCTATGATTGTTGAGTTAGCGGTTGCAGCCATGGAGGAGCTTGTGAGAATGGCTCAAACCGGTGATCCCTTGTGGGTTTCAAGCGATAACTCGGTCGAGATTCTCAATGAAGAAGAGTATTTCAGAACGTTCCCTAGAGGAATCGGACCTAAACCTATTGGTTTGAGATCAGAAGCTTCGAGAGATTCCACGATCGTTATCATGAATCATATCAATCTCGTTGAGATTCTAATGGATGTGGTACTAATCTCTTTCTTTATATTATCTGCTCAAAATTTAAAGAAAAGATCGATTCGAACATTTAATTAATTAGTTGACATTTTTCGATCTTCTTTCTCTGTATAGAATCAATGGTCTTCTGTGTTCTGTGGGATTGTATCGAGGGCATTGACGCTAGAAGTTCTCTCCACCGGCGTTGCAGGAAACTACAATGGGGCACTACAAGTGGTATGAGACTTCAATAAATAATTAAAAAAACCCTACTAATTCGATTACTTGCTTTAGAAGCTATTATTATAAATCATGATAAAACAATTTGTTCTTGTGTTTTGATATTTGTTGTCTGGTCTGCGAAGATGACAGCAGAGTTCCAAGTCCCATCACCGCTTGTTCCCACGCGTGAGAACTACTTTGTAAGGTACTGTAAGCAGCATAGCGACAATACTTGGGCGGTTGTTGATGTATCTTTGGACAGCCTACGACCAAGTCCGATCACTAGAAGCAGAAGAAGACCCTCTGGTTGTCTGATTCAAGAATTGCAGAATGGTTACTCCAAGGTAAAATCAAACGGTCTAAATTAGCAATTATAAAAGTATGAGGTGAAGAATTTGAAAAGAAGAAAATTGTTGGTGGTAACCGTGATTTATTATAATCTTCTTGGCATTTGTTGTAGGTGACATGGGTAGAGCATACGGAGGTGGATGACAGATCGGTTCACACCATGTATAAACCATTGGTTAATACCGGTTTTGCTTTTGGTGCGAAACGTTGGGTGGCTACACTTGACCGCCAATGCGAGCGGCTCGCCAGCTCGATGGCCAGCAACATTCCGGCTAGCGATCTTTCCGGTAAGTTAACCCTCAAATCGGCTAAATTTTGTGGGTTATGTTGATAAATTCATAAATTGTGGGATAAAACCGGCGAAATAATAATGTTAACTAAATGAGTCCTTTTACTTTGTGGTGATTATGATTAGTGATAACGAGCCCTGAGGGGAGAAAGAGCATGCTGAAACTGGCGGAGAGGATGGTGATGAGCTTCTGTAGCGGAGTCGGCGCGTCGACTGCACACGCCTGGACGACATTGACCACCACAGGATCCGACGACGTCCGGGTCATGACCCGGAAGAGTATGGATGATCCGGGAAGACCTCCCGGAATCGTCTTGAGCGCCGCTACTTCTTTCTGGATGCCGGTGGCCCCAACACGAGTGTTCGAATTCCTCAGAAACGAAAACTCTAGAAGTCAGGTATAATCAAATCAAAAGGAAAAAAAAAAAAACTATTTCTTTTCTCGATCGAAAGTTCTTTAATTTAAGGATTTGGTTTTGATTTTTCGCAGTGGGATATACTTTCGAACGGAGGCTTGGTTCAAGAAATGGCTCATATCGCAAATGGTCGCGATCCTGGAAACAGCGTCTCCTTGCTCCGTGTCAATGTAAGACATTTTCTTTAATTAATTTTAGATTTTTTGCTTTGTTTTTATAATGATCTTTCTTGATTTTGTTTTTTTTTAATATATAAAAAGAGCGCGAACTCGGGACAGAGCAACATGTTGATACTACAAGAAAGCTGTACGGACGCATCAGGATCGTACGTGATATACGCACCGGTCGACATAATGGCAATGAATGTTGTCCTGAGCGGCGGGGATCCAGATTACGTCGCTTTGTTACCATCCGGTTTCGCTATACTGCCTGATGGAGGAAGTGCCCGAGCTGAATTAGGAGGTGAAGGAAATAATAATCTTGAAGTGGTTACTTCTGCTGGAAGTAATTGCGGTTCGCTGCTCACGGTAGCGTTTCAGATACTTGTTGACTCTGTTCCAACCGCTAAACTCTCTCTCGGCTCGGTGGCTACAGTTAACAGTCTGATCAAATGCACCGTAGATAAGATCAAAACTTCGGTGATCTGCGACGGAGCCTGATCAAGTGTTTTTTTTTCAGGTACGCTAATTTTCTTTATATTAACCCTTTTTTTAAAATTCGGATAATCACATTTTCTTGATTTGTTTCTGTTTGTGTTTCTGCAGAAGTAAAATGGAGAAGGAGGTTTAGGAGTTTTTTCATGGGAAGAATTTGTTTCTTGTTTTTTTATAGTCGTTTGAGAATCATCCAAAGGAAGTCAAGAACGCACCATTTTGCGTTTAATCTCATTCCGCGTTTGTTTGCGGGCGGGCCAAAAGAAAAAAGGCTTGAGAAAGAAAGGGTAAAGAGGTTCGGGTATTGACTTCTGCTGGAAACCAAAAAAAGAAAAAAAGAAAGAATCGGTTTGTTGTGCTTCAGGCGGTTTTAGCGTTTTGAGTTTTTCATCTGTTATTATTTTATCATTCACTAGCGAACATCTTAGCGTTTTGTGTTTTGCGTTTTGCGTCTACTGTCAAAGTGTATGCTGCTACTCCATGTTGTCATTAAGCCACTCTTGTGGTAATGATATTATAATATTGTCGATGAAACTGTGTTTATTAGTTTTTTCTTTTTTGTTCGTTTATCAATACTTGGGACTGTCTTCTACTTTTTACATCTCTTTCAATACAATTAAAAGAATTTCCCAAATTTATAAAAAAAATATAAACAATGTGGTTTGCACTTTTATTGAAGACAGCAATGGCTACAAATGATGTACCAATCATTGTGATATACGAGCTTTGTCACGCTCTAATAATTCAAACATATCGCTGTCTCGGTTATGGCAATCTTAAGTCGTTTTCTATACAAGTGACCCATGACATAAATTTAATAAATCAATCCTTGCCAAGAAGCAAATAATATTTTTGTTGCTCCATCAAATCGTTACATACTTTGTCAATTTCCATCTCAAAATTAAAAGGACTGCTTCTTCAATGATAATGAAATATTATATTTTATGGATGAAATAATCATTTTGAAGATCTCTACCAATGTGGATGCTCTAATTTATCAGTCACTAGTGAAACAGACATCTTAGCGTTAAGTGTTTCATGCCTACTTGCAAAGTGTATGCTGCTACTCCTGTTCACTAGCCACTCTTGTGGTACTGTCGATGAAACAACTTGAGACTGTCTTCTTCTACTTTTTACATCTCTTTAAGTAGAAATCTATATCCATTTCTAGAATAGCAATAAACAATTTGGTTTGTCCTTTAATAGAAGACGACTATAGCTACTCTTACCAATCATTTGTGATATTCAAGCTTTGTTACCACTATTAATTAAAATTAAAAATCGTTGTCGGTTTTGAAAAGCTCAAGTCGTTTTCTTTAGAAGTAGAGTGACCCATGGTATAAAAATATTAGATTAATCATTCCCAAAAGAAACATTAAATATTTTGTTGGTCCATCAAATCTTACACACTATTGCCAGTTTTCATCCGTCAGAATTTTTATATTTTCAAATCACAAGTAGGCTGAATAGCCGGTATTGTTGAAATATCCTTATCAACGCAAAAGTGAACAAAGCCACTCAATTTTCTGTTTTTATATATATGACCTCCACTCTTGGACCATAACTGAATCAATGGAGGCCAAATCATCAATGTATCTTTCTCTGTTCACATTCTGGTTCATCTCCTTCACCATCATAACCTTCGTCTCATCAGCATCATCATCAACATGGTCTGATGATCATATTTCATTGAGAGAGACTAACGAACACGAAACTTTCCATTTCCCAAAAAGCTTTCTCTTTGGCACTGCTTCTTCTGCTTACCAGGTTCGTAAACCTTCTTTCTTTTACTTCAATGCTTATTTGAAAATCTTCTTTTTTAAAACGTTAGTCTTGTTTGCTCTTACGGTATATTCAGTATGAAGGAGCTTACCTAACCGACGGCAAAACCCTAAGCAATTGGGACGTTTTCACAAACATCACTGGTTAGATCTTTGTGAAGCTTCTTTTTTTTTTTTTTTTTTTTTTTAAGTTTCAAACTCTTAGGGCTTTGTTTCTATTCTTGTTGCTCAAGTTACCAAGTAAAACTTTGTCTATATACCTTTCATTTGTATAGGAAAAATCGCAGATGGAAGCCATGGGAAAGTCGCTGTCGATCATTACCATCGATATCCGGTAACTTAACTGTAAATCTATACATCGAATATTGATCTGTTTCGGTACAAATCTCTAAATAAGTGTCACGAAAGTGAAAAAAAACTGTTGTTAAAACTTTAACAGGAAGATTTGGATCTGATGGAAGATCTTGGTGTTAACAGCTATCGCTTTTCTTTATCATGGGCTCGGATTCTTCCAAGTAAAGTTCTTGTTTTTTTCTTTATTTCAATCTCTCTTGATCAAGTTCTTATTCCGTCTTTTTCAAAAAAAAGTTTGTATAATTGTATGTGTTGCAGAGGGAAGATTTGGAGATGTGAACATGGAAGGTATTGATCATTACAACAGAATGATCAATGCTATTCTCAAAAGAGGTAATAATTGATAGATTTTTCTTGGATAAGTTTTCTCAAGACACCAAACTTAATTAGCTTTATCATTCTCAGGGATCGAACCATTTGTCACGTTGACACATTATGACATCCCTCAAGAACTCGAAATTAGATACGGAAGTTGGCTAAATCCACAAATTCGGTAAGTATACACACACGTGTACACGTAGATTATACGTACACTGATAAACTGAAATTCAAAATAATGTTGTTTACTTGTTTTCAGGGAAGATTTCGAACATTACGCAAATATTTGCTTCCGATACTTTGGGAACAGAGTTAAATTTTGGGCTACTTTCAACGAACCAAACGTTCAAGTAATTATGGGTTACCGTAAAGGAACTTACCCGCCATCACGTTGTTCCAAGACTTTCGGAAACTGCACACGTGGCGGTTCGGACCTAGAGCCACTTGTCACCGCTCACAACATTATCCGGTCACATCTTGCCGCCGTTAATTTGTACCGGACGAAATATCAGGTAACTAAAGTATAAACGTACCGATTATATTTCATAACGGTTTAACGCTAAAATGGTTTCGTTTGTATAGAAACAACAAAGAGGAAAGATAGGCATTGTTATGAACGCGATCTGGTTTGAACCGTTTAGTGATTCTTTAGCAGATAGATTAGCTGCTGAGAGAGCTCAGGCTTTCTACTTGACTTGGTAAAGCCTAATCGGTTAAAAGATTCTGATTCCCACATTAAACCAAGATACCGGATTTTAGAATCGAAAGATTTGCAAAACGCAGGTTCTTGGACCCGGTTGTGTTTGGAAGATATCCAAGAGAAATGCAGGAAATTCATGGAGAAGATCTTCCTAAATTCACAAAAGATGATCTTAAAAACTCCGAGAATGGATTAGACTTCATCGGGATTAATCAGTATACTAGCAGATACGCTAAAGACTGTCTACATTCCACATGTGAACCGGGCCAAGGAGGTTCGAGAGCTGAAGGTTTCGCCTATGCAAACGCTCTTAAAGACGGTCTAGCTTTAGGAGAACCGGTATGTAAACCGATTAATCGAAAGTACTGTACAACCTATTTCTTAGAAACATCTTTTGAGTTGTTTGATTTTGGTAATGATGTAGACTGGAGTAACGTGGCTTGCTGTTTATCCTCGAGGAATGGAAGAGATGTTGATGTATGCTACAGAGCGATACAAAAAAATCCCATTGTATGTAACAGAAAACGGTAAGCATGTGGGCCAGACTCTCTACTATGTTCAGTTTTAGAGAGAGTTTTATGTTTTCAGGTGTTAAGAGAGGGTATATTTTTGCAGGTTTTGGTGAGAATAATACTGGAGTTTTGTTAAACGATTACCCGAGAGTGAATTTCATGAGTAGCTATTTAGATGCACTAAAAAGAGCAATGAGGTGATAATTAGTGCTTATGTTTTAGACAAAGCTCAAATCTGTCTTGATACTAATACCCTAAAGTTAAATGGTTGAAAATAGGAAAGGAGCAGATGTAAGAGGATACTTCACTTGGTCTTTATTGGACAACTTCGAGTGGGTATATGGTTATACCATAAGGTTCGGTATGTACCATGTCGACTTCGATACTCTAGAGAGAACCCCAAGACTCTCTGCTTCTTGGTACAAGAACTTCATTTCCCAGCACAGAGCTAAATCCAAAGATGATGATGATGATGCCTGAAACAAAAGCAAGACCCATGTTGTTGTCTTTTCTTGTTTGATTCTTCAACAAAGGAGAAAAGTAATAATGTAATAGAATAGTGTTTTAATGAAAATAAGTTCCAATAAACAAGACATTTTTCATTCCTCACCTCACTGAATCAAGTTTAGATAAGATCATCAAGACATCAAACATCAGGACGAGTTTTTCATCTCCACCAGGGAGTCCCAGCTTCATAGAAATGCTCTCCATCTTTATCATCCCACGAGATTTGACAAGCTTGAAGACCGATTCCTACTCTCGGTTCCTTCCCATGCCTACTGATCCATTCAGCAACTGCGGTTTCCTTATCGTCCTCCTCCATTGTTACATGTTTCTTTGCTTTCCCGTAAGGATTGATCCCAGGATTCACCGTCTCTGCTATTGCAGCTGGCATGTACATTGAGTCACCAACCAACGGTGCCCCACAAGCTGCAAACTGAGCCCGGATCTGAAAAACCCGTTTCAAACGCAGGAATTAGATTTATACTAACATATTCAGACGAGATTCATGTTTTATGGAGGAGAAAACGTGACCGACCTGGTGAGTCTTTCCTGTTATAAGGTTTATTGTACACTCGTAAGCATATTCTCTTGAAGGCCATCCACAGTCTTCGATGTCATGTTTCTTCTCAGTCGCTGCGTCGGGCCAAGGTATCTTCTTACATTCTAAAATCTCAAGTTGACACAAGTGCCAGCCTTTGATCAGATCTGCACGTCAAAGAATGTTATATTCACATTGTTAGAGAAGTACACAGAATCATATATTCATTTCATGTCTTTGATGATTCTTGTCAACTTCAAATGGAAACTTGCCTTCGGATACGAGTCTAGGAGCCATATTGATTGGGCGCATATAATGTGAGATTACTCCACAGGGAAGAGGTGCCGCAGCAAGTGCACGATAAAGTTTCTTTACTTCTTTATACTTGAAAATAAAAGGAAAAACATATAGAAAAACAATGAAATATTTCAGTACAGTCTTCTTGGTTCTCCAGTCCAACGAAAAAGAGGCAACCAAACTCACTCTTATTTTCGTGTGGAAGACCGAGCAGTATTCTTTTGTTCGAGCAAAGACAACACTGTAGAGAAAGAAGAAAAGCTATGAGACCTGGTCACTTGAAGATGTTACATTAATTTGAAGAAAAAAAAGTTACTAACGGGACAGTACCAGCCTTCTGTGCAGTTATCAATCTGATGCGTTGTTTTCAATGGTTCTGGCAAATCCAACGCACGTGAGGCAAATGTAGCACAAGTCTCTTCAATATTATCCATGGTTCCCCCAACCTGATCAAAAATAGTCAACGTGTGTCAACGCATTGAAATGCTGAGCACCATGATTCCGGTATAGAACAAAGATAAAGCGTTTCATAGGAGTTTAAGAAATAAAAAAAACTTCAAATTACTACGAGAGGAAGCACAATAAAAACGTTTTGATCGAAAGTTACAATTTGATAATGTTTAAAACCAGTACAACTACACTCACAAGATCAAGTACCTTTATGCAAGGTTTCTAATGAAACTCAAGAACATTGAGAAGAAAGTCTAGTGAATGAATTTACATACCGTAGTGCCAGCAGGTTTATCCAAAACGACATAAGAGTCAGTCACAGCAATAATCCGCGACTTCCAATCAATTTCATAACACCTGATCATAAAAAAAAAAAGCAAAATCCCTCATTTCAACTGGTTATCTCCAAAACTTTCAATTTCTAAATACATTTCTTCCAAAATGTGTACTACCTTGGGGAACGTTTTGGGTGGACGTGGACACGCAAGTAAGTTCCAGCTTCGACATACTGATCGGTATGAGTCACACGAAACGTTTTCTGAGCTTCTCTAACAGTTTTCCCTTTGATGGAAGGTCTCTTGCTTAGTACTGAAGGAGAGGTTACTTCTTCAAAGAGTTTGATTTGCTCGGGAGTCGCAGTTGGTGGAGGTTTAGGGCATACAAGAGCGTAATGTACAGCTCCGAATCGGATAAGATCTGCAACATATCTTCATAGAATGAAAATTTTATTTACTCTATTCATAAACATATGATATCTTTAGACTGCTGCTTTGTTGAAGAAAGAGTACTTACAAAGGAGGAAGATCCAATTGTTTGCAGATAAAATCAACAACGAGAACGTCTTCTAAAACAACCATATGCTCAATTCTTGGAGGAAAGTTATGCGCAGGACATGGCATCAATCGATTGTATTCAGGGTAACTGACAAAAAAAACCAAATGAACACATAAATGATAAATCAGCTGAATTTCACAGTAAAGTAACGAAATTTGAACGAATTGAATAAAAAGATTCAAACTTTTAGCATACCCATTACTGGAGGAAGAGGGGGAGAGAGCGGTTTGATTCGGAGAATCGGTTTGAAGTAAGGATAAGCAAGTGAATCTCCTTGAAGAAGAAATGAAACGCGGAGAGTGTTTGTAATGGAACGATGGAGTAGTAGTGCTAAGGGTGGATGCTAAAGTGCGCAGGAGAGAAACCGGCGCAGCAAGGTTCCGGTAACCACCTGTTAACGCCGGCGAAGCCATTGTTGATTATGGTTCGGTAAATGACCTAAGCATCGTTATCGTTATCGCGCCAATCTGAAATATGGGCCGAGGCAAACCTAATTTTGGGCCGAGAGAGAAACTTAGTTGATGTGGGTAATTTAGTTGGTTTGGTCATTAGTGGTTAATATCGGTTTGTTACCCGCGTTATATTTGGTTGATAAACCGAATAATTACTTTTTTCTTAAATTATGACTACTAATATAAAAATCACGCAGTCTTTAGATTTAGTGGGATTGATTGAAAATTTGAAATTATTATGTTCCCTGACTTTAGGGTAAAAAAGGAAACATATTATTCTTAAGTGAAATTATTAATCCACGGCATGACAGAAGGGAAAGTGATTGAATTAACCATCATCATTTATATTTGAAGAAAGGTCATATTTATTTATGTAATATAGCTTTTATGAAGAAAAAAATTGGGTGTAGTCATAACATGGTTGGCTTGTTCGAATATTTTTTTATTAATTTACAAAAGTTTATTTAATTTATCAACCGAATAATATTTTGTCCTTTCTACAACAACCTTGTGTCATGTACATAGACTTGTGTCATGTACATAGACCATCACTGTTCTTTTTGCAACAATCGACTTCTCTATTCGCTTTAAAATCCTCAAATCTTCAATTTTTGTTTTGTTATTTCATTAATAATGTGCTTCTAATAGAATTTCGTAATTCATATTTTAGGTAGGATCGGTAAAACACTATTAATCCTAAGATTATATTTGGATTTTGAACAATAAAATCTAGAAATATAGAAAAGGGAAGAAAAAGAAATAAAGAAATGGATCATCAACCAAAGCAATCATATCAAAAAGAAGATACATTTTTTTATTACTTTAGCTTCAAGCATTTTCACAACACTTCATTACCACTTGAACAATAGAACAAAAATATAAAAACGCAGAAGCTACAAAAACTCTTTATCAATGGCTGCTCAAATCCCCATAGGGACACGAGGAACTATCGGATCGCTTGTGCGTAAAGAAATCGACTACTTCAAAAACTTCAGTACATGTCCCCATTTTGATACACGGAGAGTCATTTCTGAAGAAAAGAAGAACAGTTTCCAGCGAAGAGATCACTCATCACGGCTGAGTTCTTGGTTTTCTAGAACAAATTGGAGAAAGAAGAAGCGGCAGAGCAGTGGTGGCGGTGGCGGTGGCAGGTTTTTGTCGAGTATGTGCTCGGCGGTGGAGGTTGCAGGAGAGAATCGGGTTCCGGGTTTCAACTATAGGATCTTGAAGAGTGACGAGGATGGCTTGCATGTGTAGAGGATTGCTTATTTATGTTGAATACGGTAAAGACATTGTCATCTGCATAAACTTGTACTCTTAAAATTTGAAATTATGTATGTGAATTTGTTACATTTTACAATGTTAATGAGCATAAAAAAAAAGGTTATGCTTCAAGGATTATTTCCTTTTTTCTTTGTTTGGCCGTGACGTATGGTAAAGTGTAAAAGTTAAGGTCGATCCGGCCCGGTCTATATTCAGATTCGGATTCGGTTATATTCCCGGTCTAAATGCAATTCCGCTCGGTATATTGGAAAATGCTTATATTACCAGTTGACTATTCTGATGTTTGTTTCTATTGCGACATGCTTAGATTTCACGTTGCTTCAAATGTTTCTCTTTGACTAACATTTGCAGTTGTCCTTAATATTGAAACCATTGTTCCTGATGAGCTTGTGCTGCCGTAGATTAACATTCTACTTTAGTTGAGAGGATTCTTTTGACCTCATCACAGTTTCAAGTATGAAGCACATTGAAAGGTTATATAACTTCATTTGCATGTCAACTATATCAAAAGGACAAAACTACATAGCTGCTTTGAAAGAGAACAGAAATTTTGTGGGATCAAATCAGTTTTTTGGAAGAAACGATGAAGGATTTTGTTGGATTGGGAAAGTGAAAAGATAGAGAAATTGAGAGATAATGAAGAGTCGAAGAGATTAAACTTTTCGATTTTCGTAAGTCATTCACGACAAAACAGAAAAAAAAAACTTTTTTTATGGATCCTCTTTTTATTTATTTTTTCTGTTAATTTGGACCCTTTTTGTATTAAATACTCTGTTGTATTTGCTAACTAAAAAAATTTTTTTTACTACTATTGTGCCCCTTTTTTTACTGGACTAGGGCAGTGCACCGTTTGTCCTGCGTGGTAAGCCGGTCCTGTTTTCATGATTGTGTGTTGTCTGCAAAACTAGAGAGGCATATAGGCGAAGATCACAGATCAATTACCTAATTTCGTGGTAAATATGAAAGGTTTTGTTGAAAAGAACAGAGAAATTTTGTGGGATCAAATTAGTTTTTTGGAAGAAACGATGAAGAATTTTGTTGGATTTGGAAAGTGAAAAGATAGAAAGATTGAGAGATAATGAAGAGTCGAAGAGATGAAATTTTTCGACTCATAAGTCATTCACGACAAAACAAAGAAAAATCTTTTTTTGTAAACCCTCTTTTTATTTATTTTTTCTGTAAATTTGGACCCTCTTTGTATTAAATGATCTGTTGTATTTGCTAACTAAAAAAAAATTTACTACTATTGTGCCCCTTTTTTACTGGGCCCTGGAGAGTGCACCGTTTGTCCTGCGTGGTAAACCGGCCCTGATCTCTTGTTGAAGCTAAAAGCAAATTTGGGATGTTTCACTTATCTCCGAAACTGGTCTAGTTGAAGCAGTAAACTTGGATTGGAGGGTGAAGCTATACAAAACTCGACGGTGACACCGAAGCTCACATTTTGAATGCTCTGAGAATAGAGCAGATGATAATACATCAATACCATCTCTGAGACAAGTGAATACGGTTTTTGCTGCTGCCTACTCCTTCAAACCGAGTTTGAGAAGAACAACTCCAAATATGGATCACTTCTCTAATTTAGGGTGTCTCCAGCAGCAACCACATTTATGAACGTGTTTTTGAATTCTGATTAGTGTCTGGTGATCTTCTTTATTCTGTGGAGATTTCATTAGGTTAACTGACTTCAACTTGCAGTAGAAGAAGAGACGAACCATTGCTAACGATTCAGAGATCGTAGTGTTGGATGCTTGATAAGACTTCAAACATTCATGTTGCAACACAGAGAGTCCAAAGGTCAAGAAGAGAATGAAAATTAAAAGTTTTTTAATGGCTCCGAGTTTCCAACTACAGCGAGATGCTAAAATGATCTCTTCGCTGTCATCGGAATGCTAAAGATTTGTCTGGTTCTGAGGATGTTTGAGGTGGACATGAAGCAGCCACATGGACGGTCGAAATTGAAATCATTGGACTTTTATTTGCTCATTTATATATATACACAGTTCCACGTTTCTTTCATTACCCTCTTTGATTAACTCCCCAGTTTTCCTGTTTGTCTGTGTTTCTCCTTTGTCGTGATTATAATCGAAGCATTATACGTACACACGTGTTTTTCATGTCTACATACTTCTTGATACACATTTAAACTGCAAACACGTCTTTTAACATTCAAACATTCAAACGGGCCAAGCCACCTATACCTAATTTCACTTTGTTATGAAACAATATCTTATATTGGCATGTGTTAAGCAAATGAGACAAGGCAATAACATATTTGGCTAAATATGTGGTGTTATTAATTTATTAAGTTAGATCTAAGACATGTCTATAATTACATCTCTTTTATCAGAATAATATATGCTTTATAGTATTTCACTCAAAATAGATAACATAGAATCCCAATTTTCAATAAAATTTATAAAAACACGTATACTTTATGAACAAAGTCAAATTATTCATATTAATCATAATATGAATATGTTTTTATCAGAGGAAAATGTGTCATTTAATCATGGATATGAAATTCAATATTTCTAAATGCAAAACAGATTTTTTGTTTTATTACTTTTTCATCTTACCATTTTAGAATTCCATAAAGATACATAAATCCAAAGACTAAAAAAATGGTCATTTACTTTTCTTTAATGCTTTTTATTACCTTTTCACTTTTTGTAAGAAAGAAAAATGTCGTTTCTGAAGTAAGAAAATGATTTTACTTTTATAAAGAAATATTCAGAGGACGTGTGAGAGAAGAAGCCAGAAGCTACAGGCAGCCTACAGTGTCGAAAAGATCGCAACGTCCCACAACCGTTGATCTTCATCTCTCTCCCTCTCTATCTCTCTTTCTCTCTGCCATCTGACCTGTGAGTTGCAGATATTCAAACATCTCACCTCTTCCTTTGTTCGCCTCTCGGATTCTGAAGAGCTGATTTAGGGTTTCTGGATTTGTAAATCGCACTTTGGTCGATTCGGTGGATTTTGGAACTTTCCTCCTGGAGGAATTGTAATCCCTCTGGCAAAGAGAGGAAGATAGTAGACAACGAGGAGGATGACCGATTCGAGTCTGATGATGCCGGCGGAGATGGCGAACATCTTCGCGACGGCGATGACGAATTGGTGGGATGATGTTAACGAGTCAACTCAGTGGCAGGATGGGATCTTCTTCGCTCTCTGTGGAGCTTACGCTCTAGTTTCCGCCATCGCTCTTGTACGATTTATTCTCGATTTCTATATTTTCCCGGTCAAATTCATCGTACTGTTTTCCGATATACACGAAATCAGATTGCTTTTTTTCATTTTTCTTATTCTGTTGTTTTGGGGTTATGCGAGTCAGTTTTCAAATACGCTTGATTTGAGGGTTCTAGGTCAAAATTCTTGCGTGCTTGACCTGTATTTCCTCTTCTGTTGAATAAAAGAACATTTCTGGGCATTTTCGATGATGAAGCATCGTTTTCTGTCTATATCACGGAACTTAGAATATACCGAGGAAAAGATTCGATTGGTGAAGTTATATACTTTATAGTCGATTGATTGTTCTATACTTTATACCTGGATTTAGTTACTTTTTTTTTCTTTCTGTGTTGCAACTGTTGACCTTTTTTTGTTCTGAATTGGATGTTCATTGGCAGGTCCAATTGGTAAGGATCCAAATGAGAGTGCCTGAATATGGCTGGACCACTCAGAAGGTGTTTCATCTTATGAACTTTGTCGTCAATGGAGGTGTGTGTTTCCCGTTGACAAATGATAACAATTTTTGTTTGTTTCCAGCTCTTTCGATTTACGTTTTTTGGCTTTCTGTGTGTGCAGTTCGTGCTGTTCTATTTGGACTTCACATGCAAGTGTTTCTCGTGCATCCCAAGGTGAGAGTCTGCATAAGATTTGAGTGAGGTTCTTTAAACATGGTGTTGGTTCATTTGCAAAATACAGAAAAGATCAGATTTTTATGTATCTTCGCTCAGCTTTATGTGTTCTCAACTTAAGTCTGGTTTTTTGTACGTTTGATTTGGAGACGGTGATTTTAAAGGCTGCATCTTTTAAGTATCTAATGTTGTTACTGAGGTAATTGCAGGCTCTTTGCTGGATATTGTTGGATCTTCCGGGCCTCCTCTTTTTCTCAGCATACACACTGCTTGTGCTGTTCTGGGCAGAGATATATCACCAGGCAAGTGAAAACTGCTAAAAGTAAATTTTTGATATGCGTTGACACTCTTTTAAACCTGCCTGACAAGCTCTAAAAATATATGTTGTTGCAACTTATGAGCAGGCAAGAAGCTTACCAACGGATAAGCTGCGGATAACCTACATTTCAGTCAATGTGGCTGTATATTTGGCTCAGGTTCATCTCTGATTCTTTTTTGTTTCATTTTTTTGCTAGTTTTTATATTTGTAATTACCGAGATTCCCGAGACCCATCTATATACATTATTTACATTTATCGAAACTATAGATTGTGCATGTCTTCAACCTTGTCCCTATCTCATTAACGTTTTGGCCATTCTGTGTGAACCTTTCTTCAGTGAATCAAAAGACTTATGTTGACATGTAATTAATGTCTCTACCAGGTTGCTATCTGGGTAGTCATCTGGGTAAATGATAACAGCACTGTTGAGTTGGCTGCCAAGATATTTATGGCAGGTAGGTTCTTTGTCTGATCAAGCAAGTTTGCTAAACCCGTTTCTAAACAAATCATTAATACTCTCTCTAATCTATACTCTACTTCTTCTTCATCTAGTTGTGTCTTTCATCGCCGCATTAGGCTTCTTGCTGTATGGAGGAAGGTTTGTGTTTTTTGTTTTTTCCACATGCCTCATTATCAAAATGTCTGGAAGGCCGTCTTTTCTCATGTGTTTCGTTGTGTGCTATAGATTGTTTTTCATGCTGAGAAGGTTCCCTATCGAGTCGAAAGGAAGAAGGAAGAAACTCCATGAGGTATTTCATTGTGCTTGCACATCTTTGTCTTAGTTCTATATAACTCACAGACAGTTTTGCCTTCAAGATCATTGCTTTTCACCTATTAGCCTTTGTAATTGAAAAGGTTTCCGTTGCAGGTTGGATCTGTGACAGCCATATGCTTTACCTGCTTCCTCATTAGATGTGTTGTGGTAAGCTCTGAGATAGAACCTAAACAAATTAAATCTTTATCATCAGCTATTATTTCAGTAACGCTGATGAGTGTTTCTTTTTATGTGTCTTTCTTGCAAAACCTTAGGTGGCTGTATCAGCTTTTGACAGGGATTTAACGCTCGATGTTCTTGATCATCCAGTTCTGAACTTAATCTACTATATGGTAAGTAACCAAAATCTTCATTAATCATCTCTCTCATAATCTCTGTTTTCTGTTTTTTCACTAACTGGAAGAAAAAACAAAAACTAAATGACAGGTGGTTGAAGTACTTCCATCGGCACTAGTCCTCTTCATTCTCCGTAAGCTACCTCCAAAGAGAGTATCAGCTCAATACCATCCGATCCAGTAAACGTTTGTATGAACCATCACACGCTGAGTGAGTCTGATGATGTTTCATGAGAGTATAAGTATCAGTTGAGAAAATTGGGGCAAAAATTCTTAAGGTGAAAGAAGAAGAAACCGGTGTGGAATCTGCGTGAGTTTTTTTGGAATGCACGATCATAAAGCCTGCCTTGACTTTTGGTTTGGTAGTTAATTACTATGTCGTTTTTAAAGTACATGTTCTTCTGCTGCTACTTTTAAAAATCTGGTCAAGACAAGAGGTTTTAACTTTTGTTGTTTGATTGTTATGTTATATATTATGTTCAGTTGAAAAATAACAAATTGTTTACTTTTGTGTCTTGTTTTCTCATCTTCTTCTCTTGATGATTCACAGGTTCTTGGTTTCCCAAAAAATATATCCCAAATTTATCTTGTGTAAGCTGCGGGTGAATAAAGAACGTATACGTATAACCAAACTGAATTTAACTATATAATAAGCTTAATATATATAAAAAAGCTTTCCTTTTTGATACGAACAACCTAACCGAAGAGTTTGAACGAAATCAAGCTAAAACTGAACTCAAATTAAACTAGCACTGTGGTTTTGAGTTAGATTTTGTTCAGCTAGTTTAATTTTATTTAAACTAGGTAAATAATTCGCGCTTTCACCCGGAAACTCATTTTTTAATAATTATTTTATATAACTGATATTTTAAAAATATGTTTAAAATAGTTAAATCAATAAATTTATATTTAAATATATTTATTTAATAAGTTAAAAAGATAATTAATAACAACATAAACATATAGAAAACAATCTATATCAAATATATGATTGTAAGGTAGTTTCAGAAGAATTTATTTATCAACAAAATGTTATTCGCAAATCACGCACATATATTATTAGTATGTTTTCCTTCATTCTTTGTTTCTATAAAAAATGTTATTATTTCTGATTAGATAATTACATTTTCAATAGAAGGTTTTGGTACAACAGTTCATTAATCAAAAAGCTTTTTAATTGTTTGTTGTTTTCAAGTATCCTCGTAAGTGACATCTTAGTGAATGAATATGTAATGTTGATAATAGTGTCATGATATTTGAATGGGAATAATCACTAGATTCAATCACTTCACAAGCCCTAAGTATAACATTCATTAGAATCATGTTTACCTCTTTAAATTCAATTCCTTCACTTATCAAATAATTATTAAAATCTTTTTTTTATATGTAGACCTCTCTTCAGATATAAAATTAACGTCAGTAAAAGTAAATAACTTTAATATTGGTAATTGAAACTAAATTGTTGTATAACTTGACAATTATAATGATTGTTTCACCACACTCACTTTTTAACAATTCGTTCAATCTAACGCTATAAGAAGAAAAAATTATATTTTTTTTTAAAAAACGAAACCAGTAAATATGAGTGTTACCAAAGAGTAAAAATACATTATTTCTAATTTATTAAGTATACAAGTATAAGTGCTCTTTAAGTAAATAAAGCAACTGTTGACTTAAATAATCTTTAAAAGAGAAAATTTACGTCCTTTTAAAATATGTCTATTCATTTAAAAATGGTTAATTTTTTTCCTATAATTGTTGGAATAATTTTTAATTATTATCAACATATTTGTATCCTGCTAAATATATATCTTAACGTTTCTGTAAATGAAAAATAAAGATTTGTTGTCGAATATTTATAATGCTTTCTCTATTGTAGTTTTCACTGCATTTAAGTATTGTTATTTGCTACGATGTAGTTCCAAAATTCTAAATTTAAAAAAAAATGTTTGAAAAAGAAATAATTGCCATCTGATTTGATGTGGACCTGTTTTTGAGCAGATTCCCAATTGGGATGCTTAAGGTACTGAATATTATTTAATACTTTTTCTAAACATTATTTTTTTAGCCTTGATAAATTTTTAAACTTTTTAAATAAATGACTTTAGATAATACAACATATATTTGTCTATGACTAAAAGCTGGTCTAAGAAGATATAAACCCACCCTCATTCTATGTGTCTTTTTATTAACGTTCACAACATCAGATTTAACTGATTTTTTTTCTTTAGTTTTAAACAATATAAATAATTTTGAAAAGATAAAAAATTACAGTTATAATAAAAATATAACTATTTATAAAATATAATAATTTATAATGAAAAGACATAATCAACACAACAATAATCCATAAGTCTCTCCATGGCTTCACACATGAGCATTTTCAAGCTTTTAGGAGATGACACTTCAGCAAAAAAAAAAAACACCAATAAAAACATTTCATTAATACAAGTCATCAATATATTTAACTTTTATTTTTTTGCCAAACCCAAATAATAAATAACAACAAATAGTAAAATTAAATCTTTGTTTTATATTTTTGCCAAACCTAAATTCAAATAATAAATAACAGCAAAAAAATTAAAATTTCTACCTATGTGTTTGCTTGATAGATACATATATGATTGAAGAAAGTGTAGACTCATCATCAACTATGCTTCTATAACAACAATGCAAAAAATGTTATGTTATAAGAAGTTCACACATCAGCAAAAATTTGAACCAATAAAAACATAACAATAATACATATTATTAACACACTAATAAAATCAATTTACTATTTTGCTGACCCATTAAAAAGCCCAAAGTTTACAAAAAAAAATGAAAGGCGAAAGCAAATGAGGAGAAACTCAGACCATCACAACTTGGAGATTCGCATTTCCACTGGTTACCGAGAACAAATTTTCTTGGGTTTGGCGGAAATAGAGAATTTCTTGGTTTTGGTAGAAAAATGTGATTTTCAGTTTTGGTAGGAAAACATAGTTTCTCGGTTATGGCGGAAAAAAGCAAATTATCGGGTTTGGCGGAAAATGTGAATTTTTGGTTTTGGTGAGAAATAAAAAATTTTATATTGACGAGAACATGTGAGGGAAATGCAACTTTTCAATTTTGACGATAATACGATTTCTCGGTTTTGATAGAAAATACAATTTTTTGGCTTTTGATGGATAATGTAATTTCTTGATTTTTGCAAAAAATTGTAATTTGACAATTTTGGCAGAAAATACAAATTTTCGGGTTGATAGAAAAGCAAAATTTCTCAATTTTGGTGGGAATAAACAATTTCTTGGTTTTGATGGGAAATGCAAATTTTCAGTTTTTGACATATAATTTGATTTTTTTGGTTTTCGAGGAAAAATATGATTTTTTAGTTTTTGCGGGAAATGCAATTTCTCATGAGATAATGCAATTTTTGGTTTTCACAGAAAATTGTAGTTTATCGGTTTTGGTAGGAAGACTTGATTCTTGATTTGACGAGAAAATTAATTTTTCTTGTTTTGGTGGGAATAGACGATTTTTGCGGAAAAATATATTTTTGGTTTTGACGGGAAAATACTATTTTTTTGTTTTTGCAGGAAGATGAAATTTTTTGATTTTGTTTTGGTAGGAAAATGAAATTTCAGGTTTGACGAGAAAATGAATTTTTTTGGTTTTGGCGGGAATAGACGATTTCTCAGTTTTGTGGGAAAATATTTTTTTTTTGTTTTGTCGTAAAATGCAATTTCTCAGTTTTTGTAAAATGATAAAATTTCTCTGTGCTAATTTTCAAAGTTACAATATGTTTATAGTAATCAAAATTGAATTATTTAACTTCAACTAAATTGATATTTTAACAGTTTAAATAGAACTTTCTATTTAGTTCTAAAGTAATAGTAATGATTTTGATACGAATGTTATTGATTATAGTTTGGTAGTTTTAGAAACATATGTCTATAATAAATATTTGATAAACAAATAAATTTTATAGTTTAAAATAATCATATTAATTAATATTTTTTAAATGGCAATTTGCTTTATATAATTTCAAAAGAAGATCAAATAGCAATTTAGTAGAGAAAATAAATTACATTTACCATTAGCATGAAGGCACTTAAAAATGTATTATTTTATTCTTACATATACATTTATAGATAGTTAGTTAAACAAATTTGATAGTAGATTATAATTTAAAAAAATTAAAAAATTAATGATATATAATGTTTATTCAGATTTAAAACATATACATACATAACTTAAGCTAATAAAAAATAAATATAATACTTATTTACATTATAGAAATAATTTTATTATATTAAAAATATATACAAATCTAGAAAAAATATTCTGCAGCGTAGCGCAGATAAATATCTAGTCATTTATAATAAAAAGATGTAACTACAACTTTTAAAATGTTACAACTTATTACTTTTGGATAGAAATCGATATATAAAAATGATATAATTTCAGACGTTTTATAAATTTTAATATATATAATAAGAATACTTACCGTCTTGGCAATTAGTTTATGCAAGAACAACGGAGTTGAAGATTTCAAAGCACAATGACAAATTAAATAGATGATCCATTGAGAGAGTTGGAGATGGTTTGTTACAGGTATATATATATATACATATTGATAAAAGAGATAATTTGTTTATTAATAAAGAAAATTATAATTATATATCTAACCTAAATAAAATGACCCATGTCTCTTTGCTTCTCTTCCATTAACATCAACAAAAATTTCTCAAACCTTTTCTAAAGTTGCATGCAGTGACTAGATTTTTTCATCATAATAAGGATAAATATTAAATATTTTTTCAAGATGAATAACAATATTAAATATTTTCTATGCTTTTAAAATTTTGTTTCATACATATTTTTTTTGGAAAATGATTATATTTCAGATTTTCTGTTATTATTTTTATTTTCAGAAAACCATCTAGATAATCTATATTTATGATAAATCATTATAGTAAAAAAGTAAAAATCAAACCTAAATGAATTTTTAATATGGTTTTGAGTAGTATCAATAATTTTAAAATGATACAAATTATAGTTGTGATGAAAAAATACAATAATTTATAATGAAAAAATACAATTATTCATAATGAAAAGGCGCTACTCACAACGGATGAAAAAACACAACTATTTATAAGGAAAAGACGCAACCATAAATTTTGAAACGATACAATTTGTGAAAATGTAAATGGCATTTATTTGGATTATTATACATTAAAACAAATAAAAATGATATGGTTACTATAAGGTAGTTTATTAATTTTTATAATATCGTAAGATAAATGAAAGCTATAATACCGTAAGATATAAGATATTTACTAATGAATTGATATTCGCATTTGGGATGGAGATATGAAATTAAACGTACCACACTTGAAATCCTTCTTGGCTTCCCTCACCAATAATTCCAGTTTGAGTCACCTGTTGCATCAATGAAGAAAAATCAATCAAATAAAGCCAACCATGAACCAAGTTATACATATTGGGTGTGACACAAGACTGCTCAACGAAAATCTTGTTCATGGTTATGTGTATGCTTAATAGATGATTCTGACACCATACGGTAAAAGAAAAAGCTAGCTTTGCTTTTTTAGATGTATTGTTTATGCTATTTATCTACTCCCTTCTGGTTTCAGCTTGCCCTGAAAGGCTTTCATGTATTTTAGATTCGTCTCCTATTTACTTCGATGTGGATCCGTATTGATTTTCTTCTTAGACAGGATCTTCCGGTTGAATTGTAGCTTCGGCGGTGAGGAATGCAAATTTTTCTGTTTAGTGTTTTTTATTGGTATCATAAATTTAAATAATAAAAATTAAAATCAGACAAAAATGTATTTTTATGTAATTTTAAGCAATATAAATAAATTTGAAAAAATACAAATTTTAGTTGTGCTGAAAAAACACAACTATTTATAATGAAAAAATACAACTATTTATAATAAAAAGATACAACCATAAATTTTTTAAAAAAACTATCTTTTAAATCTTTTGTTTCTGTGTCTTCTTTAAATCCTATAAGACACCAATTCTCTTCACTCGCTTCAACAGGAGCCATGACTGTCTTATAATCATTTGTCGGGAAGCCATTTTATCATTGTAATAATTCCAAAATGCATTCCATAATGTTAATTGTTCTGTAACTTCATTATGATATACTAATTTGACAAACAATTTACACAATTGATTTGGTGTAGCAGTAAATGATGCTTCTTTCATAGCCACATATCATTCGTCATCATTGCTAATTAGATTATTTGTCACACATGCATCTGTCCAAGTTTTAAGACCTTTGTCCCATACATATTTTTTGGTTAATTGATTGTATGATAGATTTTTCGTTACTTTATCTTCTTTATTTATGGCAAACCAGTGAGAGAACATGATTCTATTTTACGGAAATGTATAACGAATAGTTTTTTTTTAATGTTATCAAGCAATATAAATAGATTTTAGAAGACACACGTACTCTCCCTCTCTCTCTAGTGGTGATTGTACGGAACCGACGTCGGTTGTACTCTTCTTTTTCTGTTCTTAATTTATTTGAAACCATGTTTCCTCTTTCTCTTTTAAGAGAATGTTTTATGTGCGATTCTCGCATTTGCTTTCTCTTCCTTTGGAAGAGCATTGTCCGATGGTTATTTCATGATCTTTCTGGGTTAATTCTGTCGGTGTTAGTCCGTTTGAGTAAAATATCAGACGGTTGGTTGAAATTATCCTTTTTGGATGAATTCAAAATCTTTAAACCGCCTTGGGATCTCATTTTTCTGTGTGTTTCCCAGAATTATTCCTTCAGTTTTTGTCTATGATCCTTATCTACTAGAAGTGATACAATACAACATCACTTCCAAGTCACTAATCTGGGGGCAAACGATGTAATGAGTACTTTTCAAATTGATTGTGTCTTCACTACTGATCCAGGTTTTTTCTCGCTGAACTCTTTATGTGATATATGTTTCTGGAGAAATCTCAGTTTTCACAAGAAGGATAATATATTCATTATTATCTCAACGGAGAACAACCGCATGAAGTCATCAACAAATTGTCTGGAAAACAAAGTGAATGAGATGAATCTTGTTCATTATTGGGCACGAACTTTGGATGGGTCAAAGTCACAGTTTTCTCCATTGGCATTGATACGAAATGTTTGGTAACAATTTGTCTATTTTTCAGAACTATCAACAAAAGCAATGGGTTTATTAATGCGATGTGCAAGTAGAAGTCTCGATGAAGAAAGAAAGACTACGCACAACATCCGCATAAGAAGATCGATTATCAATAAGAAACTTAACAGATTTAATCATCTGTTTGCGAGTAAGACCTCAGTAAAAAACATCGTCAATTCATTTATTTCTTTTAATCATCTTCATCATATATCTGATGTAATATTTTGCTTTTGAAATTACTGTAATGACTTTATAATGTTTTGCTATTAATGAATGAGTTTTGACAAAAAAAAAATAGAAGACACACGTACTTAAAATACGCGATTGTTAGTGAAAAGAGAGTAATTGAACGTTGCAACTTTTGAAGGTGTTTAAAATTTCTAATTTATATTTATTGGTTTTGTATAACATATTTTCTATTTTAAGAGTCAAATCAAAATGGTTTCAGAGAACGAAGAAGATTCAGAAATAATTTTTTTTTATTTCCAAACTATTTGAAAATATACATACTTTTAATTTTGAAGAAATTTCTTTAGTTAAAAGATTTTTGGAAAGTAAAAAATTGAAAAATCATAAAAACAAAACAAAGAGAAGGAAGGGATAATATACGTGTTTGGTAATGATGTTGCTGTGAAAGTGTTCATCATCTTTGAACAACGTTTCCGATCTTTACGATTAATCCAAAGACTAACCAAGCTCAAACTCCTTCCCTCTCTTGTTCCTATTTGTCTCTAAGCAAACCCTAATTTTGGTCCCGTATTGTTTTTATTTTCTTCTCTAGTACTTATATTTTATATTTGTAGCTAGGTCTTCACTAAAAAAACAGAAATTGCAAAAAAGGATACTTTTAGAATTACCCTCAATAATAAAAATAGAAAATTCAAAAAAATATACATATTGCTGCTTTCTAATGAAAAAAAATCCTCAGGGATTTTAAAATGGATCTGGTGATACTTGAGAGATTTCGTTAGGTTGTGTAATATGTATAATATAATGTTTAAAGACAACACAATCTTCAGTCGATAGAGAAAGTTATAGTCTGCTATGATATTTACTCATTTCACGACACAACAATCATAGAACAAGAACCATTCTGATTTCGGTTTATAGATCATCGATCTATATATCTTTGAGAGATTTGATGGTATCAGTTTTGTGAAAGCTAATATCATAAACAAACTGTATAATTGTTTTACTTTTTTATTGCCACATAACATTTTTTATAATTATTAACTAATTTTTTTGATGTAGATATATCTTCAAAACTACTCTGAATTTTATATTTTTTGCAAAACAAACATAAACCATTACAGTAAGAAAGTAAATATCAGATCTAAATGATTTTAGTTTTTGGTTCTGAGCAATCTAAATAATTTTGAAAAGATACAATGAAAAGTTGCAACTATTTAGAATGAAAAGACGCAACCATTTATAATGAAAAGATGCAACCACCAATTTTGAAATGACACAACTTTTCGAAGGTTCAATTGGCATTTATTCAGATTGTTATTATATATAGATAAACGAAAAGATTTTGTTCAGCTAGTTTAATTTTAGCACTGTGGTTTTGAGTTAGAAATTAAACCACAGAATCCGTCAATTCGATTGCCCGATATTTTTCTCCGGTATGTTAAATAAAATAGCATTTGGACTTAAACGGGCCTGATATTCTCCAATCACTCAAATAATCTAACGGGCATTGGGCCTAATTTTCTAAACAGACGTCGAAATTAGAAAAGTGAAACAAAAATCTCTCTCTTATTTTCCCTACAAAATGAAGAAAATTCTCGATGCATATTTACATGTAATTTACAAGTGACACACCCAGAAATCAAAGCCCTAACTCTGTTTTCCTCCGCGACGAGGTCTACTCTCTCTCTCTTCTCCGTCGTCGTCTTCTTCTTTTCTCTTTTCTCGAGTTTAGTTGGTTTTAAACCTGTAAAGAGATCGGAAATTTCGTGTTAACTAGCTCTCGAAGATGCTGAATCCTCATGTTACACTTGTATTGAAACCCCTTTGGTTATCGAATCAACTGCAGTACCAATTCATCAAAAATAAAAACCCTTTCAAGCTTCTGTTTCTGTTTTCGTTTTCTTGAACATGTTGAGCTTGAGAACGAACAATTTGACATAGACGAAACTTTAAACTTAAAAGTATGGTGTTTCCTAGGTACTATGTTTGTGAAAATTGGCTGCGTCCGTGACTCACCTCTTGCTTCGTCTTCTTCGTTTACATTCTGTGGTTTTGAGTTAGATTTTGTGTATAACAAATTTGGTATGAGAAAACTGAATATGCTGTATTTCGGATTATTGCCAGTTAAAATCATTCAAGAAAAAGCAATTTGTCACTGATGGATCCCATGGAATCGTCTGGAGAAGAGGTAATTGGGGTTATCTCTGTCACTCTAATGGCGGGTTATTCTCAGTTTATCTGCTTTGTTAGAAAGGATTTTGCTTTATAGGTCACATTGTGTTATCAGCCTATGTTACTGCAAAAAAAAAAAAAAAAAAAAACAAACATTGAAATGAAAGTTGTTGTTGTTTTTGTCTTCCAAAGAACTTTGAGGAAGAGAGTCACAAGCTGGTTGATTCATTGGACAAGCTTCGTGTTGATGCGAGCTCATCCTCCAATTTCAAGAAGAAGCCTATCATTATCATTGTTGTTGGAATGGCAGGTGCGTTATTTGACTAGTAACGTTCTTGAAAATGAACTATGTTGTAAGGCTTTTAAAGGGATTTCAATAGTCTGATGTGAGCTGTTTTTGTTATGCGTAGGCAGCGGAAAAACCAGTTTCCTTAATCGTTTGATCTGCCATACTTTTGATTCAAAGAGCCGTGGGTATGTCTTGAACCTTGACCCTGCTGTTATGTCTCTGCCGTTTGGTGCCAACATCGATATAAGAGACACAGTCAAGTACAAGGAAGTCATGAAGCAGTATAATTTGGGGCCTAACGGTGGAATCCTCACTTCACTCAACTTGTTTGCTACTAAATTCGACGAGGTAAAGATATGCCCTGAAACGATGACTTCAACACAGATTATGGTGGTTCTCTAGGTTTGATTGTTCTGTCCTTTGTTTGCCACTTGTTTTAGGTTGTCTCTGTGATTGAGAAACGTGCAGACCAGCTTGATTATGTCCTTGTGGATACTCCTGGTCAGATTGAAATCTTTACGTGGTCTGCTTCTGGAGCTATAATCACTGAAGCTTTCGCTTCAACCTTCCCCACTATCGTCACTTATGTGGTTGATACTCCACGTTCCACAAGCCCAATCACTTTCATGAGCAACATGCTCTACGCATGTAGTATTCTCTACAAGACCAGGTTGCCTCTTGTCTTGGCTTTCAACAAAACCGATGTGGCAGATCACAAGTTTGCTTTAGAGGTTATCTTTCCTTTAACCGTCTATCAGTATTGAATCTCTTTATTGTTTTTGTATTATATGCTTTTTAATCCTTTGGTATTGATTTGGGTTTAAGCAGTGGATGGACGATTTCGAGGTTTTTCAAGCAGCGTTACAGTCTGATAACACGTACACGGCGACCTTAGCTAACAGTCTCTCCCTTGCACTCTTCGAGTTCTACCGCAATATAAGATCTGTCGGTGTTTCTGCAATCTCTGGTGCCGGAATGGATGACTTCTTTAAAGCCATTGAAGCAAGTGCTGAGGAATACATGGAAACTTACAAGTAATGATGCGCTCTTCTCTTCTGTGTTCACCTTCCTTGCGGGATCTGTCTCCAAGTTCCATGCTTATTGAATTGTGTTATTTTTTCTTTCCTTCAGGGCTGATCTTGACAAGAGAAAGGCGGAGAAGGAGCAGTTTGAAGAAGAGCGAAGGGGAAAGGAAATGGAGAAACTAAGAAAGGACATGGAGAGTTCTCAGGGAGGGACCGTAGTGCTAAACACTGGTTTGAAAGACAGAGATGCAGCAGAGAAGATGATGCTTGAGGAGGATGATGATGAAGATTATCAGATTGAAGATGATGACCTTGATGATGCCATAGATGAGGATGATGAGGATGATGAGATGAACCGTTTCTAGTCATAAATGAAAACACAAAAACTAGTTTTGTTTGAGCCACTTGCTTGTTTTCCCAGTTGTGTAGTAAAAAACCTAGTAACTGAATCTCTTTGTAAGACATTATAATGATCTGATGACTAAATTACAAACTTGAATTTTCGGAGATATTGTATGCAATTTGCGTACATTGTAAATGCACGAGTAAACACATATGTATCCACAAGATAGAGAAAACTGACAAAAAAACTTCCACATTATAACATCTAAGAGTCAACGAATGTGTGTATACATCATCTGCCCTTTTAACGTTATCTGAACACACACACTTGAACTGTGCTGTGCGTGTGGCTGGTTATCAAGAATCAGTCTTGGTGGATTTCATCAAAAGGCGCATGAGCAAACCTCAAATCTTCTGGTCGTGCAATCACCACAGGCTCATCAGCGAATAGGGCTTTGAGGAAAGATGGAGTTCTCAAGGGACGTCGATCCGTCATTCGTGGATACACAAACGCCAAGAAGTAGTACGCGTGACCCGCTATCATTCCCTGAATGTTGTTGGATAAAGCTTAATGATAAGCATGAGGATGAACAGAGAGGAGGAAAAGGAGAAATATGGATAACGTCAAGTTAAGAGAGAGTTTGTACCAGAAAATCCCCCCAGGCACTTGCACCAACAAGGATAGAGAACCCAAGAAGTACCTGCAAATTTCAGAATTTGTCAAAAGAGGAGAACAATCGATATAGTTAGGGAACTCAAAGAAGACACATGAAAGTCCAACTCACCCATGGTAAGTATGCTGCTGTAAAAGTGAAAAGGCCAAGGAAACTCATGTGGATGTAAGGGTTTTGTTTGCTCCATACATAAACCTGCAGATCAGAGGAAAGTCTGTTAAGATGGTCTTGAAATGAATTTTTCAACCATTAGAGAATTGTGGTATCAAGAAGTAGAAGTTAACCATCATGAAAGTCAAGGAATTGCTGAGGAAGATGATTTTGGAGAAAGAAACGGACAAGTAAGGTATCATTCCGCCAATGAGAACAATGCCGGTTAGAACAGTTGCACCAAACAAGAGCATGTAAAGAAAATCCGCAGTCTTTCCCCTGAAGGAGTTTTCCTCCAGGAGCTTGCAGTATCGAGCTAGAAAAAACATATGGAACAAGAAGTCCAAATCTGCACAAAGCATTGATCAAAATGTTCATTGTTATTAGACAATTACATTTCTCAGAATACTAATCATGTATATCCAACGCAAGAGTTGAAGATAAATTACCCATCTTTCGGAAGTAAAGGAAATTTGTAACGAGGCGCCAGAATTGGTATTGCTTCACCACAAGAGTAGGATTTAGGTAGAGGTTATAAGGAGATATAATCTGCAAAAACGTTCCACACAATGTTACAGAAAACGAAGAACATACACCAATGTCACCACAACACTCGAGCTCTACATGTATTAAAGAGTGTACCTTTTTCCATCAAAACAAAACCATCCACACACAAATGCGTACAGAAAATAGAAACCAAGATTCGATTTTTCAACAAAAAAAACTGGATTCAATGAGAAAGAGATCAAATCGATTCCCAGAGAACAAAACGAATCAGATCAATTAGAGCAAAGCAAAAGGCTCAAAACCTTTTCGGGGAAAATATCACACGAGGATTCGAAAACGGAGAAAGAGGAAGCATACATACCTCGAGCGAGCATCCGACGGTGGTGACTACGGCCGCCGTGAGATACGACCGGGTTATAATCGGCATCTGTTTGTACCATTCTTCTACGGCTTGAGCCATAGTCTACCTCTCGCAATCACAATCGATTCAATTCGATCACCAAGAGCTAATGAACAGCGAACCTTAACAAAACTAAATCGAAGCTTCTCTGTTGCAATGAATTTGAGATGTGTTGAATTAGCTTTACAAAAGTTTTAATTGAATTAACGAAAGCGACTTATAAAGATTTAATTTGCCTCGTTTTTTTTGGTTCCTTGTGGAGATAATAAGTTTTTTTTTCCTTTTCGCATAAGCATTAAAAAAAAAAAACATTGTCGTACTTATCCGCGTGACAGTAGCTCAACAAATAAGAAATCGCGTGAATTACACGGACGAATCATAAAAGGTTTATGACGCCAGCGTTTCTACGAAGTAGAAAACAGTCGTTAAACGTCTCAGCGTTTTTATCTTTCTATAAACGGCATGATGTTTAGATGGAATAAAGTAAAGTGGCGCGATTGCCAACTTTTTGGAACAGTTGCAAATCTTTGACCTACTCTTCTTTACCGTTTACAACTTTCGAATTTTAAATTTCAAAATCTCTGTGAAGTTTTTGAACACCGTCTCTGGCTCGCCCACTCTCATTCTCACTCATCTCTGACGAATCTCCGATTCTTCACCGATGAATGAAAAAGAACCACCGTGCGCTTCACCGGCGCCGCCGCGTAATCCGCCGTCATCGCTATTCACCGACATTTCCAATTTCAAAACGCCGCGGCGTCCTTCCGTTGTAAAGTCGAATTTCAGTAACTCTCCGCATCCGCAATTCTTCACTGCATCCAAGCAAACTCCAAAGTCTTCGTCTTCTAACTTCCGTCGTCCTTCCATCGTTCCCTCTCATACGTCTCGATCCAAGGTCGCAGCTTCGTCGAGGCGGCTTAGGGCATTTGAACTTCAGCAATCGCAATCTTCTCGCAAGGCTGAGTTGAGGAAAGAGAAGAGCCTTAGATCTCTTGCTAAATCGCTTACGGTGTGGCTCAATTTCCTGTTTGAAAACCCTGAAAATTGCGGTTGCGATCCGGCCGAGAATGACTCTGGTGTTGGTAGCGTAGGACATTTAGGTCGTCCGGCGAAGAGAGATAGTTGCGATGCTTTACGAAACAGTAAATCAGTGGGAGTGGATACGATGCGGCGAAGCCCCAAAAGGTCGAGGAATTTAAATTGGTCTGGTGAAAAAAGATCAGAAATTGGCTCGTGCTTGACCGGCTCCAAGTACTCCACGCTGAGGGAATCTCTAAGAGATGTGTGTAGCTTAGATGATTTGAAGCAAAGGATGCAGTTTCATTTGAGTTTAGGAAGTTGCAAGGAGATATTTGATGTGATGACCCGAGTTACAAAGGTAAAAAGCATATCTGAATCACTTTGGGTTGTGTTGGACATGGATTTGTAGGTTAGCTTCAATCTTTTTGTTTTTTTTTTGTTTCAGAATATCGATGAAGGGAGGATAAAAATGAAACCACAATGCCCTCTTGTTACTGATTTTGGAATGAAGGAGAACGCCATCAAGGCACTCATGTGCTATAACCAAGTTTGGCTCCGTTTAGGTTTATATGTCATCTTTGGCGGTGATTCGTTTTTGTCTGACGGTGAAGTTAACTCAGATCAAGAAATGGCGTTCTTGAAGATGGTAATCAATAAGCAGTTTTTCTCCCATGATGGCCTTGCTAGAGCATATGCCTATAACAAGATGGTTGAGGGTTTGTACAGACCAGGGTACTATGAAGCCCTTGGAACCGTGATTTTGAAGAGGATTCTGTTGCTTGTTCTTATAATCGATAGAGCTAAATCTCAAAGCTGCCTTTCACTAAAGTATGGGATTGATGGGATAGATGGTGGCTCACCGCTCATGTTTTCTGTGAAATCTAGCATAAAGTCTAGCCATCAACTTATATGTGGTACTTTCTTTGATTTTGCTATTTCGTTTGTCAAATTTCTTGCCTTTGTCATGTTTACAGTGGCTAATTTTTCATCTTCTGCTTTAAATATAGAATTCTTGTCTTCTGATGTAATGCATGGAGAAGGGAATCTCTTAGCGCATCTAGTGATTATAGGGTACAAAGTACCTTATCAGCAGGTAGGTTTTAGTTAAGAGCCGATGCAGTGTCTTCTATTAGATTTCCAAGTATATGATGTTCGCTTCCTTTGATAATTGGAATGGCTTTTGCAGTCTTCTCTAGTTGAATATGAGTTTAAAGTGAGAGACTTGTTTGGTGACCTCCAAGATGGCGTGCTACTCTGCAGAGCCATTCAACTTCTTCTTCACGATCCGTCAATTCTCACGGTTTGTCTTTAGATTATCTGTAATCAAGAACCTCCAGTTATGTATTATTTAGAGAGTGAGTTTTAATCGCATGAGGCTTTTGATCAAACAGAAAATGGTAGTTCCATCCGACAATCGAAAGAAGAACTTGGCCAATTGTAGAATTGCTCTTCAATATCTGAAGGATGCTGGTGTTTCGTTGAAAGATAACGAAGGAATGATGATAACTGGAGAAGATGTTGCAGATGGTGACAGAGAGCTCACTATTTCACTGCTATGGAACATGTTTGTACATTTGCAGGTGATTGTCTCTTTTTTTCTTTATCCAGTTTTTGGTGGATTGCTGCACGTGTCTTCTGAATTTCATTGGTAATGTGTGATTTTTGACTGGGCAGCTGCCTCTGCTGATCAATGGGAGACTCTTGACGGAGGAAATCTACAAAATCCAGGGGCTGGAACAGGTAAGGCTAAGGTTCACTTGGTTTTCTCGGTGCTGATAAATCTTTCCAACCTCTAGCCATTGTTAGTTATATTGAATCTATATGTAGTTTCAACTAGAACACTCTCCATCAGATCTTTAATGGTGACACTTCTCTAGTTCACTGTTTTCTCTCGTTCAATTATTTATTTTTTGGGGATTCTTTACAGAATAATCAAATTACCATGTCTACTCCTCTGGAAATGCTCTTGAACTGGATCCAGGTACCTTATCATATCAACGTATTCGTATTACTTTCCTTACTATTATTTTCTTATGCTTTGCCTTTATTCTATCTGTCTAACCATGTATAATACTTCCATGTCTTGCATTCTTCACTCAGTCAATTACCAGGAAGAACGACTTCAATTTAGAAAGCTTAGCATCATTGGTTGATGGAAAGGGGATATGGTTCTTGCTTGACTACTATTTTCGTCGAGAGGTTTGCTGTCCTTGTCTTCACAAAGAGGTATGAAATGTTCTTTAACTCGAAATCAGTTTCATTGCATTGAAATTTACCGTCATGTATCTTATAATACAGGCCGTGCTATATTTTCTGAATAAATATTTTTATCCAGGATCCTGGTGGTCAACAAGGGCCTCGATCAGTAATGTCCAATACCGATTACCACGATGCAGTTCAAAATTTCATTCTGTCGCAAAAGTTGACAGCACTTTTGGGAAGTTTTCCTGAGGTAATAATATTTAGCCTGTGAATTTCTACGTTCTTCTTAAGTTATCCTGAAGAAAAAAAAGATTACAGTAAGATGCCCTTTGTTTCTTTTGTGATAGATGGTTTGCTTCAATCAGGCTAACATATTTAGTATGTATTGCGTCACTTTAGTGCTATCAATTTCTTTGACCATAATGTTGATCTCTGTAGGTTCTACAGATTGGTGACCTACTGGAACATAATGCAGTAGTTAGCAACCAAAGTGTAATTATACTGTTGGCGTTCCTATCATCCAAGCTGATCGTCAAGGAGAATATTGTAATGCTTTATGACCAACAAATATGGCTTTCCTTGATTATTTTTTTGGATGGAAGTTAGCTTTTACATTGACATGCTATCTTAAAAATTCCTTCTTTTCCCAGGAGAAACTGAACTTTCACAAGTTGTTGTGCTCTAGCTGTCAAGCTCAAGAGAAGAGATATTCACGCATCAGTTGCAGCAGCTCTGAACCAGTTAGAAATGAGGAACCGGACAGAGAAAACAGAGAAGGTTCCCATTCATCTCTTCTGACTTTCCGTAAAGCATATGATCTTAAAATGAGAAACCCCACCTGTTTATTTAGATGCCTGCAAATCTATCAGTGGTTTGCTGTCTTTTTTTTGGTGATAATATATATGTATCGCTACTCTTGATTGTCAAAAGTGTGATGCTACTTGTAGATGCTACTAAAAGGTTCCAGGCAATCAAAGCCTGGTGGCAGGACATGGCCAGCCAAAACCAGAGTTCTGTTGGAAAACTTAGTAGCCAAACTCTTCCAGGCACCTTCAAATGCACTACAGATGTCCAACGAGGTGATTCAAGTTCTACTCTTCTCAAGTTTACATCATAAGCTTGCTTTCGATAACCATCACCTTTTTATGATCTAACTATTGTAGATGGTACTTGATTGTATCATTGTATTTGATTCAGTGATTATTGTTTGTATCTACTTTCTGTTTCTTAGTAGATTATGTATTGAATATTGGAACCTATCCACAATTTGATTTCAGCATGTTTATTGTTTCTTGCTTACAGAAATTGCAGCAGTGGTCATACAAGCGAATCTTAGGGCCTTTCATGCACGCCGCAAGTTTAGAAAGACGATGAGTGCAATCATCTTCTTACAAGCTGCTCTCCGGACATGGTTGTCAGTGAAACATGTAGAAGTTCTTGAAAAATTAACTGTTGAGGAAGGTACTTTGCATTTATCAGGTAATTATCAGATTGTGAGTGATCATTTCCATTGAAAGATCAACAGTTACTATCTGGTAAAACTTTTGTTATTCCTGCAGAAAGAGCGGCCAACTTAAATCATGTAGCGAGATACGTCAAGTTTATTGTTGAACGAAGTCGCTTCATCAAGTTGAGGAAATCTGTTTTGGTCATTCAGAAAGCTGTAAGGAGGCATAATCAAGCGCTTTTGGCCGCTTCTGATTTGTGCACTACACATCAGAGCAACCTTCATCATGAGCTGAAAGCAGCACTCAAAATTCAGCTAGCTTGGAGGAGTTATAAAGAAAAAGTTAGCTCCCCCATCATCATCCAATCTTATGTTCGTCGGTGGATCATACGCAGAATGAATTGGACATACAAGTTTTCTGCCATACTTATTCAAGTAAGTTCATTCAGGCTGTCCGATATTTTGCTTATGTACTGGCCATTATGCAACGGCGAGAATCTGTATCCAGCTTTATTAATTACCTGCAACTAATTGCAGAGATACTACCGTGGTTGGTTGGTGAGAAGGAAATTTTATCTTCAGAGAGAAGCAACGATATGCATTCAGAGTGCTATCCGAAAGTTTAACTGCATGATGTCATTTAGGGGACAAATTGTTCGAAGCAGGCTTCAAGGTACTTAAGCCATGTCCTTCAGGACCATACTTTTAGCTGATTACATGTACTTGGATAGAGAATTGGTTGCTTAACATGTGTTTTTTCAAATTGATTTATCCCAGGAGCGTCTCATCTCAATTCACAACTCGACAATGGTGTTTCAAGACTTTCACAACACAGCTCTGGGCAGACAAAACTGCTACATTCCGTCATTAAACTGCAGCGTTGGTGGAGATCTCTCCATTCACAGAATATGAGAAGAAAGTCAGCAGTCTTAATACTGAGGCATATTCGAGGTTTGTTTGCCAGGCGAAGAACTTCTATGGAGAGACGCTACATTGTCATGATTCAAGTAAAATATTGCCAAAGCTACTTTTCATCTTTTGTCATTCTTCACTTTCAGTAATAATTAGCTTTATTTGTTCGCTAAAATTTTCAACTTTCATTTACCCTTGAATCTCTCAGTCACACTGGAGAGGTTACCTCACACGCAAAGCGTCAAAGGCTCAAGTTCTGGATCTACGAGTAAGAATGCAGACTTCTGCAGCAAACATAGATGACAAGAAACGGTTGATAAACAAGCTTCTTTCTGCACTTTCGGAACTACTGAGCATGAAAAAAGTCCACAACATTCTTCACATATGTGAAACTTTGGGTAAGTCTCAGCTTCCTTTATTTACAGAACCATGTGAATGGACTATAACACTCACCACCGAGGATTGTACATATGATGTTTCCTCTACAGATTCGGCAACAAAATACTCTGACAAATGCTGTGAAGAGCTTGTAGCAGCTGGAGCTATAGACAAGTTGCTAACACTGATCCGGTCTGCAAGCAGAAGCATCCCTGATCAAGAAGTTTCAAAACATGCTCTTTCAACTTTGAGACACCTTGCTCGTTACCCACAAATGGCAGATGAGCTAATCGACACAAAAGGATCCATCCAGACAATCTTTTGGGAACTACTCAGGTCTTCATTTACTTCTAGAAATCCACTCTTTAAAGATTATTGAGGTTTCATCTTTGCTCACTCTTGCGGTTGCTTTTCTCTTTTTTCAGGAACAAAGAAGAAGCATATTTCATTGCATCAGATGTTCTGAAGAAGATATGCAACAGCCGTAAAGGCGTAGAGACAGTTCGAAAGCTTTCTGCGTTGGTAAAACGGTTACACGCCTTAGTTGGCGAGCTAACTCGTAAGACAAACATTGAGAAACGGTTAGTGTCTTTTTCCCGTTTTCTTGTCTGAAATTATTTGAGTGCTTACTGTATTTCTCCGAACCAAAACTATGTAGAAACATTAGCTTAGATTCAAAGATATCATAATCTTAAAGGTTTTGTTTGTGATTTCAGGAACGCTAAGGGTCAGAGTGGAAAAGAAAAGAGTGAGAGAAGATTAAAAGAAGCTGTTGAGCTTCTAAAGCTTATAACCAGCAGATGATTTTCTGTTGGTTTTGGTTTCAAAATTCAGTTGTGTTGTCATGTGTGTTTAGTTTTGTTTCCAGTGCATTGATCAGTGCACTGCCACAACTCTACTCTGTTTAGGTTCACGTAATCAACTCGGCTGACAATATATACAGCTTCTTCATTAGATATGACTTAACAAGTTACATTGAATCAGATTCTTAAGTGTCGTGGTCAAATATTGAGCTCATGTTTTCCATCTTAAGTGTCATGATCGAATCAAGAATGCTTCCAGTAATTTCTTTAGATATTTACAAACAAGTAACTTTATTAGTTTCACCAGCTTGGGTAAAATCTTATAGTAACGACTACAAAGAGTCTCAAAACTTTTTATTCAACGACCGTACGAGAGAGAGAGAGACATCACACAACACAAGGTGCCATTATTACAGGTTTCGATTCCCAGGTGTGAATTTGAGAGAGACACTGTTGACACAGTGTCGCTCATCGGTAGGAGTAGGGAAGCCTTCTCCTTTGAAAACATGACCGAGGTGTCCTCCACAAGCCGCACATGTGATCTCGATTCTTCTCCCATCTGGATCGGCCTGAGTGAAAATATGTAAAATGATGTTTTTCAGCGATTTAGTTTCTCAAAACATGAACTCTGATAACGGTTTCTTGATTGAGAGAAACTTACGGTTCGGTTAATAGCACCGGGGATCCCGTCAAAGAAAGCTGGCCAGCCACAACCGGAGTCGAACTTGGTGGCGGATTTGTAGAGAGGAGTTCCACATCCTGCACAACCGTAGGTGCCTTCATCGAACAGTTTGTTGTATTCTCCTGTTCCTGGATACCTACAATGTACGTGTGTAAAGACAGTTAGAATCATGAATGTTATTGGACCTGTTTGCTTCCACTCAAATCTACTTCACACTGTATGATAATATTCATTGATCCTTCAACCACATAGAAAATTCTACTTGCTAATGTTGGAGAATCAAGAAAAATCATCAAGGCAGACCAAATCAAGACACAAGACTAAGGAGCAATTGCATGTTCACACAGAGATAAGACATCCTAAGTGTAAGGTTCATAGCAACTGAGACACCAGATACAACAGACAGAGTTATGATGTTAAAAAAAAAAAAAAAAAGAGTGAAAACTTTGAAAACTCTGCTGTTAATCTAGTGATCAGGTAACAACTTTACTCAACAAACGCTTACTAGACTCAATTTTTCTTAAATTTTCATGAGAGATTCAATATCACTGTATTTTCAATATTATTAACAAAGTACTGTTTCATCAGATCCATTAACAACACAAAACATAATTTTACATCATGAGAAACTCTTAATTCAATGCATGAAGATCGTCTAAGGCAAGACTAAACTCGAAATCCAGAAAGTATTATCGACAATTATGCAACCACATTTATAATCTAACTTTAGATCATCAATCATCGAAAATCAACACTTTCAAGAGCACAAACACTCAAAATCACCAAAAGAAAGACCGAGATTGAGCTACGAAATCCTCTTACTCGGTGCCTTTCTGCCTCAGGATCCTAAATTGCTCAGGAGACAGAACCGCACGCCACTCTTCCTCTGGCTTATTGACCGATCCAGGAGCAGAAGAAGCCATCGCCACAATACGACCACCGTGGAAGCTACGCGGCGTAGAGAATGCAAATCGAGTGGAGCCGAGAGAAAGAGAAGGTCTAACGAAAGCTCTAATGGTGGAAACGAAAGTCGTAGACGTGGCTGAAGATATACGCCCAGATGTGATGACGTTCAACGCCATTGTAGCCTTTTTATCCTTTCTTTTCTTCTTCCTAAAGAGCTTTTTATGAATTCCTCTCTTTTGTTTTTTGTCTCGAATCTTCACTTAAATTGGGCCTAACTTTTCAGGCCTTTAGGCCCAATCTATAGTAGTGTTTGGTCATTCTGTCTTCTGTTTGACGTGCCAAGAGGAGAGTGAGATCCCAAGTTAAATTCACATGGAACCTGACAAAAAGACAAAGTCACATGGAAAAAGAAGAAACGGCGGGTGAGAGAAGAAGAGTCGTATTTCAAACGTTGACAACAAAAAGGAGTCGTATTTAAACCATGAGCCTGAACAGTTTGACCTCTATGACCAAAAAAAGGATTTTTTTAAGAGTATACATTTCATTCATATTCCTCTTTTTCCAATCTTACGCCATTGTGCAGACCGATCAACCGGACGGTTGGATCGAGGTTGTAACCAAAATTAGTAAGTGGGTTTGATCGAAATTATCTCTAGGTTTCACTGTTTTTGCTCGTCCATCGATTTCGATTCGATTGTTTATTGGGCGTGATGAATCAAAATCAGCTGAATCAAACTAGAGAGGTAGAATATTATTTTCCCTAAATTTTTCCTTCTTTCTTGGAATTGTGTAGTGTATCCGAAAGTGAAAGTTGTTGACGAAGTTGGTAATTGCAAGCAGAAGGGTTCTTGTCTGAACTCGAACTATCTCCAACCTCGTGCCTCTGGTAATCTTAATCTCTCTCTCTCTCTCTCTCTCTCTCTCTCTCTCTCTCTCTCTCTCTCTCTCTCTCTCTGTATTGAGTTTGACTCTCTATTTGATTTAGAGCTGTAGATGATTAGAGTTGACTCGGTTATACTTGTATGTTTAGAAACATTGACTTGGTTTTTGATGGAGATCAATTCTGTGTGTGGAAGATTTTGATTATTGTGCTAATCCAATCAAATGCACTTTTGAGAAGAACCTATTTTGATAATTTTTCCTCTTTTCTCATTTGGACAGAGAATAATCAAGAACAAGAGTTGAAAATATATGTGGCTAAGATTCCTAAGATTTACATACCAAGTGTCGTCCTGTCTGAAAGTGAATCCACAGAGATTACAAAACATATAAGAGGAGCTGATCTTGAGGTTAAACAAAAAACCAAAGCCAGTCCGATTTTACGCCCACGCGCTGTTGTATCAAGTCCCGGTATGGTTTTTTGAGCTGCTTTTCGAATCTATATAGTGTTTTTGATGTAATGTTAAAACTCAATATTACCGAAATCAGTGACTTTGCTTTCGAATTCTCTTCTTTAGATAACGATGAAATCATCGGCAGCATCAACAGGATCGAAGAAAGGAAAGCTAAGAAGGGTTTCAAGAGTAATGGTCACATCTCAAACAGAGCTTCTCAGCGTAAGAATATTGATACCAATGTGAAGATTTCACATCGTATAGTCCCTAAGCAATCTGGAGTCAAACTCTAGAGATCACAAATGATTTTAACTTGTTTTTGTCGTATGATTTTAAAGATTACTTCATGGTTCCATCAATAAGGACCTCATGAAACCAAACTATATCTACTTGGATGATGACCACTACTTATTCATGTTTTTACATTTTTACTATCAGTAGCACACATTCGTTTCACATGATTCTTTACATAAACTTAGGTTCTGGATTGTTAATGCTTAACTACCAAGAAAAAGAAGAACATCAAACTTTTTAAAGCAAAAAGACCAACCACTTGTTGACAAAAGGAAAAACAAAGGCGCCATTTAAGCAGCTCTTGCAAGAACTTGAAGAGTTTCAGGAACATCAGAAGGCTCGATAAAGAAACTTCTCCTTCTCAAAACCATCTTTGGTACAATCACAGTCAACACACCGTCTTCATAACCAGCTGAAATTCCGGTTATATCTATCGATTCCGGTAACCGGAATTTTCTCTTGAAACTCCTAACCGGTGAATCCGGCGATCTCTCCGTCGTCTCTGTTCTTATGATTAAGTATATCGAATCTTCGATCTCCACTTTTATCTCTTCTTTCCTCAAACCTGATAAAGAGAAGAAAAAACAACAGAGCACACGTACAAAAATAAATATAAATCTCCAAGATTATCTTTACAATGTGTGGTAATGAATATACAACGTGAGAGATAAGTTAGTTATTACCAGGAAGATCAACAGAGAAAATGTGAGAATCTGGAGACTGAGACCAACGAACATGATCCTCTTGAGATAATTCGTAGCTATTGAGAGATTGAGAAGTTATAACATATTCCCATGGTGTCGGTTGAATTGTCTGAAAATCCATTTTCTTTTTGGTGTATCTTTTTTTTAATTTTTCTTGTGGATTGTTATATTTTCGATTATTGGTTCCTTATTTATAATAAATAGATGCAACCAACTTGAACAATTTGAGCAAGTTGTTGTCTAACATTTAAAAGTTGATAATAAATGAAACAAAATAAAAATAATTCTAAAAACATTTGAAAACTCAATAATTTGGTAGGGGACTGTTAAGAAAACAAAAAGGAACTGCAATCTTGTCGACTCACTGAGTGAGTGAGCAATTCTTGATATTCTCAAAAAAGAAATACTCCCTCCGTTTTTAATTGATTTATGTTTTAGGATTTATACTTATTTTTTTAATGTTTGATGTTTTAGCTTTTAATTAATGTACTACGTATTTATCCGTGCTACGATGCTGGATATTTTTTCTAGATTTATATATATTTTTAATATAATAAAATTATTTATATATTTTAAATGAGTATTATATTTATTTTTTATTAGCTTAAGTTATGTATTTATATGATTTAAATCTGAATAAACATTATATATCATTAATTTTTTATATTTTAAAATTATAATCTACTATCAAATTTGTTTAGCTAACTATCTATAAATGTATATGTAAAAATAAAACAATACATTTTAAGTTCTTCAAGCTAATGGTAGATGTAATTTATTTTCTCTACTAAATTGCTATTTGATCCTCCTTTGAAATTATATAAAGCAAATTGTCATTTAAAAAAATATTAATTAATATGATTATTTTAAATTATAAAATTTATTTATTTATCAAATATTTATTATAGACATATGTTTCTAAAACTACCAAACTATAATCAATAACATTCATATCAAAATCATTACTATTATTTTAGAACTAAATAGAAAGTTTTATTTGAGCTGTTGAAATATCAATGTAATTGAAGTTAAATTATTCAATTTTGGTTACTATAAACATATTATAACTTGAAAAGTTAGTACAGAGAAATTTTATCTTTTTACAAAAACCGAAAAATTGCATTTTCTGACAAAACAAAAAAAATTATTTCCCGAAATCGTTTATTCCCGCCAAAACAAAAAAAAATCATTTTCTCATCAAACCTGAAATTTCATTTTCCTACTAAAACAAAGAAATTGCATTTTCCCTCAAAAACAAAAAAATCACATTTTCCTGTGAGAATCTGTGTTTTTCCGTCAAAACAGAGAAATCAAGTTTTTTCACCAAAACCAAAAAATTTCATCTATCTGCAAAAACAAAAAATGGTATTTTTCCATCAAAACCAAAAAATTATTTTCCCGCAAAAATCGAGAAATCGTCTATCCCACCAAAACAAGAAAAAATTATTTTTCTCGTCAAATCAAGAATCACGCCTTCCTACCAAAACTGATAAACTATAATTTTCCGCAAAAACCAAAAATTGCATTATCTCACGAGAAATTATGTTTCCCACGAAAACTAAGAAATCATATTTTCTCTCGAAAACCAAAAATCAAATTATATGTCAAAAACTTAAAATTTGCATTTCCCATAAAAACCAAGAAATTGTTTATTCCCGCCAAAATCAAGAAATTTTGCTTTTCTATCAACCCGAGAAATTACATTTTCTGCCAAAATTGTCAAATTACAATTTTCCGCAAAAATCAAGAAATTACATTATCCATCAAAAGCCGAAAATTACATTTTTTATCAAAACCGAGATATCGTATTTTTCGTCAAAATTGAAAAGTTGCATTTCCCTTGCATTTTATCGTGAAAATCAAATTTTTTATTTCTCACTAAAACCAAAAATTCACATTTTGCCGCCAAACCCGAGCATTCGCTTTTTCTGTCATAACCGAGAAACTATGTTTTCCTACCAAAACTGAAAATCACATTTTTCTACCAAAACCAAAAAATTCTCTATTTCTGCCAAACCCAAGAAAATTTGTTCTCGGTAACTAGTAGAAATGTGAATCTCCAAGCTGTGGTGGTCTGAGTTTCTCCTTATTTGCTTTCGCCTTCTATTTTTTTTTTGTTAACTTTGGGCTTTTTAATGGGTCAGCAAAATAGTAAATTGATTTTATTAGTGTGTTAATAATATGTATTATTGTTATGTTTTTATTGGTTCAAATTTTTGCTGATGTGTTAGCTTCTTATAACATAACGCTTTTTGCATTGTTGTTATGGAAGCATAGTTGATGATGAGTCTACATTTTCTTCAATCATATACGTCTCTATCAAGCAAACACATAGTTAGAAATTCTAATTTTTTTTGCTGTTATTTATTATTTGAGTTTTGGTTTGGCAAAAATATAAAACAAAGATTTAATTTTATTATTTGTTGTTATTTATTATTTGGGTTTGCTAAAAAAATAAAACAAATTTTTTTTATTTGCTGTTATATATTATTTGGGCTTGACTAAAAAATAAAACTAAAATTAACAATATAAAATATTTGAGTTTTTAATGGGTTTAAATTTAAAAATTAAAATAAATTGATGACTTGTATTAATGAAATGTTTTTATTGATGTTTTTTTGCTGAAATGTCATCTTCTAAAAACTTGAAAATGCTGATGTGTCAAGCTATGAAGAGACTTATGGGTTATTGTTGTGTTGATTTAGTATTACAAGACACAAATTAATGATAATATATTGATAAAGTGAGAGAAAATAATATTAGAATAAGAAGAAAACCCCAAAAATAATTAAAAAATAAAAAGTAAACCATTATAAAAATTTGTCTTAATTTATGTGTAAATCCTAAAACATCAATCAATTAAAAACGGAGGGTTTATACTTGTTTTTTAATGTTAGAATAAGAAGAAAACCCCAAAAATAATTAAAAAATAAAAAGTAAACCATTATAAAAATTTGTCTTAATTTATGTGTAAATCCTAAAACATCAATCAATTAAAAACGGAGGGTTTATACTTGTTTTTTAATGTTTGATGTTTTAACTTTTAATTAATGTATTTAGTATTACAAGACACAAACTACTGATAATATATTGATAAAGTGAGAGAAAATAATACTAGAATAAAAAAAAAACCCAAAAAAAAAAAAAAAGTAAATCATTATAAAAATTTGTCTTAATCTATGTATAAATCCTAAAACATCAATCAATTAAAAACGGAGGGAATACTTGCTAAAATTACTTGTACTTTAAACTATAAAGTTTCGATGGAATATGATTGGATGATAAAACCACTAAATAATACAATGCTTCCCTACAAATAAAGATTCTAGGTACCTATTAATTTTTTTTTTCAATAAGAAATAAATAATTATTTTAAGCATACAAATATTTCCAGCCACTCATTTGGTTCGACCTCGCAAGTTGCAAATAAATTATCACCACTTATCTAATAATATTTTCGAAATATTAGAGAATAATTATTTTTGCTAATTCAAAGAGGGAAGATTGCAGGACGGAAAGAAAAAAAGTAAGAAACTGCCGGACCCCTTTTTGTTTATATCTTTTACTTAATTACCCAAAATGCAAGGATTAATTACATTAGTGCCACTACACTCGAACACGAAATATTGGAGGGGTTTTCGGCGGGTTTTTATCATACTGGTTCTCTTCTGAATGATTCATCTTCTTCACCTTTCTCATCATGTAAACCCTCGTTTTTTCTGGGATCTCGTTCTGGGTTTTTTGATCTTTGCACGTTCGATTTGGTTAAAATTGTCAATGTGAAGATGGCTTTAAGGAAGACGAAGAACAAATTAAACGCGATGTTTCGGGCTGCGATGAGAAACGTCGCCAAGACTGCTGAATCCAAAGCCGGAGATAATGTTACCGAATTAGGTAACTTCTACTCTCTCTTTTTTTTCTTTCTATGCTTCACAGATTTCTCCGATTTCAGCCATTTCAGAACTTCAAAAGTCTATTTCTTTTCTCTATAGAAACAACACGAGAGCTGAACCCGATTAATCGATTTTGTGGAACAGGATCATGGAGTTCATTGACGGAGATGCTCTCACCTCTTAAGTCCGATTCTTCCAACACTGGACAAGGTACCTCTACCTCTCTGCTAATGGAATAATCAATTTCAGAATTTCCAAACTTGATTCTCTCTTTTTTTTTTGCTGGATGATGATGTTTAAAAGTTATTTGATTTCCAAATTTGTTTCTAATGACTTTGGTAGATATTGGGGAAACGACGCTCGCTGGTCATGTCTCGTCTTCGTTACATGGTATGTGTGAGTAATGTGATTGAACTGCTATAAAAGACTTCAATTTCAATCACATTCATCCTTTTCATAGATAGTGTGAAGTCCTTTTTGATACCCTTTTTTTTATTGTTTCCAGCTAAATCGACGAATTGTAATCTTCTCCCGGAAAGAAGTGACTATTCGAAGAACGCATTGGAGTTATCAGCTTTCCTGTGTGAGACTACTGGGAAACTTCCTTCGTCCACAAGGATAAAAGATGTGTCACGCGGTAGGTTGCAGACAGGGAGTTTCAACAATAACCAGACACAGGTTATGAAGAAGCTTGCGAAAGGCTTTGCTCGGAAGTTGGGCACCGAGACGATGCTTGGCTTGCTCGCTAAACTGGGGAAAGAAGCGAGTGAGAAAGATTACAATGCATGGGTTCAGATTTGCATAGAACAAGCCAGGAGAAGCAACGACGCTGAATATGTTCTTGATAAAGTTGGGGAGGCTACTGAACATCTCAAAGAAATGAGACGACTTGGTTTCTCTATAGACGAAGGAACCTATGCGCCTTTTGCTAAGTGCTTGGTAGATATGGAGATGGTAGAAGAATTCCAGTTTTTCAAAGAATTTCTTAGGGAGGCTTGTCCTGAGTCACTTGGGAAACTTGTCTACTATGAAATGCTTCTTTGTATCCAACTCAACGACGATGAGAAGATCCATGAACTTTGCAATACAGTTGACGACAGTGGGATTAGTTTACCAATCCTACAAGGTACAACATGCACCGGACACATAGTATAGCATTCATTTAGAACTCTGATACTTCATTTGCCCTACTCTTAAACTAACTTTTTTGGTCGTCAAACAGAATATTATTTGGCTGCACTTTGTGAGAAAGACAGAACGGAAGACCTTCTGAAGCTTTTAGAGAATGTCGACATAACAAAAATATCTTCACCAGACGTATTGAAGAGCATATTTGGATACCTTGGAGAATCGCTATTGGAGTCTGTTGCGATGAAGTTGTTTCTGGAACTAAGAGACTGTGGTAAGGTGGATATAAATCCAATTGGAATAACCTGTGTGTTGTTTTACCGTACTGGTATTATGAATATTAGAGGTGGATATATACTCATTATCTAGTCTCTTAGACCAATTCACATATGATGCAAACCAAAAAGTTTACTCGCTGGTGACTCATTATATAGTAACATATTAAATCTCAGGATCATTCTACATTGTAACATGGTTTTTTAACGTTTCCAGATGGAGTGGAGACAATTTCAGATCTCATTTCTAGCTATGCAACTTGCATCCCAAATATAACGGTGAGGACTTTCTATATATAATGCATGTCAATTTATCAAGCTGCTGTCTTTTTCTTGTTTTGTTTTAGAATATTTGCACCTGAATTTAACATTAATATGGTGATTTTTGTTCATTGACAATGTTTTTTGCACCCAAGTCTCGTACTAGATTTGGTGCTGAAAGATATATCACTTGGTGTGTTAAATCAATTTGATTCCAAGCTTTCTGTGAGCAAGTGAACTTTGCTAACCAAATATTTTATCTATCCTTGGTCCATTTAAATCTTCTAGCTAAATATCATCTCACCTCTGATCTTTTGGTATTTGATTTATTAACTGCTGACCACATATAAATTTGTAAATGTTTTTTTCTCACCGAGAATGATAAATGATATATATCCATTAGTGTCTCTCAAGATGTTTACATCTATATAGATTTGAAATTTGCATTCCTCTAGGTCTTGAGATTGTTAGGTCCCAACATGTCTTTCATGTTGGATAGACTGCAAACTTGGCCAGTTTCTTTGAAGCAACTCAATATTGTTTTGAATGCTATGCCATTCCTTCAGTGTACAAACTGAAGTGAGAAACTAGATAACCAATCATTAATATTGTTTGGAAATGATAGCAGACTTCATTTACAGAAAAAGAGAATAAAGTTGCTCACATCTCTCAACTAGCCTATGACACGTAACCGTTCTTGTTCTTACATATTTTGGTGACTAAAGGTAGAGGATGCCATTTTGAAGTTTAACAAGTTGCATGAAGAACTAGATACCGTGCCTTCAACTACATCTTATGAGAAGCTTGTTAGTTATCTGTGTGACTCGAATGAGGTATTTGTACCCTTCTGTTAATTTCAATTTTCGTTTCTGGTACTCTCCATAGTTGTTAACTAATGATAATTCCTCTGTGTCGTAGGTGGTCACTGCTCTTGATATAGTTGAAAATATGTGTGAAGCAGGCCTGGTAATATCGGCAAATATCCTGCAGTCATTGTTAGATGCCGTTGAGCAGATTCTTGAATTTAATTTGGTACCGAACTCCCTTTGCTTGAAGCATGTTCCTTATATTTCATCTCGAACTTTTTTTTACTGCCTTCATTATCCGTTCTACATCCGATAGAATAGCTTATTAGGCTGGTCATTGATATTCTCTTGAGAGATAACCAATACTCATGTTAACCAGAGCTGTGTTTGGTCATACTTTTCCTCTTTCAGGTACGAAGAATCTATTCAATAATGAGCAACAAGAGTGTGAAGCCTAATAGTGAGACTTTCAGGAGATCGATAAATTTGTGCTTAAAGATCAAAGATGTAATTTTCTCACATATGGAACGATTTTCTTACAACCATATAAATTTTCTCTCAACCTCTCGGTTCCGTGCAGTTTGAAGGTGCATACAATATGCTTGGTAGTTTGAAGAATTTCAATTTGGCACCGAACTCAAGCATGTACAATTCTATATTGGCAGGATTTTTCCGGGAGGTAATACCTTAAGCTCCCTTTTCAATTCTTCCCGTTGTGTCACCTATTATAGGATATCTATCATCTTAGCGTTATTTATATGATTCCTTTAATCATTAATGTTGAAATATGCATGAAAATAAGATTGTTGCTATACTCAAAGAAGCATGTCTCTTACAATTTCTCTACTGTAGCATAAACGTATTTCTGCTAGGCAATTAGCAGTTCTAGAACAACTGATTTAGCTCTCTGAAATTATTTGCAAATTCTAGACTGATGGTTAGTTCATTTCTATGTGCTCCGTATCGTCTCGTGAGTACTTAATGACTGAAAACTTTGTATGATTTTGAAGAAAGAAGTGAATAGAGCCTTACTGGTCCTCAAGGAAATGAAAGAGGCTGGTGTTAAACCTGATTCCATGACTTATAGCTATCTAATAAACTTTTGCGGCCAGAAGGAGGCTATTGCGGAGGTAATCGTTTCTTGTTCTTCTAATATTGGGTTTGAGTACCTAATGGCAGTCTCTCTTGTTGTGTTGTCAGTTGTCACCAGTCGATACATACATGAATAATGCTGCGTATGAGAGAAATTTAATATGTATTTACTTTTCGTATGAAAGTATTATGAGGAGATGAAGCAAGCAGGACTTCAAGCCAATAAGCATGTTTACATGTCCCTTATAAAAGCATATGCATCATGCGGACAGATTGAGAAGGCCAAACAGGTAAGCATGCGTATTATATGTTTTTTATAAGTTTTCAAACTATTATATGCATAACTTAGTGTAAGAGCACAAGCTTTGTTCTTACTTTAGGTGCTCACGGACGGGAAAGTTCCGGCCAATGATCGCAATGAGCTGAAAAGTGTGCTTATATCTGCTCTGGCATCAAATGGAAAAATAACAGATGCTTTAAGAACCTATGAAGAAATGAAGAAAGCCGGCTGCCTCATACACCCAAAAGCTATTATATCTCTTATAGTAAGTGTGTACTTTCGTCATATGTTAGTGCCTTAGAGATACAATTAAGTATTGCAGTGACCTCAAATAATTTTTCTGTAGGATCACTCTGATTCAAACGAAGAGTTGAGAACGTTGGTTCAACTCTCTCGTGAGCTGCGTGATTATAAATGGTGGATAGAGAGTTTCTTCAAAGTTATCGTGTTTGCTGTTCGCAACAATAAGTCAAGGTACAGTAGATTATGAGTGGTCTATGTTTAGTTCACATGTATCCCATCATTGTTAATTATCCTATGCTTCATTCGAATCCTTTTCTGTAGCTCTATTCTTGATTTGCTGAAGCAGACCAAAAACAACTTCTCCAAGGATGACATCGCTGTGGAATATTGGTTTGAAGAGGTCCCGATTCTATTTCTCTCATCAAGTTTTCAAATACTTTGCGCGCTCTTCACTTGTTTTTAATTGTTAACTAATACATTAGATCCTCTAGATGTCTCAAAATGTGTATACATTCAACGAAATCTTGGAATGTATCATTTTCATAACTATTGGCATCTTGTTGTTGATACAGGTGTTTAAAGCGATAGCGGAAACAGAGCCTAGTGATGTGAAGCTAGGGCTGGACTTGGTGAGCTTTTTAAAGGAAGAGCTTGGGTTTTGTCCTTCAAGAAAATATTTAGATTTTCTTCTACATGCTTGTGTCAATGCCAAGGATAAGCACAACGCTTGGCTGGTATGGAAAGAGTACCAATTTGCAGGACTTCCTTACAATGTCATCAACTATTTAAGGCAAGTGTTCCTTTTCTCTCCTCATACCTTGGAAACGGATAATAAGGTTTACAACCTTCCAAGAGAGTCATGTAATCATGAGTTCTTGGTTTTATGGTATCACAGGATGTATCAGGTTCTATTAGCTGCAGGAGATTCGAAAAGTGCAAAGGCAATGGTATGGAAGATTCCTAATGATGATAAAGACGTTAAATGTATAATTAAACAAAGCCGTATTGTATTTACTCCAAAACCAAAAAAGAAAACGTCTAAAAAGAAATAATTATCTCGCCAAGCAAAGTAGGATGATCTGTTAGAACATAGAACCACCATTGTATGAGATTTTTGGTACAGGAATGAAACACGATTTCCACTACAATGGCTAAGTTTCTCTCTTATTCTCTACCGCTTTGCATGCCTGAAACTACTTCCAACTCATCATCATCATCACGAGCCATCTCAGCAGCTTTCTTCGATTTCTGTTCATATGATTGACCTGGAGGATGCGAAACCGTGACAGCAACAAAGTCATGTCCTTTGAACATCTCTTGTGGCCACTGAACATCAACAGTCTCAATAAAAGGCGAAAACTTTATCATCCTTGACGATCCCCTGACTTGCTTCTCCTCTTGAACCAGCAAAGGATGAACCAAAGAAAGAGCTTTCATTACTGCAAACACAAGCTTAAGCTCTTCGAGAGACGGGTTTCTGAACTGGAGATCGCCAGAGCTCATGCACCGGGCAACATCTATGACCGGAAACCGATCAGTTCCAGAGACTTCTAAAGACAAAGACTTGACCATTTTCTTGTTAGAAGGTAGCATCAGTGACTCAAGCTCATAAGTAACCCTAAGAACCTCAACATTAGGGACTCTAGCCATTTCCCATGAATCATCTGTCATTTTCAGTGCGTAGCTCATGGATCTATACATATAGACTGCTATATCACCACCATCCCCTCCTATGAACTGAACACATTGGAAAGGCTGTCTCTTTCCTGACCAATCTGAGTCTTTTCCCACACGAACACCAAACAGATGACCTGGTCTGAGCCTCTTCCATGGCTCGCTTCTGTATAAAGAAGCTGAAGCTTTGAATATGGATTGAATAATGTTGGAAGATATACCTTCAACTTTCATCAGGCAAACCCCGGATCCTGGTCCAAGACCCGGACCTGACCCGAACTGATCCTGAAACCTACCAAATAAATTCTTCAAATGCAAATCCATTCTTCAACCTTCCCCCAAAAGAGTCGGATCTGAGTGAAAAAAAAAAAAAAAAAAAAAGCTTTGGGTGAAGTTTGGAAAACCCAAGCAGAGAAAAAGAAAACCCAGATGAATTTGAATTCTAGAACTAGAAGACAAACTATGGTGTCGCAGTTAAACGGTCATGGCCGACAAAAGTAAAAGAGTAAAACGATTTTATGATCATTACGACGACGAAGTGTTACTTTATGGTCGAAGGTCTATTACTGACGTCCGATGCTAATCGGACGGTCGGAGATACGTGTGTATAATATTGTTTCGTTTGTTTAAGATTTGCAACTGATTGGTACTTATGTGGGAAAGAAAAACAATTAATTGACTCGGCTGATAGTTAGTGATTGTAAAATTACATATTTCCAGAGAATAGATTCATAAAACAGTTATGATATTAGTAAGAAAAATAAAATCAAAATTTGATGATTTGACCACTTCATCAAAATTGAAGAGAAGTAATGAAAAAGATAAGTTAAAATTAGTTTTCAAGTCAATATATATTGATAAGTATGACGTTAATTAGAAAGAGACAATAATGACTCAAAAACAAAACCAACAAGTTGTCAAATTAATGGAATTATAATCACTCGGTTGTTATAAGACCTAATTGGAGCCAGTAAGTGAAAACACAGTTACATCCACTTTCAAATTCGTGCACAAATTAGCTGTTAGCCTTCAAATAGAAAGACAAAATTACTTGGAAATTAATACTTTATCCAAGGCCTGAAACGGACAATAAACAATAAGAAGAAAAAAATGAATGACAAAAAAAATCATAATTTCCCTAATATGGTCATAATTGATGGGACTAGCGTTAGAACTTAAATTTAACTGAAAGTTGAAACAACTGTTTGAAAAGAACAGGAGAAGAAATAGTTTTTCAACAAACAACACTGAAGTCTGTTAAACAAAGATCTGACTGAAACAGAAGAGAACAGAAATGTATTACGAGAGTCTATTACATAACATAACAACCAAAAAACAGAGTTCTTAGCTACTGCGCCGATGGAGTAGCTTCTCCTTCTTCCATGTCACAGTCTCCCTTCTTCTCCCCTTCAAACAAGTTCGCTATAAAGCCACTCTTCGACACAGGGCTTTTAGGATCTATCTCCATTTTATCGCCATTGTTATCTCCACTCTGTATCGCCTTGCTTCCAAGCTCTAGCTGAAGCTCCTTCGGCACTTTCTCCCCTGCACGACCCGGTTCCTCCGCCATGAGATCAAACCCACGAGTCTCACCAGGTGGTTTCTGCTGCTCCATAGTCTCTTTCTGTGCCAAGGCAAGATTAGGTTGAGCAGTCACAATGTTCGTCCCTGGAGTTGGAAAAAACTCAACCAAACGAGTCGCAGCTTCTCCTTTTTCAGCAGCTCCATTTATCTCAGGCACGGCTTCTTTCCCTTTAACTGCGAATGCTTCACCGTTGCTCTCTTTTGGCATTAGAGACAAAGCCTGAGCAGGTTCAGAAATCTCCACGTCATTGATGACGACAGCATCTTTCGTTAGTTGATCATTCGGAGGGATCCGAGAAGGCTGACCATGATCAGTTTGGTTCTTGATTTCTTCTCTTGTGAACATCTTAACACGAGGAGCCACGTCGTTTTCTGGAGTTACCGGAACGACTTTCCCCGGTATGAACACGAGGCCTCGCAGTTTCGCGTCACTGTCCTTAACCTTAACGTTGAGGATGTATCCTGCGTCGAAAGATCCTTCAACGACACCAGAAACCATCTGACCAACCAGATTGATGTCCGGTTTTGGAGTCACTTGAGCCTTTTCTTGTTGAGCTAAGGATTCATCTTTGCGAGGACGACCTCTCTTTCGCTTCGCCAAGACATCATTAGCAACAGGAGGAGGTGAGCTTGTGGAGGCTAGAGTCAACGGATTCATTCTACAGAGGCAAACAAAAACAAGAATAATGTGATTTTTTGTTTCGTTTCCATACTATCATTAATGATACAAAAAAGTTATTTAAATACCAAACTATTGCAGATTTGTGACTAATGCTTAGATTAGACTTTAATACCATAAGGGATGATTAAATAGAAATGGAGACAAATAAAACTAAGTAATAAACAGAACACATTTAAAGTTCATTGAACAATGACAATGGTGGATAATGACATATCAAATCTATTAGACATTCCTAATAGTTCACACTGGTTCGATCTAATTGTTATATTTTGTCTTCGGACTAGGAAATAATCATAGACACAAAAATGCATTGAAAGAGAGAGACACCAAACCAAAATTTAAGTTATAAACTGATTTAAGACCGAATCAACAAATCTATAATGATAACAGTAAAAAAAAAATTCATAAGACGATTCGAATCCCTAAACCGAGAAAAAAAAACAGATCAACCTTCGTACGATTAAACAATAAACACAAGAATCATTTGTTTCCAAGAGTATTGATTATATTAAATGAATCTGAATCCAGTAATCTAGAACTTGGATTACGGATAATCTGAGACGTAAAATTTATAGACAAAATATTTCCACAAGAGAAAAAACCCGAGTTTTTGGCATTATACTAAAAAAAACGATTAATGATTGTAATTACCTCTAGACCAAGCGACGTGAACCAAATGAAAATGGTGCTTTGAAAAATTGAAGAATTTCTGTGTGTTTCTCAAAATCCGATCACCAACGTAAGGATTTGAGTGTATTTGATATTCTTCTTCGGCTACCTCCTCCTTTTGCTTTTTCTTCCTCTTCTTCTCCTTCAAGTTTTGCTCTCTTGCAGTTTCTGTGTCGCTTTGTTTCGTACCTTCTCGTTCCGATTTATAAGCAACCTAATATGGGCTTTCAATGGGCTTTTTCTCTAGCATTAAAGGTTTTTCTACAGTTTTAGTTATATTTTGGTTTTTTTTTTTATCTCATTTTAATTTATTTTGGCTCCTAATTATCACCAGTTTTTGTGTATATATGCAAAATCATATTGACTATTAACAGGTTAGCAAAATTATAAATGAAATAATACTAATAATAATGCCAAAAGTATAGAACCAAAATTCAAAAACCGTTTCATAATTTTACCAAAAAATACTATTTTGTAACTTTGAAAGTATTACTAATTAATCATTTAGTTGGAAAGTTGAATATAAATCAATTGAATTTTGGCTTGAAGGTATGGAACCAAAATTCAACAACTGTTTTATTATTTTACCAAAAAATAATATTTTGTAACTTTGAATATCACAAATTAATCGTTTAGTTGGAAAGTTGAATGTAAATCAATTTAATTTTGGCTTAAAAATATGGAACCAAAATTCAACATCTGTTTCATTATTTTACCAAAACACAATATTTTGTAACTTTGAAAATATCACAAAATAATTATTTAGTTGGACAATTGATTATAAGTCAAATTAATTTTAGCTTATTCCATTAGTAAAAATCACCATTATTTAGTTTCATTGTTTTATGATATTACCAAATAAATACAATATTTTTATTATTAAAAAATATCACAAATTTATCAATTAGTCTCAGAATTGACTAGATATCGGCTTAAATTCGGCTTATTTCATTACTATACCACCATATATTTTGGTTTTTTTTTAACATTAGACCACTATATTTGAGTTTTAGATTTTTAATAGTTTCTTTGTTTCATGATTTTGCTAAAAAAAATATTTTTACATTATTTATAAATATTATAAAGTTATCGTTTATTCAAAAAAAATATTCGATTTAAATACGACTTGTCTCATTACTATAGCAAAATTATTTGGTTTTAGTAGTTATTTAAGTCTCATGATTTTACAAAAAAAAGATACAATTTTTATTGTATGAAAATATCAGTAATATCTTTGAAAATTGACTAGACATCGTCTTATATTCGACTTATATCATTACTGAAGCAGACCATTATTTAAGTATAGTAATATAGTTGATGAATATATTTAAAATTAGAAAGCCATATAAAATGGTGTTAACTATTTAAATATAAAACAGTTTTTACTAAAAAAAAACAAAAATAAACCCTAGCAAAACACTACAACAAAAAGCAAAAATCGAAAACGATAATGTCAAATCCTATATTTAACTTATGGCACATATTTTCTCTTGACCCAGTTTTCGTGTATATATGCCAAAATCATAATAACTATTAACAAGTTAGCAAAATTATAAAAGAAATAATAATAATAATAATAATAATAATAATAATAATAATAATAATAATAATAATAATAATAATAATAATAATAATAATAATAATAATAATAATAATAATAATAATAATAATAATAATAATAATAATAATAATAATGCCAAAAGTATGAAACCAAAATTCAAAAACCGTTCCATAATTTTATCAAAAATACTATTTTGTAATTTTAAAAATATAACAAATTAATAGTTTAGTTGAAAATTTGAATATAAATCAACTGAATTTTGGCTTAAAGGTATGGAATCAATATTCAACAACTGTTTCATTATTTTACCAAAATATAATATTTTTTTAACTTTAAAAGTATTACAGATTAATCATTTAGTTGGAAAGTTGAATATAAATCAATTTAATTTTGGCTTCAAAGTATGAAACCAAAATTCAACAACTGTTTCATTATTATACCAAAAGACACTATTTTGTAACTTTGAAAATATCACAAATTAATTATTAAGTTGGACAACTGATTATAAGTCAAATTAATTTTAGCTTATTCCATTAGTAAAAACCACCATTGTATAGTTTCATTGTTTAATGATTTTACCAAAAAAATACAATATTTTTATTATTTGGAAATATCATAAATATATCAATTAGTTTGAGAATTGACTAGATATCGGTTTAAATTCGGCTTATTTCATTACTATACCACCACATGTTTTGTCTTTTTTTAAACATTAGACCACCATATTTGAGTTTTAGACTTTTGATAGTTTCTTTGTTTCATGATTTTGCTAAGAAAATATATCTTTACATTATTTATAAATATCATAAAGTTATCGTTTATTCAAAAAATTAGTCGATTTAAATTCGGCTTGTCTCATTACTATATCATAATTATTTAGTTTTTAGTATTTACTTAGGTCTCACGAATTTACAAAAAAAAGGATACAGTTTTTCATTATATAAAAATATCAATAATGTTTTTGAGAATTGACTAGACATCATTTTATATTCGACTTATATCATTACTGAAGCAGACAATTATTTAAGTATAGTAATACAGTTGACAAATATATTTAAAATAAGAAAGCAATATAAAAATGGTGCTAAATATTTAAATATAAAACAGTTTGTACTAAAACAAAAACAAAAATTAGCCCTAGATAACACTACAACAAAAAGCAAAAATAGAAAATGATAATGTCAAATCCTACATTAAACTTATGGCACATATTTTCTGTAGACTTAGTTTTTGTGTATATATGCCAAAATCATATTAACTATTAACAGGTTGGCAAATTTATAAATGAAAAATAATAATAATAATAATGCCAAATGTATGAAACCAAGATTCAAAAATAGTTTAGTTGGAAAGTTGAATGTAAATCAATTTAATTTTGGCTTAAAAATATGGAACCAAAATTCAACATCTGTTTCATTATTTTACCAAAAAAATAATATTTTGTAACTTTGAAAATATCACAAATTAATTATTTAGTTGGACAATTGATTATAACTCAAATTAATTTTATTATTACATTAGTAAAAATCACCATTATTTAGTTTCATTGTTTTATGATTTTACAAAACAAATACAATATTTTTATTATTTGAAAATATCACAAATTCATCAATTAGTCTAGGAATTGACTAGATATCTGTTTAAATTTGGCTTATTTCATTACTATACCACCATATATTTTGTTTTGTTTTGATATTAAACCATCATATTTGAGTTTTAGACTATTAATAGTTTCTTTGTTTCATGATTTTGCTAAAAAAAACATTTTTACATTATTTATAAATATCACAAAATTATCGTTTATTCAAAAAATTAATCAATTCAAATTCAACTTGTCTCATTATCATAGCACAGTTATTTATTTTCAGTAGTTACTTAGGTCTCATGACTTTACAAAAAAAAAGGATACAACTTTTCATTATATGAAAATATTAGTACTATCTTTGAGAATTGACTAGACATCATTTTATATTCGACTTATATCATTAATGAAGCAGACCATTATTTAAGTATAGTAATACAATTGGCAAATATATTGAAAATTAGAAAGCCATATAAAAATGGTGTTAACTATTTAAATATAAAACAGTTTGTACTAAAAGAAAAACAAAAATTAACCACAGCAAAACAGTATATCAAAAAGCAAAAATTGAAAACGATAATGTCAAATCCTGCATTTAACTTATGGCACATATTTTCTCTTGACCCAGTTTTTGTGTATATATGCCAAAATAATATTAACTATTAACAGTTTGGAAAAATTATAAATGAAAAACTAATAATAATACTAATGCCAAAAGTATGAAACCAAAATTCAAAAACCATTTCATAATTTTACCACAAATGCTATTTTGTAATTTTAAAAATATCACAAATTAATCGTTTAGTTGAAATTTTGAATATAAATCAATTGAATTTTGGCTTAAAGGTATCGAATCAAAATTCAACAACTGTTTCATTATTTTACCAAAAAATAATATTTTGTAACTTTGAAAATATTACAGATTAATCATTTAGCTGGAAAGTTGAATATAAATCAATTTAATTTTGGCTTCAAAGTATGGAACCAAAATTCAACAGTTGTTTCATTATTTTACCAAAAGACACTATTTTGTAACTTTGAAAATATCACAAATTAATTATTTAGTTGGACAATTGATTATAAGTCAAATTAAATTTAGCTTATTCTATTAGTAAAAATCACCATTATTTAGTTTCATGGTTTTATGATTTTACCAAAAAAGTACAATATATTTATTATTTAGAAATATCACAAATTTACCAATTAGTCTGAGAATTGACTAGATATCGGCTTATTTCATTACTATACCACCATATATTTTATTTTTTTGTTTTAAATTAGACCACCATATTTGAGTTTTAGACTTTTAATAATTTCTTTGTTTCATGATTTTGCTAAAAAAAAATATTTTTACATTATTTATAAATATTACAAAGTTATCGTTTATTCAAAAAATTAGTCGATTTAAATTCGGCTTGTCTCATTACTATAGCACAATTATTTAGTTTTAGTAGTTACTTAGGTCTCATGACTTTACAAAAAAAAAAAAGGATACAATTTTTCATTATATGAAAATATCAGTAATATCTTTGAGAATTGAGTAGACATCATTTTTTATTTGACTTATATCATTACTGAAGCAGACCATTATTTAAGTATAGTAATACAGTTGATAAATATATTTAAAATTAGAAAACCATATAAAAATGGTGTTAACTATTTAAATATAAAACATTTTTTACTAAAACAAAAACAAAATTAACCCTAGCAAAACAGTACAACAAAAAGCAAAAATCGAAAACAATAATGTCAAATCCTACATTTAACTTATGGCACATATTTTCTCTTGACCCAGCTTTTGTGTATATATGCCAAAATCACATTAGCTATTAACAGGTTGGCAAAGTTATAAATGAAAAAAATAATAATAATAATAATAATAATAATAATAATAATAATAATAATGTCAAAAGTATGAAACCAAAATTCAAAAACTGTTTCATTATTTTACCACAAATGCTATTTTGTAATTTTAAAAATATCACAAATTAATCGTTTAGTTGAAAAATTGAATATAAATCAAATGAATTTTGGCTTAAAGGTATGGAACCAAAATTCAATAATTGTTTCATTATTTTACCAAAAAATAATATTTTGTAACTTTGAAAATATTACAGATTAATCATTTAGCTGGAAAGTTGAATATAAATCAATTTAATTTTTGCTTCAAAGTATGGAACCAAAATTCAACAACTGTTTCATTATTTTACCAAAAGACACTATTTTGTAACTTTGAAAATATCACAAATTAATTATTTAGTTGGACAATTGATTATAAGTCAAATTAATTTTAGCTTATTCCATTAGTAAAAACCATCATTATTTAGTTTCATTCTTTTATGATTTTACCAAAAAAATATATTATTTTTATTATTTGGAAATATCACTAATTTATCAGTTAGTCTGAAAATTGACTAGATATTGGCTTAAATTCGACTTATTTTATTACTATACCACTATATATTTTGTTTTTTTTTATATTATACCAACATTATTGAGTTTTAGACTTCTAGTAGTTTCTTTGTTTCATGATTTTGCTAAATCAAAAAACATTTTACATTATTTATAAATCTCACAAAATTATCATTTATTCAAAAAATTGACCGATTTAAATTTAGCTTGTTTCTTTACTATAGCATAATTATTTATCTTTAGTAGTTACTTAGTTTCATGATTTTACAAAAAAAGAAAAGGATGCAATCTTTCATTATATGAAAATGTCAGTAATATCTTTGAGAATTAACCAGACATCATCTTATATTCGTCTTATATTCACCATTATCTTAGTGTAGTAATACTGTTGATGAATATATTTAAAATAAGAAAGCCATATAACCTATGGTGTTAACTATTTAAATATAAAACAATATGTACTAAAACAAAAGCAAAAATTAACCCTAGCAACATACAACAATAAGCAAAAATCGAAAACCATAATTTCAAATCCTACATTTAACTTATGGCACATATCTTCTCTTGACCCAAATTAGAAACTGACACCAGTCGAGCTTAACGCAACAAGTACAACAACAAACAACTACTTTTTAAACATAAGACAAAGTGAAGATTCTTCAGGTCTTTGCTAAAAGGGGATATAAAAAGGTCTTTGATCAACGGTTTAAAACAGATTTGTGTTATAACATCGAACGGTGCAAAATTGGCTCTTTTGATATAATCGTCAAAGATGCTGACGTATACAAAATAGAGCAAAACGCAACAACACAACAGCGAGTGAATTTATAAACTCTGTCTCGTAATGCATATCCAATCTCTTAAAGACTCCCCACTGTTTTGGCACGTGATCGGAACGTGCCATGACCCTTTCTCCGATTCCTGAAAACATACGGAGAGATTCTAAGAACAACAAAAAGAAACCCATTTCATACACCAAACAAAAGAAACACAAATTTGACATGAGATGGTAACAAACCTGGATCACAACTGAAAAAGGAGGTGGCATTTCAAGCTTTAGACAACCTTTCACAAATGTATACCGCACCTGAACCAAATCATAAACCAAAACTTACATTTTCAACATCGGTTTTAATGTCTAGAAAATATCAAACTTCAAAATATATATAAAACTACCTGATGCCTTTCTTTCCATTTTTGGAAAAAACTGGTACTTAACAGTTCAAAAATGTGATCTCTCATCTCATCATTAGTCACAAGCAAACACTTGAATTTCGCAGCAGCATAGAGCCAATACCTTGAAATAGAACCCAAAAAAAAACAAGATTTGAGTAATCAAAACCAAACATGTTAAAGAGGGATTTGTAAGAGAAGCTTAAGTCAGTCCATACCAATCATCATTAGAACCTGGTGGCGTCGTGTATAGGACATTGTTATTAATCCACTCTTCCACTAGATTCCGGTGATTAGGGTTTTCTAAAAGCGCATTGACCCGTTTCTTGTGCAAGAGAATTAGCGGCCATTTTTTGTTACCACTTTTATTGTAAAGTTCCTTCACTACAGCTTCAAGCTGCTCTTTTGCAACATTGTGCATTGTGTCAGTAGGAACATATTAATAAAACAAAAAAAAATGCAAAGGAAGTAAATTTGATGAGTACCTGTGGTAAACTGAAACCACCATCTGCAAAATTTTGTTGGTAGAGCCCTATATTTGCTCCATCTAGTATAGCTTCGTAATCTCCATGCTTTTCAAGCCACTCCTGTCATATAGTTAAAGAAAAGATTGACATATGTATTTAAAATCTATGGATATTCAAGACAAAGACTTTTCTTTTTGCTATTAGAATTCCCACCATGAACAATAAGAGATACCTACATTACATCTAAGAAGATCTTATCTCCTAGAATTACAAGTTCCAAACAATATTAGACACAAAGATAGAAAACTTTTAGTTCTCTCTAACCTGAAACTCGCTGAAGTCCGGCATTGCCTCGCATGAATTCATCTTCGCCTTCCTCTCCATAGCCAAAGCCACCAAAGAATTCACAAATTTCTCAGTCTCTACCTCATTGGTATCTACACAAGCCAATTGCTCACCGCAGCTCAAACATTTCCCGGCAAGGCTAACATTACCTTTCTTCACAATCCATTTGCCTTCCCCAACCCAACCAAGCCCATGCCACCCACCCCCATTCTTCAAAACAGCTTCTCTAAGCAACTCAATATCAGAACCAAACACGCTAACCTCGCTAGCTTTCTCTCTAGAGAACCATTCCTCGATAACTTTCGAAGTTTCTTCACTAACACAGCCAACACATTCCCTTAACTTATGCAAATATCTATAAACCTTGTTTTCTCGTCCTGTGACGACGCTTACCTTCAACAAAGCCGAGATCTCCACCTCTTCCAACGCAATACCTGAAGCATCCATGTGCTCTTCCACTTCGTAACTCTTCTCAGCCTCCAATCTCTCACAGAAACAGAGCAGAGCCGGAGCATAAGTTCTCAGACGGGGGAGCGATACGCCGCCAGCAACAATGTCTTTGACAAGCTTGAAAGCGTAGTCACCGTCACCCTTGGCAGCAGCTAGTCTTGCCACTGCAGTGACGGAGGACTCATTAGGACTTATCCCTGAACTAACCATACGGTCGAAAATCTGGAAGCCACGGTCGATGGCAAGTGTTTGAAGAGACAGGTCGCTAATGGACGCGGAGCAGAGGTAAAGAAGGCTCTGGAAGTGCTGCTGGTTGAGGCGGACGTCACCAGAAGTGATGGCTGCATCGTAAAGAGCTAACGCAGCTGAGAGGTCGTTGGACTTGGAGCATGAATGGAGATTGACAAGGAGACTCTTTTCTGGTTTGCGGCTTGTCTTCCTCTTCTTGTTCGGGCTTGAAGGGGTTTCTTCGTGGTGGCGAGAACGGCGTTGGTCAGCGCCAGCCATGGAATGATATATGTGCAACTTAGCTGCGCAGTATCTCAAAGTTACAAGCTTTTCATTGGCGAAAGTGGAAGATGAAACCTTTATCCTGACCATAAGAAATGAAAAAAAAAACCCAAACTTTAAGTGAGCTGAAACAAAGCAATTAACAACATTCCCAAATCAATCTTTTTCACAGAGATTTACCCCTCTGAAAAGGAATTAGCTTTCCTCCATAAACCTATGTCACAACTAGGCTAGTTTTTCAAAGAAGATAAATTTCACCAATCTGTACAAGGATTAAACCCAAAAATTGTGACTTTTTTCAGTTTTCATCACTGCATTCTATCGTATTTCAGTGCATTGTAGCTCATAGTAAAAGAGACGAGAACCCAAGTAGAAGATAAACAAAACAATCAAAGCTTCCTACAGAAACAAGTGTGTAGATTGCAACTGATCAGTTTTGCACCTGCCTGGAACATCCAGGATCCAATTTTTCAAAGGTCTATGGGACATTCTAGAATTGAAGAGTGATCTAGTTGTTTATTTTTCCCCAGATTTCAGCAAAGAAAAATATTTTGATAGGAACACATATATTCCCTAGATTTCTCAGAAAGATTTGAGAACGACAGAAAATTTTACAGCTGAACGGAACCAGCTAGATTAAAAGTTTCTACAGTTGAACGGAACCAACTAGGATTTATCAATCTCTGTAAGATCGACACAAAACCTTAGAAAAATCAGAAAACTCTAGGTTTGAAAACGAAACCACAGGGCATGCGAAAGTTACATTAGTCTAATTAGGAAAATCGAAGAAGCTAACCTGTTAGGAATGACTCTATGGGGTGAGCGGATTTCGGAGAGAGAACGAGGCACGGCGCAGGGCAAGGAAGAAGCAAGCAGTGAAGTTTTTTTTAATTTCATAGTTTTTGATTAATGTGTCTAATTCATATTGTTGTCATTTTTTGAACAAAAAAAAAAAAAATCATATTGTTGTCATTCCAAAAAATAAAATAAAATAAAACAAAAGGAAGATTCTATTCATTTTGGTTTACTGCATGTTCAATAGTAATTAATTTTTCTATATTTTTTATAAAAATAAAATTGATATAATATTTGAAATGTGGTTCAAGTTAAACTTTTTTGAATATTTGCTTCTAGCTTAAGAGGATGGAAGAATGACTTGAATGATGGAAAGTCAGGTTGAGCTTGATGACCATAAACTCCAAAGGTTAGATGCTGCTATCTCAAGAGCTAATCCACGCAAGAGTATAGGAGATTCTACATAAATCTTCAAGGCTGATTCCACAACACTTAGAAGAAAAGCAGGAACAAGTTTAGTTGTAAAGAATTTTCTTTGTAAACAAAACAAATGGGGTTTTAATTTCTTTAATAATTCTGAATATAAAATACACTGGAAATGAGCTTATATTGCTCAGAAATAAGGTAGAAAAATGGTAACAAAAAGAATTAAAGATAAAGCATAAAATGTGATCAAAATAGCTTAAGTGGTGAGATTTTGGGTCTTCTAGCCATTGTCATAATGGGGGAATGAGAGCTTGATTTGTGGTGACGAAATGTAAGGATTCTTTGACTGGTTTTGATGCTCAGGATGTGATGAAGTGAATGGATAGTCGAGATCTTCAAGTGATAAGAGATTCTGGTCTTGCTTTCCAAAGGTAGCAAAGTAATCAAGCTCTTTTAAGGCAAGTAGCTTCTTCTTGGTTTCTTCTTGGATTTGGGACGGTTTCTGCTGGTTATTGGCGTGGTTTAGTAATCCTGAATATCTTGAAATACTACTTGGTGGTTAAATGAAGTGGTGAGACGAATATAATGTCATGAAATCCCTTCTTTCCTTAGTTAGCTCCAATGTGGCTCCATTTGGTGGTTTAAGGCAATTTGGTGGTTCTCTTTGATTAAGTGACGACTTGTATTGAACCAGGGATGATTTAGAAAGCTTCTTTTGATGATCAGAATGATGGTGTTTTGATATATACTCCTCAGCTTCTCCAAACACAGCTACAAAGCCTCCAAGCTCCTCAGCTACAAGTTTAGCATCATCTGGTTTAGCTCCAATGCTCCATCTCTTGACTGGTTCAGTTGTATATGACTTGATGCTTACATCAAAAACCTATAACTTTTTCAGAATTCTGAAATTCCAAAGAAAGTTACAAAATCTCCTAGCCTAATTTAAAAAACCAATAGAATTGAAAACAAAAACTCCAAGGAAAAAATTACGAGAAATCTTTATATATTTTCTTTAGAGTTTTTGTTTTTCGAATTATGGTATATACTCAACAACAAAAGGAGATCATACTTTGTAACATTAAAATTTATAGAATTTGTTACGACAGATTTGTGTTTTGTTAGTAAATGTGAAAAGATACGGTTAAGGAAAATTAGTTATATAATTAAATTGAATATTTTTTTGTTAAACTTATATAATACTATGAAAATTTTATTTCCGTCGAATTTATATCACTTAGCTTTATACAAACATATGTGGTCGACATGTACAAAATTTTTTATTTCCGTCGAATTTGTATGTATAAGTAGTACATGTGCATGAACCGACTGAAATAATGAATAGTCCACATGTAATGCTTATATAGTCAAACAATATAAAATCCCCACATATGCCTATATATGCACAACACAATGATCCTCATGGTACAACCAAAACCTTTAACTCCAAAACAAAAATGGCAATGAAGAAGAATCCAAACGAATACACAAAGATAGAGAAAGAAGATCCTAATGAGATGATCCACCGGAGAGCTCAGTTTCTGATCCACAAGATTCTCCAACGAGCCGACACAGAGACGTTAAGACAGCAACGGAAGAGAAGTATGTTGATCAAAACGTCGTCGTTCAGAGTGGTGGGAATAAGAATGAAGATTGGGAAGAAGCTGAGGAAGCTAAGGAAGAGTTGCGTAATGGCGAACAAACATGGTGATCTTCTGCCATGTTTCCTTAAATCACTTAGACGTTATTTCTTCTGTTCATCTCCTCGAAACGTCTCTGATCTTCCTCCTCTATTTGCTCTTCGTGTTTGAATGTTGTTAGAAATTAATTATATTATTTTTCTTATCATACCAATACCATATCCTTGATTGATGGTGTATTATCTGTTTTTCTTAGGAGTCCTTAAGTATATGAATCGTGTGGATTAATTATAATTTACCGATGACTTGATTGTCATATGTAAGGATCTTAATTCGCATAATACGCGATGTATGGTTTAGTAATTCAACCTATGAATATGAGATATAAACTTAATGGTCCATATAGATCCATATGTAATTGCAAATAAATTGTAACCAAAAATCCAGTTTATCCAGGTGTCCATCAAAGTACTGATAAAATCGATTCTATGGTATTCTATGGTGATATGCAAGTATGCAACGCAATAAAAGTTATTTGGTTAGGTAACTGTTTTTAACATGTTTCTTGAGTTGGTATTCTACAATCTCTAGCATAATTTGGACTACAGTCAATGGCAAATCAGTTGTAACATGTAACCAATTACATTTTAACAATATACACCTCAAACTTCGTGTCTTCCAACAAAGTAATATGTTCTACTGAGTATATCATTAAACTAGCTAGACTATAATATAGCACTTGGAATGTATTTATGAATATATGTTTGTATGAATCAAGTGATGGGAGTCTAGACAGAAGTAGTATATTTGACGTATTCTTTGTTTTTTTTTTTTTTTGTCAATGTATAATTCTATGGTGGTTATATATAGATTTTAGAACTTAGTTTGGGACATATTTAAAATTATAGTTTACGTTATAAAAAAGGGAAATGGGTGTGTGAAATAGTGGAATAAGCTGTATGATTGGGAACATGGCCCCGATACATTGAACATTTCCTCTAAATTAATTAAAGTCGATCTGTGCTGCTGCTTTAGTGCTTTACGAAGCGTTTTATTTCCTCCGTTGTTGACTAATTTTATTCTTGTTTGCGTAGGAAGTTGACTATTATAGCTTCACTACATTATACATTTATATAATTAGTACGATCTTTAATTAGATTTCTGACCTTCATCACTATATATAGTTATTATTAATAGTAACTCACAACTTGTATTGAGATCCTCTTATGAATGCAATAACTGCATCTGTCTACTAAGTCTAGGTCTAACAGAAAAGGCGATCTACGATTACCAACACAATTGTCTCCTAATTGGAATATAGTGCATGTGTCTGTACGTTACTGAACTAGATTTCTGACCTACACTGTATATAGTAGATATATGTATATAAATATGATTTCGACAAAAAAAAATGTATATATATCTAGAAATAAATAACTTTAGAAGGAAAGGAGAGAAAACTATTTGCGAGCTACAAGAACTATGTTAGTTTATGATGCTTATCAATATTGACTTATTAAAAAAAAAAATTAAAACTTTTATGAACGGGTTGTGTCGCGGTTGGACAAAAACCATGACGGTAGGTTACAACATAGTATATAAGTTTTTGGTGTATGCCATGATACATTAGTTGTTGTTTGATGTGGTTAAAACATACATTATTTTAGTTAGAATGTATAGTCATACAACAAACCATGGTTCATGTAGCTCGCAAACATCTTTTCAATTTAATTAAGGATTGGCTCCTTTTTGTCCTCCCAGATATCCAAACGTTTTCTAGCCTTTTTCACCTGAATCATAATATTAGAATAATAATCTTAATAATTTCAACACAGACCAATCAGAAACTATAAAAATATGATGTGACTTATCATGTAAATTTTACCTCATCATCCCAATCCGTTCGATACGTGACATAAAGTAAGATGAGGGTTTGCATGAGAGTGCCTCCAATCATCCCGGTCCATATTCCCTATAACCAATTTCACATTTTATTATATATATGGATAACAAAGCATGTAATAAACAGAAAATAAATGATTCCATAAAACGAACCTTGGCTTGAAAATTGAAAGTGAAACCGAGAATACAACCAACGGGAATACCAACAACATAGTAGCAACCAATATTCACATATGCCACGTATGTCTGCCATCCACATCCCACTGCCACTCCTGCAAACAAAAAAAAAACAAAATTGAGATTTATTTGGTCCGGTTCGGTTAAGCCGGATTTAACTAAAACTGTAAATGCATATATACCGGACAAGACCGGCTGTATTCCGTTGAGAATGATGGTAACGGCGAGAAAAGGACAGAGCTCAGAGACGGCTTTAGCCACCTCAGCGTCCGACGTAAAAATGTAGCTGACGTAATCACGTGACGCCATCAGGGCGACCGCCTCGGCGATGGAGATCACGAAGGAAACAAATGTCGCCATCCATGAAGAGAACATCGCCGATTTTGGATTTTCTGCTCCAAGCTCATTACTTGTCCGTACACTGTCATAATTTTTATTTTTATTTAAGTATGATATAATTTCAGCAATGTTGGTTAAAAAAAGTATGTTAATTATTTTTTTAAAAAGGCTAACCTTACAGCCGCATTGAAACCGACGGACACCATGAAAGAAAATCCTGAAATTGACATACTGTAACAAAAATAAAATGTTACTACTAAATAAAAGGGTCAAAACATATAAATCGTTTGACAATTATCTATCAAGTTAATAAATGGTAAATGGAGTCACCAGATGGAGAGAGAATCTAGAGAGAGAGCTTGATCTTTGAGCAAACCAGCAAGAAGAACTAGAATCTGCGAATACCACATTTCAAGACAAATCATAACAGCAGAGCCAGCAGAGAGTTTGAAGAAGCTCCAAAGACCTTGGAACGATCTCCAGCTAAGACCAGTCCACGTGTGTCTAAACCTTTGACTCGTTGTAATATACAGAGTCTGGGCCACAACTATGAACCACCAGGAGATAGTAAGAACGTAAGCGATTCCCATAAGGCCCAGGCCCATCACGTTAACGGTGATCCATGTCAGCAAAATCTGGAGAATGAGGGCGGCGCCTGATATATACGCGCTGGGGACAACCACGCTCTGGGCTTGCAGGAATTTTTGGGCCGTGAAATTTACGGCGAAGGCGAATATCTGAGGGATGAGCCCGACGATGTACAAAGATGCCATGTACGACACCGTTTTGGGCTCGCCTAGTAGGATTAGAATCGGGTACGAGAAGGTGTACAGTATTGTCATGGGCAGGCCAACTAGAGCGAGGACGATCGTTGCTCTTTGGAGATAGATCCCAAGCATATCGTACCGGTGGGCCCCATGTGCTTGTCCACACAGTGTTTCGACTGCACTTCCCATACCCAACTGTACAAAGGACATAAAAAGGCCAAACAAAATGTAACTATGTAAAAAAATTTGTTTTGAGGTCACATATATGATATATCTATTTGAATATACATTCTCAGTGTAAATATGAAAAGAAAATCATTTGTATTAAAAAAAACTAAGGGTGAGCATTAGACTCTGGCCAGAACCAAATTTGCGATGTACAAGTTTGTAAATTTTACAACGTTTATCAATAATATATCGTTTAGTGCCACTTTTATTTTCAATAGTGCCAACCAATCATTTTAATTGATGTACTTTTTTTTGGCTAAAGTATTTAATATCCTTATACTGTATCAAAATAACGGCTTTGCTTGAGAGAGAAAAGATGAGCCCACGAGCGAATAAAAAAAACTCATGTAAAATCATACACTACGATACAAAGAGAGAATTCATCAATGTTGTTCTTTTTGTTCGTTTTAGGAGAGTTGGATTTGCACAATTGATTGATGTTACAGGTGAAAAAGATTTGTTAAATTTATAGAAAATTTTGTGTTTTTAAAAAGTTTAACTTTAGGAATCCAAGAGATGTGTAGTAGTTGTGTTTAATATATAAAATTTTAAGAATCTATGTTTCAGTAACACTAGATTTTAATAGAATTACAAAATTAATAATAATTGTATAGTTTTGAATAACAAAGAATGTTGAATGGAATTTTAAAGTCAATAATATATTTTATTAAGGATATAGGAATCTATAAACTAATAACAATGAAAGTTATAAAAAGAATAAGAACTTTTGAAAATCCATCTACAATAAACCCTTTCCCCTCGCCTAATCTTCTTAATATTTGACTTCTATTTTAAAGCATACCAAAAAAATTATTATCGTACACATTTCATTTCCAAAGTACACTTGAAATCGTTACAAGTATTTTCTAATCCTTACAAGTTCTAAACTTCTAATTGACAAAAAAAAAAAAAAAACGTTAGATGTTATAGTAAACAAAAAAAGTCCACGATTTTGATTTTCAAACACAAAAAATCAGTTTAAATAGTAATATTTTATTTGTGTATTAAATTTCTGAAAATTGTATTTTTTTTTGGAAGTATTAGTGTATGTCAGTATGACCAAACCCGGCCATGGATGGAAGTGGACCAAGTCCATGCTTGAGGTCTTGGAATATAATATTTACTTCTGCACCTATATTTATTTTGCAGAAAACTGCTTCGTTGTTTCATGCTCTATAGACTTATAGGAGTGGAATGTTTGAACATCCACTCCCCATTTTATCATTCTTTTATAAAATAGCTAATAACTTTTCAAGACCGTTGTTAATGGACTTTTTTTTATATAAATGTTGGTAATGGACCTTTTCTCCATCTAAAAGAATGCTTTGTTAGGGGCAACGGCCAATATCATTGAAATATATTAAAAGATTTAATGCCTATATATAAATAATTATGATTGCCGATAAAAAATGATTATATTTCGGTTGAATATGTAAATATATATCAAATGGAGAAAACGGAATTTATCGATATTAACAATATATCAACATGCTCTCCACATTTATTTGATGGTGTGCACGTAAAACGTACCATGAGGCCATAGACGAGATTGAAGCAGCTGTTTCCGATAGAGGCAGCGGCGAGTTCCTGACTACCGATATGTCCGGCGAAGATACGAGTCGAGATACTCATTCCGCTGTTGACTAAATAGAGAAGTATTGCCGGAAGTGCCAACCGGAAAAGTACTTTCATCTCTATGCACGCGCCTAAGTACAAGCGCCTCCGGAACGGGAGGTTACTCTCCGCTAAAACGCTCTCGAGCGATCGGACTTTCGTCTGAGGTTTTCGCTCCGAGTCCGTCGGTGCCACCAACGGTTGCCGGAGATCGGTTCTCTCCACCGTCTCAATTGACACATCCATTGGCTATTATTTTGGTTTTTATGTTGTTTTTTTAGTGTCTAGCTTATTTAAGTGATTAGGGATTATAAACCAATTAGCGTCTATAAATAGAGAGGATTGTACAACATGTTGTAATAAAGTATTGTCGAAATTCTTTAGAGTAGTCTATAAATTTAAAACGAAAGCAATAATAGATAACATTTATATAAACTAACGTCCTAAAACAAAAATGTTTAACAAAGTTTAAAAAAAAAAATCAGGCGCTCTGGACCACCCAAACGTTTTGATTTTAGCCAAGTCGTTTAAATTTAGTTGACAGAATCAAAATCAGCCAATTTCTATCTCTGTAGTTTTTTAAAACTTTATGATAAAATAATACTAAAAGAAATAAATAATATTTTCGTCATCTTAGTCTTGACTTTTCGTGGATTTACCACGAGTCAATCAACTTAGTAAAAAAAACAAATTATTTAAAATACTTAAATACCATCTTTGGTTCTAGTCATAGAGAAAATATAAAATATAAAATATAAAATGTGTTTGTTTGTCATTTTCAATAATATGTTATAAACTTATAATAAAATGAACAGACACAAAATATCATATGATAAAGAAAGACTACGTGTGGTTGCTACTTGCTGCTGTCTTCCCAATATTGATGTAATAAAGCGAATGCCGACGACAGACAAAAATTACCAAATCATATTCAGATGTTCAGATGCGTGAAGAAGACAAACAGAAACACCTATCCTTAACGACTAGAGTCAATAGACTACAAAAAAGTAATCTTTAACCGGACAAATACTCTCTGAACCTACAAAACTAATATCGCAGCTCGTGTTTGAATCAAGGATATGCCATGACACCGACTAAAGCCTGACGACGGATTTAATCGGTTTAGCTAACCCCACTATGAATAACTTCAATATTTCCACGTGTCTACTATGCGATCTTGTAATACGATTCGTGGTACCACTATCTAGGAAAATAATACACCGTATTTGAAAACATATAAGTAGATTCTCTATTTAGATATGTCTTGCAAAATGTTGACAAAAAATGTTGTGTAAAATAATGGACCTACTTCAAAAGAAAACAATAATGATGCATGCATACAAGAAAAAAAGAAAAAAGAAAAAAGATTTGAGACTTGATGATGACGACTGACGAGCCAATGGTCCACTAATACAACATCATAAAAATATCGAAAGGAAAAAAAAAGAAAATAATCAAATATCATGGCGACCTTGACTAATGGTGTAATTTGTATAACAAAGATTAAAGACTATGAAAGACAGTATTTATCGAGCGAGAGAGTTACACTCACTTTATCAACAACAACAATATATAAGAAATAAAGATACGACTTTTTCTATACATACACAGATACACTCGTCCGAACCCCACATAGGAGAAATGATTGTTGGTAACCCTAACATAGATGACTGATGAGTAGAGGAGATAGAAAAAATACAGGACTCATTTTATATATATGCCATGGAGACAACAAGAAATAGATTGTTTTTTAACTATATCCCTCATCAAATTTAGTTACAGTTAACTTTATTATTCTATTTAATTTTTGTTATCATCTATCAACTTTTATAATCAACAACCTCTACTAGAATCAAACGACCAAGAACCTCTTTCAAACACTAACTATACTCATATATATGTGAAAATATGTATGCAAATGAACATGTGAAAATTCATATATACAATCTAAAATGTTTGTGCTAATAAAGATTCTCAACCTTTCTTACAAATTCAGTTTTTTTTTTTATCTGGGTCCATCATGTCCATCAGCGGTTGCTGGAATGGTTGTTTGATTGTTTCCACTGACTAGGCTGATACATCGAACATGAGTAATTTGTTGATACACCAGTGGAAAGCTTTTTTTTTTAAATCGGCCAGACATCGAAAAAAAAACGATATAGTTAATAAAAACATAATATGTAAAAATAAAAAAAAGTTTATAGTCGCTTTTAATACCACTAGTACTTAAATTTATTGTGATTGGTAACCAAATTAAATGATCCGAGTATGAGTTGGAATCAAACTAAATTGATCCCACTTTCTAAGAGAAAAAGAAGTTGTGCAACCATGTCCCCGTTGATATGCTAGTTAGCTTAACTACGTGTGTAACACTCCTACTATTACATCTAAATTCCCGGATAATTACGTAAAAGCAATCTTCAAGTAATAATAGATCAATTTGAAAACAATTTTTATTAGATTGAACTAGGGGATGACCCGCGTGTACACGCGGGTGTAAGCTTTATTATATATTTTTGTAATTATAATCAATATAACTTTTAAGTAATTATATCTGTGTTTCATAATACGTTTTAATTTATGTTTTGGCTGCTAGATATTTGTGAAAAAGAAATAGCATAAATATATCATTTATTTTAAAACAAGCAAATAACTTTATTGTATGAAAAAAACTTTGAAATCTATAGCTTCGGCAAGACACTGTCAATACATTTGCCCTGCAAATAGAAAGAAATTGTGATCTTATTAAAAATTTGAAATTATTATATTTGTTAGAGTTATTATTATTACAAATATGGGTGTGTACCTGATCTTTGTCCTTCAACCGATTACGTCTTCTTCATTTTCTTCTCCTGTTGGGGGTCAAATATTTAAAATATCCTATTCCAATATATTAATATTACTAAGAATCTGTTTTGCTATACCTGCATCACTGACTATGAGGTTGTTGAAAATCTCTTTGTAGACGACATTTGTTAACGATGAACTTGGTTGGTCGGCTTTTGAGTCGCTCCAAATGCTTAATCCCTCTTCTGATGTAACTCTCGACAAAGCAACATAGAGCTGGCCATGGGTAAAAACTGGTTTAGGGAGATAAATTCCTACATTCTCCAGACTTTGTCCTTGGCTTTTGTTGATGGTCATAGCATAACAAACTCTTATTGGAAATTGACGCCTCCTCATTTTGTAGGGACAATTTGTATCTGCGGTTGTCATGATGATCCTTGGAATGAGAATTTTCTTCCCAGCATTTACGCCTATCATTATCTCCGCTTCAATAACTTTTTCACCGAGACGTGTCACAACCATCCTTGTACCATTGCACAAACCTTCTTTTTGATTAATGTTTCGTAGAAGAAGTATTGGTGTGTGAACTTTTAACCGGAGTTTATGATTTGGTAATCCGGAGCACTTGAGCGCGTTGAGATACTCAGTTGTGTATAACAAGTTGACTCCATTGACATCAGTATCATCACTTGATATGCTGTCAGCACTTATGTACTCTTTCATATCTCCCTTAACCTTTGAGAGGAAGTAATCATTTATCTCATCCATCGTTTCATTCCTTGGAGTAAGGATTGCACGTGCACGGAGAAAATCGCGATCTTGATAAGCTTTTTCCAAATCTGGAAAAGTCGACTTTTGGATCTCTTCTAAAGCATTTCCACCTTTATTCAACATTAGCCTTTTATCGATTTCTATGTTGTTGTCCTCGAAAGAATCATCTTCAGGCGAAGGAACGGTTTTTGCTTCTCCATTTCCTACATCCAAAATCCACTTTGCAAACTCTTTCTCTTCAGCCCTCACCCTCATGTTTTGTTTAAGAACAAATCTTTCACATTTCCCCCACAAGTAAGACCTATTGATTGAAGCTAGAACTGTATCTTGTCTACTGCCTTGTGGAATTACTGGCAATATTTGTCTGAAATCTCCGCCTAACAACACTGTTTTTCCTCCAAATTGCTCTTCTGTATTACCCATTAGATCTCTGAGTGTACGATCGAGTGCTTCGAATGTGTGCCGATGTGCCATCGGTGCTTCATCCCATATGATCAAATCTGCTTTGATAACCAGTTCTGCAAGCATCGTTTTTGGTTTTATATCACACATCGAATGTTGGTGGAGATCTATTGGTATCTTAAATCTCGAATGAGCCGTCCTTCCTCCTGGCAACAGGGTAGCTGCAATACCCGAGGTTGCAACTGGAATATCTACTCGTCCCTCTGATCGTAGCTTTGATATTATTGTTCTGTACACAAAGGTTTTGCCTGTGCCGTAGATAAAGAACAATTTGCCCTTGGCATTGTCGATGGAATCCATGACAGCATTGTAAACAGAAGTCTGCTCTTTGTTGAGTTTGGAAAATGCTTGAGAGTGTACATCTCCTTCGTAATCAACGTTGTAAGATTGTTCTTCTCTTAGCATGGAGGTTGACATTTCTTTAAGAATGCTTTTGTTTGGCACCGGCATTCCTGGGAAATCAGACAATGACTTGTCGTTTTGGAGAAGTAGTTTCTGTATTTCTAGCAACGTATATTGTTGCAGCTGCACGTCATTTAGAAGCATTCCTTTGAAGTTGAACCTCTTTCGTTGCTTGTATAAGATATCTTCACCGAGGGTTTTCCAGCATTTGTTCCACAAATTCGAAGGCTTAGTAACTTCACAGAATAACAGTATTGTTACGAACAGTTCTCGTAACTGGTAAGGCATGGCCCACTGTGATGATTCTTCCATGACTTCGTGCCATTCTTTATCTCCATCTAAGAGGCCCATAGCATAACAGCTTTCTTTGTATGTTTTATATATGATTCCACCAACTGTTCTAATTTCTTCAAAGTTCCTACATCCTCTGACGTGATTCAACATCAGTCGTAGGAAGTATCTCTGACCCGACGATGGATGAATTGTAACTATTCGGCCGATGGTGAAACATTGCTTTCTAGGTGTCCACATCTGATCTTTTGAATTCCAAACAAAATGCATAGGGAACTCAGCATAAGTGAGGCTTCGTGCGTGTGGGTATCTTTCATTAGCTTGCATCCATCCAATGAACATTGAAATTCGCTCTTTCATTCTGGATGCAACATTTTCTGGCTTGTCTCTTTCATCGAAGACAACACTTTGCTCTCCTTCTAGATGAATAGTCAGTTTTTGAACCGCTGGCTTCTGATAGTGTATGTCAAAACTGAAAATACGCCAGACTGCTTCGCATGCCGATAAATATCGACATTCTTGGTAATTCGAGATCTCGTCTATCTGCACCTTTTCTTTTTCTCGGATTTGTTCTCCAGTTGATGTATTTTGGAAAACAATGGTGGCCTTGTCAACTCCTTTGGTGATGTACTTGAAAAGATATTTTATTGTTTTTGAAGTATTGCACCACTCAACGTTGATATGTGCTTTATACTTTTTTAATAAAGCCATATTGTGTGGGATGACGTACCGATTGTCAAGCTTTGTGCCGTTTTTGATGACAAAATTGCCTTCATCCTCTCTTCTCCTGTAAATAATATATCCTTCTTTGTCAATTGTTGTTTCCGGAACAAAAGATCTTGGATATTTTTTGGAACAAATCCCATTCTCCATGCAAGGGCTGGTTCGACGATCTAGACCACATGGACCATGCATCATGTGTTTTTTGACCAGTTCATATCCTTCAGGGTCATCGTCCTTGTTGGGTAGCTCTGCTGATATGAGTTGATCAATATCTGAAGATGCTAGATTGTGAGGGATTTGTTCCAGCCATAAGAGGATATGGGCATGAGGAAGTCCTCTTTTTTGAAACTCTATTGTATAAACCACTGTAAAAAAAAAAATTTTGTTTCATTTTCACATTTGTATAATCATTATTGGGTTTTAATTTTTGTAATAAATTAAGTAGTTAATTTTACCTGCAACGCACGGTCCAAAAATTTCTCCAGATTTTAAATCCGAAATCAAATTATCCAACTTCATCTTGAACACTCGAGAGCTGATGTCAGGTCTATCGTTTGGCAGAGCATTTCCATATGTTTGCAAATGTTCAGTGATTTCTTCCCAGTTTGGATTTGCTGTTATCGTGATAAACAGGTGGGGATTACCGAAGAAACGGCAAATGGCCATTGCATCATGATAATTGTCAATCATGTACCTTGGCCCTCCTGTAAAAGATGAAGATAAGATGATCCTTTTCCCAAGTGATTTCAAGTCCGTATCTCCTTTGCCAATTGCATCGGAAACATTATTGTAGAGATCTGCTCTGAGCGTCTTTTGGTTGTTTCTTTGAAACTTCAATCTTTCTTCTTCAATCGCTGTGTATGCATCAACAACATATTGATGGAATAGACGGCCTCCTTTGATTATCGTCATTCCTTCTGACAATCTTGTTTGAATTTGGTATGCATAGTACTCCCGAATAGTAACGTGATGTCTGCTAATTTTCTTCTTGTTAGCAGCCGCATAAGGTATTCGCAAGTGGAATCCTTCTTCTCCATAAGGAAACAACAATGGATATTGCAAAGCCATATAGTAGCGGTGCAAAGTACTTATTCTTTGCAGTTTGGATGACTTGTATTCAACTATGATATCTCGCTCTCCCTATGTTTCCTCTAAGTCTCCTATAATCAAGCCTGCTGTTTCTTCGGCTGTTGGCAAATCATTTTGTCTGCCCATTTCCTTTTTTCCAACAATGCGAATGGTGAATTCTTCATACGCTCCTGACTTAACTTTATCGCGGGCTTTCCTAAACTCTTTAGCTAGCCAATTATTTTCATCCACCATACGTATCAACTCCTCCACTACCTTTTCTTCAAGTATTTCTCGTCCACCATTTCGGGATATGAATTTCATTCGGTTCTGAATTTCATTATCAGTATCAAAAACATACAGCTGGAGAAACTTTGGAGGCGTTCCAACTACCGGTAGAATTGATCCTATCCTGTGGTGGTTTTGGCCATTAATTCTGAATGTGAATGGACCTTGACCTGACGTAACTGATTTGTCCACATTTGCACCAATAGAAGTGAAAGCTAGTAATGAGTTTGCGACTCTTATATTATCTTTGAAACTTCTATCATTCATTAGTCTGGATAAGATCTCTGGCGGCTCTTTGACTTTGGGAAGAGAAACTCTTCCCCTTTGACAGCATATAGAAAACAATGGATTTCCATCTTCAGATTTCTCGGTACTTTTGGAGTTCCAAACTAATGCGTTGCATGAAGGACAGTGAAGAAGAATATTTTCTGATTTTTTATTTTTTATTCGCTTTCTCCCTGTTTATTTGTTTTTTATATATAAGTAAAATCGTTGTTCCATATAAATAGAGAACTGGACATAGTTGGAAGGAGATATTGAATATGTACCTTTAGATGCGTTGAGAGTGGATTGTACTCCCTGATTTCCTGTGTTATAAATATGATGTAATGGGTTTGATATTTCATTTAAGTTTATTTCAATTATATTATTCATATAGTTTGTTATTCACCTTTAGCATTATGCTGTTTCTTGGTTTTAAGTATTGCACGTCTTTGATCTCTTGCTCTTTTACAAAGTACTGGAAAAATATATTAATTATGAAATGTTCTGTAACTATCGATAATAAAATTTAAAAGATTGTTATATTTAAAGAACGGACTTACCTTTGCGAGCTGTAGTAATATCCTTTTCGGATATGTTGTCTCATGCACTTGGCTCAATGAACGTCAAATTATGATCTGTTGGTTGTATAAATTATTCTGTTAATATAATGAAAATACATTTTTGTAAAGTTTTTATCCTTTTCTATACCTGATCTCTTTTTGTGGAGGATTTGTGCTCTCTTGAACCGATTTGCTTTTGATATTTCCGGAGGTACTGAAATTGCTTTACGTTTACAGGACTCCATAACACTGTTTAAGATCTCTTTGCATTAAAAATAAAAGATAATATATTTGAAAACAATAAAAACTATAATCCTTTTTATATATATATTCTACCTATATGTAATATTTTCAAAGAAAATTATAATTTTAAAAGTTTCTTAGATATTAATATTTTTACATATATAATTAAAGTCATATGAAAATAATACTAAAACTAATTAAATAATTTATTAAATATTAATATTTTTACATATACACACAGAATAAGTTAATTATTTTAATTTTAAATTCTTTTATTTTTAGTTTTTTTAAAAACATTGTTTTTGACCTCTTTTTTCTCTTGTAATTCTATCATAGGAACCAAAATATCTAATTCAGATATTTTGATTCGGAAGCAAAGTGGAACCTGTAGGGAATTTTGAATCGAGTAATTTAAAAGCCAGTTCGGTTTATTTATATATTTGACAACCGAAGTTGTAAATTAAATTAGAGAACCGAAGTTTTTGAGATCTGTTCATATGACATTTAAGAATGTTTGTGCATGTCAATTATATGGATGTGTCAGAAAAAAAGCGAAACACGTTGCCAATACATTAGTAATATATCTGGATCTGTGAAGTACAACGATGGAAAATGAATAAACCGCCGCCACATAATATCTCTTTCAAACTTGTGTTGTTTTCTTTTTGTTTGTAAACACAGAATTGCATTTGTAGTCAGAATTGATATGGTTAGTTTAGTTATATTAATCATAGACCAAACTTTTAGGAGAAGATTATCGGTGCTAATAGTATTAAAATAGGGAGAGAAAGAGATAGTGAATGCTTACAATTTTTTGAAGGTCAATAATCTCCGAATGGCTACTTCTTTGAGTATTGGTTATGGCTATTGAAGTGATAATGTATTTGCAGAGAAGTTTATAATATTACAATATAATCTGAACAGTCAGTTTAAGAATTAATTATTGCAAGGGAAGGTGGAAAGATTCATTGACTTTTTATAATAAATGATAGAACGAAAAATGATATAAAGAAAGTTGAATCCATCTTGTTAAAGAAGTGAACTTATGGTTTTTAATTACGGCAACAATTTAAGATAATATGGAAAAAAGTTCTAATTCATTCAGATTCTAAAATAAAATTGCTTTTGTCAGCAACGAAGTTTTTACCGGAGATTTGTGTTTGTAATTTGAATATAAGGTTTTAGCAGAAGGTGATCGCGAGTAATAAAAATTTAAGACGGAAGATCAAGAGTAACTATCTATCTATAACCGTGTTCTAAAATTTGTTAATTATTATGTTTTGAACAAATCGAATAACATTTGACTAATCTTAATGAAAATGGATTAGTGTGTATAGGGGCCGTCGAAGAATTTTCGGCCCATTAGCTTAGGAAATCTATCAAAAAATGGAAAAATATTGTAAACAAAGTTGAAATCATGATTTTATCAACAACTAATATTTGTCTTTCTAAGTTGGACGTCTAACATATGATTTTGTTTTGAACAATTTTAAGAACATATGACTTAAATTCAAACCTCAAAATCGATGAGTGAATGACATAAGATTTGAATGAAGTTTATGTAACCAAATTTCATTGATGTATTAATGGAAAAACAGAGAGATGTGTTCTGAGAGAAAAAAAAAAAAAAAAGCGTTTGCTCTAAGAGCGTTGAAACAAGAGATGTGTTACATAAACCCCCCCCCCCCCCAAAAAAACATCCGCTTTTCATAGCTGCAGCCAACTATCACATAGTTCGTTTCTTTTTAGCAAGATGTCCAACTCCATTTTCAAAGTCCAGTAATTCCTCGCCATTTTCTGTCTTTATCTCAACCATAATTAGCTTTTCATCGGACACATGTTCTTCTCCTTCGCTAGTCTGACCACTCTGTATTTTGACATAATTATTGATAATCGACTATCAGTGCATATGGGTGGTCTGAGAAAACTCAGGTTATGTAATGGAATATTTATTTTGTTTAGAATTGTGAAATCGTGATTGATATTAGAGTAGAATATATAAAACAGGACATACAAAATGAGGTAGATAATTTTATCAATATGTTTAAATAACTGGGAAAGTAAATACCTCTATGGTTTGGATTGTACCCGCAGAAGTTACCTCTGGCTTTTCATTCACAACTCTCGTAACTGTGAATGTTTGGAACGAAGTCCTGAAGTTGTATTTTGTTATCTTCACTTGGAAGTCCATAGTTTTGCCAATCAAACGACGAAGACACTCTGGAATCAAGTCAGGACTCTGGTTTTCTTCTTTTTCGTCCTTCTCATCCGGCTTCTGAAAATCGAGCTATATATTACACAGAATATTAAGTCAGCTTGGGAATCAAACAGCGTAGTTGAATATTTCATATATTTTTTTTTTTACCTGCGAAGCTGTAATATCTTCAGCAGTAGTGTTTGTAAGCTTTCGAACATCTTTGTCAAACAAGACAAACTTGGTGGTTGCAACGCCACATTGTACTTCTATTTCTACCCTGAATCTGGGCAAATAAAAATAAGAATGAATAAACAACTTGGATGAAGTGGAGAATGATTTATGAAATATGTTGAATACCTCAGAATTCCAATGGCATCTTCGTCGCTGCAATTGTAACATTGCAGTGATGTTTCAGTCCTATTTAATTTCCTAGAACATTTGGCACAAGACAAATAGTTTCACCCATTTCTTTCTGAAATTTCAATGATCTTGGCTTCGCATATGATCTCTTTTTCCTAGGATGAATGAATTAGTTTTTTATTTATATAGTACTTATACATGCTCGTACAGTATATAAATGAATCGAATTTAATTTGAGTACCTGTTTGTCACCAGCGGATACGAAATCCAAGAGCTGGGTAATTGTCAAGGTCCCTAAGCTGTTTGCGCTTCTCCTCTCCTCGTCAACAGTTGCCACATCAGAATCACCATCTTTAATCCCCAAGCTTTGTCAAAAAAATTTAGACAGTAAGAGATGAAGGCATAATGAATACAAATCTACAGTAATAATCGATATTGAAAACAATGAAAGCATATTAGGTTCAGCAAGTAGACCTTCCCATGAATGTTTTGACAACTTCTAAGCCGTAGTCAATATAAAACCTGGTTGATCCGCTGGAGCTTAGTTGCGGTTTTCCTACGTAGAAGCATATTTACATAATGGAATTGAGATAATGAATACGTAATTGGTAACTCGAATGAAAAAAGCTTACCTGCAAACTTTTTCGGGTTCAAAGAAGTCATTACAATCACACTACACTTGCGCTTGGTGTTTCTGAAAAGTTGGCGGAATGCAGAAGATTGGCCATCCCATAATGTGATTCGAATCTTCACTCCACTGAAAGAATGATAATAGAGAAGGTATTACCGTATTATTATATATCTTTTAGTGGGTAATAAGTTTGATATACATACTTCTGTATTAGGAGACCAACAACGATCTTTTGTGTCGAGGTGGAGTCTTCAAGATTCGATCCTTGCACTTGTATTATTTGTCCCACTATATTTGTGAACGCAAATGATAAGATTAACATATGAGGATGTAACAAATAATCATGATTTCAATATATAATATATATTGAATTGTAACGGAAATTGCATACCAACTAACTGTAAGTTGGTGTCAGCCAGAGCTTCAAGTTCCGAGTATGTGCGCAATCTGAATTTCTCTTCTTTGATTGCTATGGCATCATCTGGTACTTCAAGAAGCTGAGTGGTGTCCGTAAACCGGATTAAGAGCTCGCTGTCTGTGATTTTGTAGTGACCGTAGCTGGGTACTACTTCAAAGTCGCTCAAGAAATAAAGGTTTCCGTCTTTAAGTAGACTTTTGAATCTGTGGATACGTCGGTGGTAGATTGAAGCTTGGATAAGAGTATCCTAGTTGAAAGAGTAAAAGAAAATAGTTTGGTGAGATATAGCAATACGGCTTTGGGTGGATAGAATTAGTGTGCATGCAGGGTTTGATTTATGAAATAATGTAGTGATAGAAGAGTGGTACCTTTTCATCTAGAAGGAGTAAATCTAAACTCATGAGTGCTCCATTCAGTTTGAAGTTTCGAACTTCCCAAGAACGCAAAAGACGGACAGTAATGTTTTGGTTGGATTTCCCTAGTGCAAGTTTGTGTAACGAAATCGATGTGGGCAACAAAGTACCAAGATCGTGTCCTTCCATGTTGATCGATACAAATCTGTGAAAGAAAAAAGTACGAAGTGTTAGTACACTAATGGAATTGGATATGGAGAAATCGTTGAAACGCAGGAAACAAGTAACTTACTTGTAATCGGTGGAGGAAGGAAAGATGGAGAGAGGAAAGTCGAAGTGATTGTAAACTTTGCAGAAGGGGTTATTTATAAGAGGTTGTGGTTGAGATGGGTCTTTTCGTTATGGGGGATATAATTAATGAACACGGAAATTCATATTTACTTAATAGTTTATGAATTCGAGATGACAATAAACGGAATTTTGAATGTCAGATGTATCGAAGTCTAAGTAATTGTTGAAATGGACAAATGCAATGAACTACAATTAAAGTAGGTAAGTAGATAAAGAGGGTAACCGTAAAGACATATAACCACTTCAATGGACTATAAAATGATGCGTTCTGGTTAATAATTTTCAAACCAAAAATATTATAAAATTTTTTTTCTAACCATGAAACGTAACTTTTGCAAAGCAAGCCTCACCATGCTACCATACGACATGCTTATGGTCATACTCACTAAAGTTGGTGCTTTTTCTTCTGTGGATTTATGGTCATGCATGGTATCATGCAAAACATTTCTTGAAGTTGCAAAATACCCAGAGGTTTTACGAAGTCTTCGTTTGGAAGATGTTTTCCTACCACCTTATGAGAGGGTTCCTAACGGAATGGACTTACTCAAAGAGTGTGCCAAATCGGGTAATGTTCATGGAATATTTTTATGTGGTTTATTTAATTTCTTCTACCTTAAGAGTGTGAAGGAAGGGTTGAAGCAATTAGCAACAGCGGCAAAAGAAGCTCACTCAGAAGCTATGTACTTGTATGGAATGATCTCCCTCATAGAAGGAGTTTTTGATGAAGGTTCAAACTATCTTACTCAACTATGGAGAAATCAAGGAATAGAATCGGTGAGGCAATGTCAGATGAATGTTCGGCGGGTTGTTTTAGAGATGAGTGTCAGACAATATCGTGAATATGACATACTACTTAACCTCATGGAGATTGGAGAAGAATGTGGTCATATAAATTTGAATGAAGTGTGCGATGAATATTTTATCCGAAAGGAAATTTATCGTTTCATGGACTACATGAACTGAAAGTATCTAAGTTTGCTGTGGTGTTTCAGTAATTGTTTTTTAGTAACACATTTGCTTCCTGAAAGTTTTTTTTATATTTAGTGAAACACATTTTTTGTAATTTTTTTTTATTATTATATAGTTTTACTAATTAATAATCTATTTTTAAGCTTTACTTTTATAAGATCATAGATTACAAACGGAAGAGGAACCAACATGATATGTATGATATAAGGCATACCTAATGAAAGCAATCTTAAGCGAAAGTTTTTTTTGGCGTTGCAAGAACACAAAATATAGGGTCTTTGATTGTGACTACTACCAAGAAGAAACAAAGTGAAAGAAGTAGTATCATTACCTTGCCGCCATGTTCGTTGAATTCTTTCATATCAGCAAAGTATCCCCGACTCATCTCATCATTACTGCTCAAAATCACATCATATACGAAACATCACTGAGATTGCCGAAGAGGCCTGTTGTAAGACACGTCAAGAAATGCCAAGATTATTTAATATATTGTAGAGGCACTGAGCCACACCAAGTTTATTTAGTCAAAGCAATGACAACTAAACTCTTCCGGAGTCCTCCCGCCTTTCGCTCGCCTTATAGGAGTACTCGTCCTTTAACAAAATATTTCAACATCGATCTCTTATAGAGACTAAAAGTGAAAAACATATGTGCTTGCATCTGAACATGTGAAAGCCTTCATTCTATCAGCCAAGTAGCTTATCTCCTCATAGTATCCCGTTGCACTTTGAAAACCTGCAAGAGGATTTTTTAAAAAATAAGAAAATTCCTTGATAAAAGAATGACACACTCACAAAACTTTAGCTGAGGATACAAGAAGACTTATTATTTAACTAACCGAATGCTTCAGGATTCTTTATGGTTTCAGAGACCATGTTGTATGGATTTTGAAAACACCAAGCTGGATTCCGTTGGAGCCGAGGGTACAGAACAAAGCATATGCTTCCTCCACCATAGAAGCCTTGCACATCCCATGAATGACGATGGTAGAACTAACAAATCAATTTAGCTCGATTCCATGAAATCCCAAATTGAGAAATTCCCCGAAGCTAAAATCCTACAAAAGTGGTCTACTTAGAACCTGTACATGAGGAACATGAGCTTTCCGATTTAATCGTAGACTTGAAGTTTGATTCTTTTGGAGTGACAAAAACGAAAAAAAAGGTTACATGAATCTTCATGGTGGTCTTTGGGTCCTGAAGCCAGAACCAGCGTTGATAATGAAAATACGGTCACTTTAGGAAACAAACTTGGTTTAAACCGTTTACTATCAATCTTCAGGGTACACATATTTGTCTGCTTGTCATCCCCTAAGCATTCATAATCTACAAAAAAACCCAAAATTTCAGAATCTTTGCTCTACTGCAGAAAGCTTCATATATAATTGTCCTGAATAAAATTTCTTCCGTACCTAGCTTATTATGTCGATCCATATGAGCAGACATCGTATTCGGCATGTTTATAGTTTGGATTTAGAAAGTAGATAGCGGAAGTAGCCACCGGCATCTTTGATCTGAGAGAGTCAAAGCGCAGATCGGATCAACTTTCGTCAAATCCAGTAATGAGACGACGAAAGAGAGAAGAAGAAAGGAAGAGAGATGTATAGAAACTATTCTCCACATCGACAAACACGAAAGGAGATGGCGGAAGTAGATGGTGGATCACAATGAAAATAAAAAGGAGAGAGAAGAAGGATCTAACCTCGCGGAATGATGCCAGTTAATAGAGGAGCATCATAGCGCTGTGATCGATTCGTCTCAGCTTGTTATCTCCGTCTTCATCTCTCTCTCCTTTCTATTTAACTATGGAATTTCAAGTAATCCATTAGTTATGTATATTTTTAGATTTTAATTATACAGGTTCATTGGAACGAAATAAATAATTAAAGGAGCCCTAGATTGAAGGAATTAAAGGAGTCCTAGCTTGAAGGTGGAGGAAGAAGAAGAGGAACCCTAGATTGAAGGTAGAGGAAGAAAAAGTAGAAGACACAGAGGAAAAAAAAGAACAGCCCGTTTTCGAGAAATAGGGATAAAAAAGAACGAAAACTAAAATAGGAAAAAAAAAAAAAAAAAAGCTGAGGTGTCATAGAAGGGGTGCTGACGTGTCACCCCCTTGTGAGACACACTCAATCTTTATATAATAGATAACCACTTTAGATTATCCAACAACATTTTCGGAAGAATAAAAAAAGGAAATCTTGTGAACAATTTTGTTCTATATTTAAAAGGCTTCAGAAAGAAGGATCTTCTTTTCAAAACCACCTCCACAGACCACTCTTGTTTTCTTCTTCTTCTTTTTTGTAATACACTTTTCCATACTTGTTATATAACCTGCATTTTTAGATCATGTAATTATTAATAAAGATAAATTTAAATGTTAGCTATTTTATTTTAAAAAATTGATTAAATCCATACCCTAATTTTGGAGAGTGTCCTTCTTGTCGTCCCACATATCCAAGCGTTTTCTCGCCTTTTCCACCTAAAATATTGTATAATAATCAATTAATTCTACACATCCGTTAAACCAAATTTTACTTGTAAAATACTCCTTCTGTTTTTAAAAGGTTGATTTTTAGATTTTGTTTTTGTTTTTGAAAGATTGATATTTTACATTTTAACCAATGCATTTAGGTTTACAAGATGAATTAAAAATAAACTATTGATTTTACTTGTATAGAAAACCAAAAAAAGTAATTAATGGTATAAATATAAATAATTAATAAAGCAAGTAATTATTACTAATTTAATATGTGTGAAAAATGTCAAACATTCAATTTTTAAAAACGGATGGAGTAGATTCTAAGACAATATGGTATTGATTTGATATCATGTAACACTTTATTACCTCTTTATCCCAATCTGTTCGATACGTGACGTAAAGTAAGATGAGGGTCTGCATGAGGGTACCTCCAATCATCCCGGTCCATATTCCCTAATGTATCACCAATTTACATTTTATTTATATATAGGCATATAAATATACTAAAGCTGTAGTAATAATATATTATACAGAAAAACGAACCTTCGCTTGAAGATTGAAAGTGAAACCGAGAACACAGCCAACGGGAATACCAACAAAATAGTAACAACCAATATTCACATATGCCACGAATGTCTGCCATCCACATCCTACAGCCACTCCTGTAAACAAGTACCAAATCGAGATTTATTTTGTCCGGTACGTACACCGGTTTTTTTCTCCGGTATCAACTAAATAATTGCATGCGTACCGGACAAGACGGGCTGGATTCCGTTGAGAATGACGGTGGCGGCGAGTAAAGGACAGAGTTCAGAGACGGCTTTAGCCACATCAGAGTCCGACGTGAAAATGTAGCCGATGTAATCACGTGCCGCCATCAGGGCAAGGGCCTCCGCGATGGAGATCACGAAAGAAACAGAAGTCGCAGTCCATGTAGAGAACAACGCCGATTTTGAATTTCCTGCTCCGAGCTCATTACTTGTTCGTATACTGTTATATATATTGTTTTGTCAGTTGATGGTTTAATTTCAGCAATGTTGTCTAGTGATTTGAATTTAATTAAGTAATAATACTAACCTTGCAGCCGCATTAAAGCCAACAGAGACCATGAAGGATAATGATGAAACTGACATACTGCAACAAAAAAAAAAAATATATATATATATGTATTATATATATATATATATTTGTTTTAACATACTAATTTCGGGAAAATATATTTTATGGATCATTCCATTCCTTTCATAAAGCATGTATTTTGAACAATTCACTTATATTAAATATAGAACTTTACGGCGCCTATAGTAAATTTTGCTTTATTTGTTTTAACTTTAGCTAGCAAGTAGCAACGTTAGATTAAGAGAAAATATAATTAGTCATATCATTAAATAGGTGTCTCCCGATAATGTACACAAGACGCATAATTCACGTGCCTTATCTCGATTATTTTCCTTTTGGGGATAGATAAGTCGTAAGTTAGTTAATGAGAAGGCCTCAACCAAAAATAATCCAAACGTTAAAATGTGTTTTTTTTTTAAAATAAAAGAGATATTAATTAGTCAATGAATTTACCAGATGGTGAGACAATGTAGAGAGACACATGAATAAGAAAAATATTAAGCAGTTAAAAAATCTTATTCAAAAATATAAGAAAAAACAGGATATTAACCAGTTAAGAAGTACTTACCAGATGGAGAGACAATCTAGAGAAAGAGCAGGATCTTCGAGCAAACCAGCTAGAAGAACCAGAATCTGCGAATACCACATTTCTAGACAGATCATCACGGCGGAGCCAGCAGAGAGTTTAAAAAAGCTCCAAAGGCCTTGGAACGATTTCGAGCTAAGACCAGTCCACGTGTGTCTAAACCTTTGGTTGCATGTAATATACAAAGTCTGGGCCACAACCATAACCCACCAAGAGATAGTGAGAACACAAGCGATTCCCATAAGGCCAAAGCCCATTACTGTAATGGTGATCCACGACAGCAATATCTGGAGGAGAAGGGCGGCGCCTGAGATGTACGCGCTGGGGATCACCACGCTTTGGGCTTGGAGGAACTTCTGCGCCGTGAAGTTGACGGCGTAGGCGAAGATTTGAGGGATGAGTCCGGCGATGTAAATAGAACCCATGTACGAAACCGCTTTGGGCTCGCCTAACAGAAGTAGAATCGGGTACGAGAAGGTGTATAGTAATGTCATGGGCACACCCACTAAAGCAAGGACAATTGTTGCTCTTTGGAGATAGATCCCAAGCATATCGTACCGTTGGGCTCCATATGCTTGTCCACATAGTGTCTCCACTGCACTTCCCATTCCCAACTGCAAAAGAAAACGTAAAAATAAACCGAAAAAGCTTAACTACACCTATTCGTTACTGAACCTTTTAAAATAATATTTAACGCTTAAATAATTCATTATTAGTATTATAGTTCACTGATATGTATGTATATTTAAAAATGTGCCGATAAACATTGGTAACTGTTACGTTCAGACAAGAGTCAAGTCTATCAACTATTGTAGATATATTTTATGTTAATTTAATGGTAACGAGCTAAACGAGGGATTTTTTTTTAATTTTAAAATTTCAAGTGTTCAACTAATAGTCTTTTTTGTGTGGCTATTGACCTTAAAGGCTTAAAAATTAAAAAGATCAAAATGCAGTGGAAAGAAAAAAAACAATGATTGATTTTACAATGTAACGTGAAAACGTACCATGAGGCCATAGACGAGAAAGAAGCAGCTGGTTCCGAGGGACGCGGCGGCGAGTTCCTGACTGCCGATATGTCCGGCGAAGATACGAGCGGAGATATTCATTCCGCTGTTGACTAGATAGACAAATATTGCCGGAAGTGCCAATCGGAAAAGTAGTTTCATCTCAATACACGCGCCTAAGTACATGCGCCTCCGGTACGGGAGGCTGCTCTCCGTTAAAACGCTTTCGAGTCCGACATCTTCTTCCGGACGTTTTCGCTCCGAGTCCGTAGGATCCACCAACGGTCGCCGGAGATCGGTTCTCTCCACCGTCTCAACTGACACACCCATAGATTATTATTTGGGTTTTTATTTTATTTTTCAACGTTTTGGTTTATAACAAGTTTAACGAGAGGGGTTGCTTAAATAAAGACTGAGGTGAGGTTGGGAACTGGGCGGAGAAAGTCTCTGGGGTTTTAAGATAATCAAAATGAATATTAGAAAAATATACCCATTTGTATTTTATTGGAATTAATTAATATATTCACTCTAATTGTATATATAGCTTGATGACTCTAAGAGTTAACAGAGGTATAAATAGCTTGATGACACTCTAATTGTAACTAATTCAGTTCAATAACAGAAATATCCTTTCATAACTTTCTCTCTCGATTCATCAAAAAGAACTGAGTTCTAATTTATCTATATGATACCTCAGATATCGGCTGCGTAAAACATAGTACTTATTTAACTAATCATAAAGAATCGATGATACAGAAAAAAAGAATCTTGATGATTAAGTGAGTGTGCGCTAAAAAACAGTTATACAGAAAACAGATCTTGGTGATTAATTAAGTGTGCGCTAAAAAACAGTTATACAGAAAACAGATCTTGATGATTAAATAAGTGTACGCTAAAAAACAATTACATACAAGTTATGAGTTAGTTTAAAATTGTTTACCAAGAAGGAAATTAAAAACTAGAATGATTCTGTTAGAATTAACAAATTAAAAAGCATATGTTAACTAATTTTCAATCTGACTGTTGATAAAAAAAAATTACCATGTGCTGACGGTGCTCTATTTTTCGTTGGTTCTCAATCGTCTAGTGCTTTGATCATTTAAAATATATAAAGGTAATTTCTAAATTGTCGCTACATATTAAAAAGTTTATGATAGTACAATACTCAAGATCAACATAACTAAATATTTTAAAGATAGTTTACAGTTTCAAAATAGCTAGGTCAATGTTTCAAGATTAGTCATAGTATATATAAAAAGACAATAGAAAATGTAAAAATGTGTTAGCATGTCATCTTCACAGTTCAACAATGTTGAAATATAGTGAACACTGACGACGGAAAAGTGTTATTATCAGATTAAAAAGAACGAGTTGTCAAATATCATTCGCTCATTTTTGAAAAAAAATATTTATATATTATTAGCACTTTTATCAGAAAAACCTTGTCAAATAACAAATGAATTTCACGTTGCATGAGATATAATTTACCAATAAGATATTATTGATAGTTGGACGAATTTGTCCTTTACGAAGCTACAAGATTCCGGTACCTTTACGAATTTTGTCCTTGGTCGAATTTTATTTTTGAACTAACAACATAAAAAAAAAACAAATAACTTTTTTGTTTCATTTTCATTATTTTTTGTTTTATATTTGTTCATTTCGAAAATAATTTTTTTTGTTTATTATTTTTTCTAAATCATTTTTATTTTGTTATTCTGTCATCTAAGAATTTTCTAATAGATATGGAAGTTTTATATTATTACAATTTACAATCTAAATTAATTATATTTTTACAATTCACAATCTAAATTAATACTAATACATATCACACAATATAATAAATTGTAATTATCTTATGATGATGGGCCGTGGCATTTGGTTGGAGGAATCAAATTTGGTAAAGCGAATCGGAATTAAAATATAGTTTTTAAGTAAAAAGAAACTGTATCAAACTATATATTAATACTCAAGTTAATTTACTACGTGTGGATCACCCCTAGTATATTATTACATACATATCAACATTCCAGGATAAATAATTAATATTGTCCTCAAAAATAATAAGATCAAATTGAAAACTACTTTAAAAGAGAGTAAACCATCCATCAGATTTAGCCAAAAATGCATTTTTTTAATAAAAAAAATGAGAAATCTGATGAATAAGTAAGTTCTATATGAAAAGTTTCAAAAAGAAGGATCTTCGTTTCAAAACCACCTCCACAGACCACACTTGTTTTTATTATTTTCTTCGTTTTCCACTCCTATAATACCTGCATTTTGTAATAGTAATATGTTAATTAGTGTTCGACTACATTATTAAATATTAATGCTAACTACTTCTCAATACAAAAATTACGTACGTTTTCTTGTTAAATTCATTACTCGTTTAGTTTTGAAGAGACTCCTTCTTATCGTCCCACATATCCAATCGCTTTCTCGCCTTTTCCACCTGAATCATTGTATAACAATAATCTTAATAATTTTGACACACCCAAACCAAAACTAACTTATAAAATATAAATCAATATGATGGGACTTGATTCATGTAGCACTAACCTCTTTATCCCAATCTGTTCGATAGGTGACGTAAAGTAAGATGAGCGTCTGCATGAGGGTACCTCCAATCATCCCGGTCCATATTCCCTATAATCAAGTTCCCATAGACTTAATTTTACGATATAGTAGATAATAAAGCATATATGTATTATACCGAAATTATATTTTTTTTTAAACGAACCTTGGCTTGAAAATTGAAAGTGAAGCCGAGAATACAGCCAACGGGAATACCAACAATATAGTAACAGCCAACATTCACATATGCCACGTACGTCTGCCATCCACATCCCACAGCCACTCCTGCAAACATATACCAAAACGATATTTATTTAGCCTGATTCGGTTAACCTACACTGGTTTTCTCCGGTTTTAACTAAGAACCAATTGCATGTGTATACCGGACAAGACGGGCTGGATTCCGTTGAGAATGATGGTGACGGCGAGAAATGGACATAAGTCAGATACGGCCATAGCTACCTCAGCATCCGATGTGAAAATGTAGCTGATGTAATCACGTGATGCCATCACGGCGAGAGCCTCCGCGACGGAGATCACGAAGGAAACAAATGTCGCTGTCCATGTAGAGAACAACACCGATTTCGGATTTCCTGCTCCAAGCTCATTACTTGTCCGCACACTGTCATAGTTTTTGTCAATTTATGATTTTAGTTTCAGCAATGTTGTTGGTTAATGATTTGAAGTTAATTTGAAACATAGATACTAACCTTGCAGCTGCATTGAAGCCTACCGAGACCATGAAGGATAATGCTGAAATTGACATACTACATACACAGAAATGTCAGGCAGAAGTAAATTAGTTACGTTTCCGAATATTCTTTTACAATTACTTCTTAACAATACCTAAAAAGGGTTTCCTAAAATTACAATGATAAGAAAGATGTAAAAAAAATTGCACTCTTCACACTTGGCCTTGTCCTGTATTTTTTATATTTGTTTGGTGGATAAATATGGTCAAGACTTCAACCAAAAAGATCCAAACACTGAAAAAGAAAATTAAAAAAAATCAAGATAACAGTTTAATAATAGACTTACCAGATGGAGAGAGAATCTAGAGAGAGAGCAGGATCTTTGAGCAAACCGGCAAGAAGAACCAGAATCTGTGAATACCACATTTCAAGACAAATCATAACAGCAGAGCCAGCAGAGAGTTTGAAGAAGCTCCAAAGACCTTGGAACGATCTCCAACTAAGACCAGTCCACGTGTGTCTAAACCTTTGACTCGTTGTAATATACAAACTCTGGGCCACAACTATGACCCACCAAGAGATAGTAAGAACATAAGCAATTCCCATCAGACCGAGGCCCATTACGTAAACGGTGATCCACGACAGCGATATCTGGAGGAGAAGAACGGCGGCTGAGATGTATGCGCTAGGGGCCACCACGCTTTGAGCCTGGAGAAATTTTTGGGCCGTGAAGTTGACGGCATAAGCGAAGATCTGAGGGATGAGTCCGGCGATGTAACAAGATGCCAGGTACGACACCGTTTTGGGTTCGCCTAATAGAAGTAAAATCGGGTACGAGAAGGTGTATAGTAATGTCATGGGCAAACCAACTAGGAAGAGGACAATGGTTGCTCTTTGGAGATAGATCCCAAGCATATCATAGCGGTTGGCCCCATATGCTTGTCCACATAAAGTCTCGACTGCACTCCCCATACCTAACTGTATAAATGAAGTAAAGAAAAGTGTAAATAAATTGTAAGAATTTTTAAAAGATATATATATTCTAATGGAAATACAATAGCTGCATAACGTGAAATTTCAACTTTGTTGTTATCAGGGGTAATAATTATCATTGATACTCCTCCTGGACCTTTCATAAATAATGCTATTTTAAATTTAATCTTTTAATATGGTTTTTATTTTATATTTTCAATGTAGATTTTTTACAATTCTCCAGTACTTTTAATCTTAATGTGTTAGTGTATTATTTTAAAAGAAAATTTGATTTAGTGTATTTTTTACAGCGTTTGTTTAATATATTTGTAAAAGGTAAAATAATTTTTTTAATACTTTTCAAATATGTATGAAAAGTACATAGAATAACACTATTCTAAGGCAGAATGAGTAGTATTAAACAAATACTTAATATTCAGGATAATGACAAAATTAACTATCGAGTAGGCATCGACCGACCATAAAGAAAACGTGAACTACTTTTTTTCTCAATAAGAATAATATTTTAATAATTCTGTTATAATAAAAAAAATATTAAAAAGAAAAAATTTCAATTTTTCAACGCATACATATAATAATCATTCCACAAATTTTTTTTTTGTTCTCAAATGATTATTTCAAGATTTGATAGGAAGGTGAAGAAAACTATAAATAAACAAATACAGTACTTAAGAATATCAGTAGTGGTAAGAGATTCACATGAATTTCTAACTAATTTAATAACATTAATTTTAATATTATTTAATTATATTATTTTGTTTTAAATAAAAAAATTAATAATATAAAGATAACACATGAGATATGAGTCATTTATGAACCTCTAATAATCTCTCAATTTAAAAAATTTCTCCATTCTTTCTTTTCTCTTTTTTCAAATTTTTTTTTTTTTAATACGAGAGATTTGGTGAAAAACCCACTACTGATAATCTAATAGCATCCTTACATGCATCCTTAACCAGATGGTACATAATTTAAGAAATGCCGAATTGTCAGAAAACTAGTAAATGGATTATTTATAGATTTTTTTTGACGTGGGCATACTCGTTTAATTAATGATTATTTATAGATTTGTTGGGAAATGAAGAAAATTTTAAAAAGGATAAATTGTACAGAATAAAAAAATGGTAAAGAATAGTAGTAGTAGGTATTACTAATAGAAAAATAAGACAAGATCTAGGATGTTGTTTTGGTCAACCTATTTAGAGTATCATAAAGGCATCGTTACAGGCTGTAATTCTTAACCAAATTGTGACACTCTAGCAGTTAATAATTCAGTTTCAACACGGTGAACGAGAATAATTTTATCTTAGCTTAACCCATTTACCTCCTAAATATCCTTTTTACCATTATTAATATAATATCAACATGTCTCCACGACTCCACACATAAAAGTCAACGTACCATGAGGCCATAGACGAGACTGAAGCAGCTGTTTCCGATGGACGCGGCGGCGAGTTCTTGACCGCCTATATGTCCAGAGAAGATTCGTGCGGAGATAGTCATTCCGCTGTTGACTAAGTAGACAAGTATCGCCGGAAGTGCTAACCGGAAAAGTAGTTTCATTTCTATGCACGCGCCTAAGTACATGCGCGTCCTGTACGGAAGACTACTCTCCGTTAAAACGCTCTCGAGTCCGACGTCCAACGGAGGTTTTTGCTCCACCAAAGGTCTCCGGAGATCTGTTCTCTCCATCGTCTCATTTGACACATCCATTAGGTTTATAACAATTATAGCGAGTTTATAACAACAAAAGCGAAAAGGAAAAGGGTTTGGTTGTATAAAGACTCAGGATGAAAGAAAATGTGACAAAGAAACAAAAAAATAGCGAGGACGAAACTGAGTGGAGATGTGTGTGTGGGGTTTTCAGAAATAATCAAAATGAAGATAAGAGAAATAAACCTTGTTTGTGTGTATACATTATATAGGTGTCCTGGAAAATAGGTGTGTGCTTTTTTTTCTTTTCTTTTTTCCTTTTTAAAATGGAATAGGAGACTTTTAGAGAGCACGATATGAAACTACGGGGTGGGATCCAATAAATAACGTAAAAAGATGTTGTAAATTATTTATAGTATAAAACAATAGATCAAAGAATTTCTTTACAAAATCTATCAAAGAAAGACTGAGCACTAACAAAGTAAAGAATTTCTTTACAAAATTTGCATAGGAAAAACGTGTATAACTGAATTAACTATAAACGTCAACTATTTAACAATTTCTTTTTCATTAATTTAAGATTCTATAAATTTATAATATTGTTCCTCTACTTAATTGTTATTTAATTGTAGATTCGCACAAGATCTCACGGAAAGTTGATTTCCGCATCAGTTTATCAATCGGATCTTGAACTCAATCAAACGTGGAAGCAGTTTATATATGCAAATTCATGTTTTTTTTTAAATTACTCTCTTGACAATTTGTGATAGGATGCATCCACATGCGTTCATGCGCATGTACATACATACCAATTAGTACCAAATTTGTTTTTAGCAACAAAAAAAAAAATGCGTACATACATACCAACTATTCTGAAATTATTTAGTTCTCGTTAGTCCAAAAACAATGTTGGTGATGTTGTAATATTCAAAGTATCATATAACTAAACTTTTAAGGATCTAATACAGCAATTGTTTGTTTTTTCTTTCCTAATTCCTTTCAAAATTGGTTTGGGGATGGGCATAGTACCGGCCTACCCGGAATATCTGACTTTCACTTACTATATTTGACCGGTTTTTGAGTACTTGAGCATGAGTCCGAGCAGTTGCACACTTGCACTTACATATAAAAAACCAGTGGACACGGGAAAGAGTACTAGGAGCTTGTGTTAGTTTATCCTATTCGACCAGATTTAATTTGATCTGTCTACGATAAATAGTATCTATAATTGTTGGAAATCTCAACAAAATTAATGTTTTGCAGAGAAAAAGTAAGCTCGAATAAATAAAAATATTAAATTATCTTTGGTAAGCGTACCAACTGCTACGGGTTACCTAACATTTATTGCGGATACTCGAAATATTTGTGTCAAAAGATTATATTCGAAAATGAAATGAGTTACTAGTTCCCGGAACGAGTCGTTCGTAATATTGGTCCAATACCGATCGATACCTCGAATTTCAGATAACTAATTACTCGCTACCATCCATAATAAATAGCCACTAACGGACAGAATTATCAAATCATAAAGAAGGACTATGTGGTTAATTTGGCCACTAATAATAATAAGTGTCAAACGCGTGAAGACGAGAAATACTTTGTTCTGCTTGTTTTTTTCCCCACGTGTAGTTTGGTATTTCTAGTTAGAATTTTAACTAACTTCGAATATTGGCACGTTTCTGTTATCCTATTACACGTCTGGTATATACTATCGTATTAATTAGACTACGACGATCGTGGTAAGTGGTACTAGGAAAAATGATATAGTGCATTTGAAAGAAAAAAAGAAAAAAAAAAGAGTGGATCGAATCCTCTGGATCTGATCGTGGAAAAGAATGAGGCTGCATTTGTTTATATGTAAACAATAATGATTTACACATAAAAGAAAAAGTAAAAGATTTGAGAGCCAATGATGATGAGGTAGTGGTTGCCCAATACCAATTTATATCAAATGTAGTCTAAGATAATCCAGCTATCAGATTTTATATAGTTTTGAGATTTCTTGCTATGATCGGTATATTGTAAGAATATACTAAAAATACTGAAGCAAGTAAGTAAACTATCAAATGGAATTATTATTGGAACAAAATGTATATACTAGTGGATAATATTATAGAATAGCGAAACGTCCAAATGTAAGTTTCAACCGGTGTATGGTTGGCTAAAACGTCGCATGATATAGCTCTAGTATATATTGTCTTAAAACAAAAATAAGTAAAGCCAAAATTTAAAGAAAAAAAAAACAACTGAGAAGCACCAATTTCTTAATTTCTTATACATAAAAAGTAAGAACTGTTTTATTTTCTACAAACACGAAACCAAAATAAAGTTTGAAAAAGCAACAAATATATATATAAATTACACTTTTTTTTTTTAAATGGCCTTTACACCAATTTGTTTAAACTCACCTTCAGGCATTTCCGGCCGAAAAACAGAAAACTTTCGTTCTGATTTTATTCTGCTAACTGTTAAAGGTAAAGTTGTCAGAACTGTTGATTTAGTAATTTTGGATTTTCTCTTTCAAGGACCTTGTTTCATCTTGTTCCCATGTGGAGAAAAGATAAAAGATAGTGGAGCTCTTGTCTCGATCTCCACAGTCAAATTTCCCAAACGTTCGTGTATATAATTATAGATTAATAGACCCACGACGCAGAAACAACCACATACCATAGTTAATACTTAATAGCCATATGGCTTAAGCTTCTCAGTTTTTTTAGTTTTGTGTTATTCTTGTTTACTACTTGACTTGTTTTCGACAAACACTAAAGTAACAAAAGAGATATGCATGATCTTGACTTCTCGTCAACAAAAATATTGCCCAATTGCCCAACTGCTATTGGAATTAGCCAACTAGGAGAAGCCAAAAAACAAGAGTTGGTCAACTAAGAATCCACTTAACTATTTTAGAAACTTTTAAATAAAACTCTGTTTTAACTGTTAATCAAAATTTACACTTCATAATAAACAACTAACTTATATCCAAAAGGCATCCACAAATTTAAATTGTTTATGACTTGTAGTAGCGTCCACTAATTTATCTACATAGGACAACGAAAACGAGTATTATAGACAAACTTTGATTAAATTGGTAAAGTTGATGTATACTTTCTATTTTCCGTTTTTGCACCATCACCAGCAAGCGAGGATGGATATCAAACCTGCCAAACTAATCATACATCCATGAGTTTTATAATTTCTACTTTTGTGACAAGTCCTTTTAAGAGATAAACTTCCTAGAAACTTTTATGTATTACCAGAAATCTAAATTTATAGTGACATTATGAGTGGTGACAGAAAAACCTACGTCAGACATAACTTTGTAAGACTAAGCGAAGCAGTCCGAGTGGTCATCTAAGAAACATATTAACTCACCCAATTAGGTAGCTATTTTAATATACGGAAAGAAAATTGGATCATGCATTTTAAAATACTTTTAAATTTAAATTAATCCACATACCTTTCCTATACATACCGATTTGTTTTGTTCTAATATACATTTCCAAATAGTCAAGTTACATCTAAAAACTGTTTTTCTTATAACTTAACATCCACAATTTTTTTGTACAAATCCATACGTTATGTTTCAAAATTTTTAACTAATATTGGAAACTTTTATGTATTGAATAACGCATATATAATTCCGAGTGGTAAAATTATTATTACTACAAATTCTCAAAATTAATTTAACATCCAAGAAGAATGGTTCAAATTCATACGTTATGTTTCTATAGTTGCTATAAATTTTCTATCCAGCCATTTTTTATCTCCTAAAAATCCTACAAAATTTCACAGCAACTACAAAATCCTAAAATCCTGCAGTTGAAAATAAAACGAACCATGAATCCAGATTTTTTACCACATACTTACTCATATTTTTAGAAAAATGCTATAATTTTTTTTGTTATATTTTTATTAGATGACTTTCAAGCTGATAATGAAATCATCTACATCAACTGCCATAAGTTTCTAGTTTTTTTTTTTTTTATATAACTATTTTGTATTGAAAAACAATGGAGGGATTACAGCATGGTAAAATAACAAAGAACAACAATAATAAGGTAAAGGAAACAATGACAACAACAATGATTCCTAGTTATAACATTCAGACCAAACATATCTTAGAAACCGTAACTTTGAGACCATGCTTCATGTGGAGAATAACGGAAGGAGCTGGCTCGATCTTGTGCCCTTCAGCGACCTTAACTTCATAGCTTTGTATGATTTTCACAGCCACTGTCTTCATTTGCATCATAGCCACTTCTTTCCCCAAACAAGTTCTTGGACCGGCGTTAAATGACAAGAACTTATAAGATGGCTCATGTACCAACGTTCCATTCTTAGAAATCCATCTCTCCGGTTTGAATTCCAACGCATCTTCTCCCCAAACCGATTTCATTCTCCCTAATGAGTAGAGAGAGAACAAAATCTTCGAGTTTGCTTCGACTTTGTGTCCGCTTGGAAGAACGTCCGGTTTAGTAGGAGACTTGTGTTGGAAGGGAAGAGGTGGATAGAGCCTGAGGGCTTCGCAAATCGCGCCATGTAGATACACCAACTTCTTCAACTCCTGGGGATTGAATGAATCAGAACCATCATCAGAGTTAAAAACATCTGCCTTGGTTCTTGGAGACAGGTTTGTGTTGATTTCTTGACGAATCTTAGCCATGGCGTATTGGTTCGTACAAAGAAGCCAGAAGAGCTAGGTGAGAGCAGAGCCTGTTGTGTCTCTACCCGCTAACATGAAGGTCAAGATCGTGTCTCTAAGGAATCTGTCGTCACTCGGATTCAACAACTTGAACTTGGTCGTGTCCAAATTCATGTAAGACGTCAGCAAATCTTGAGAAGGAGAATCAACATTGTTAATCCCATGGCTTACCTCATTGCTCTTGGAAGCTATGTAATTGGAGCAAACACGATCAAAAGTCATGCGAGCTTTATTCATCTTCTTCTCAACTCCTAGACCAATCAAGCTCTGCATCTTCCACAAGATCTCCGGCTTGACATGTCTGAAGAATATCGCTTCCTCTGCATCGTCTAAAGCTCTAGCAAACTCGATCTCGGGCATTTCAATCGAGAGACAACCCGGATCATATCCAGTCGCTAAAAAACACGTAGTGTCGAAAGTGAATCTTTGGAAAACATCTTCCAAGTCCACAACGAGTTCCTCTTTAGCTACATGGTCAAGAAGTGGGACAAGTCCTTTCTCTAACTTACTCAAGCTTGTAGCCAATGAAAACCTTTGAAACTCTGGACTCATCATCATGCTTTGAGCTGATTTCCTCAGATCCTTCCACAACTCCGAATCGGCATTGAAAATCCCATCGCCCAAAACGTCGAATAGCTTCTTGAATTCGGGTCCTTTCGGGTAATTTGAGAAATTTGAGCTCATGATGTGGTGGATATTAGCAGGATCAACCGTGAGCAACATGTCGAGGCCCAAAAGACATGGGCCTATGCAAAGATAGGTTAAGTTCGTGACCTCGAGGAGCTCGGTTACAAAGTCGTAAACACGATGGATTTCGGGGAGCAATCCTGGAACCATACCGAGGAACGGCCAGTTTGTGGGACAACTAGGGTGAAGTTTCTTGTTGGTCAAGAAATATCGAAAGACTAAAAAGCAAAAGAAAGCAATGGAGATTTCAAACAAGCTTATCAAAGCCATTAGAGATAAAAAATAAAAGCTCTTTTTCTTCTCTAGAGATACTAAATGGCAGCTTGTTCTTGATGTTCGCTCATATAGGATATATATATATATATATATATAAGCATTTTCTTTGTGCGACCGTCTTTGAAACTGGAATAAAATCATACTTGGTCTCTTTTGTTTGTTTGGTATATTAAGTTTCTGGCAAGTCATAATATCTTTTGGATATGCATGTCACATATTATATTACCCACAAAGGCGGATCCACGTTGTAACAAGGGTGCTGGCAGTCTTTAAAAACTATATATTATAAACGTAAGAAATTTTTCGTAAACGTCATCAGGTTGGTCGGTTAAATTCTTTGTTGATATTTTTATTTGGGTTTGAAGTCAAATTTCTTTGATATTTTTTAGTTTATACTTAAAACCCCAAATTTGTTTTTGTTCTTTTTAATCTAAACTATATATATATATTTGTATAATTATGAAATAATTAATTTAATATATGATTAGGTGAAAAAAATTTATGGATTTGCCATTGCTCATTGCCAATCATTGGGTCTAAGTTTGTAGTCTTAGTTTCTTATCTGGTCGATCTAACCAGTAACCATATATATGTATATCACTGTATGTTGGGTTTCTTCCTCAGAATTACTATACACCCTACGACGTCCATCGACGCAATCGATCAAACGATAACAAAAAAAAGTAGAAAACATGTGTAGTAATTTAGAAGAAAATTATTCTTTTCCTTGATACGTGAATGAATAACAAAAATTATTCTTTTCCTTGATACGTGAATGAATAACTTTACACATCATTAGTCACAAAAGCACATGTACTTTAATTTCATTTTCAATAGTCTTTTTTAGAAATAGTACATAAACACCATCAGGTTTCTCTGGGTTCTTAATTACCTCTTCTCCCATAATATATGGCCTCTAGGAAGTCTTTGATTTATTTGACTCGTAAACTCAGTAATTCTTTGGATCCGAGATAAAAGAAGATTAAGTTAGTTATTAAAACTTGATATCCTGTAAATTTACATATATGTATATATGTATATATATATATATATATATATATATATGTACACACTACACACTGACTTAACTTTCCTGGTCTAATCGACTTTTGATGTGGATGATATAATTGAATGCAATACTACTTATCCTAATATCTTTTGTTCAATAAACACACCTTCTCTATTTTAGCCTTTTATGATGCAATTGGTTTTGCATCCAAACAAAACATTTGAATCTAAATGTTAAATTAGCTAACGATTTGATGTCTTCACGAAATGGCGCTTGGTCCGATTGTAGAACGGATTCCGGTCAAAGGGCTGAGTAACAGTAACACCCTCCCATGGGTGATGGGTCCAAACTTCAAAGTCTAGTTTCAAACAATATATACGGATCTTGGGACTAAAAAAAAATTGGATATATTTGCATTTAGATATTATATTCAAACGCAAAAAAAAAAAAAAATCTGACATTTATACTTTTGACGGGTAACAATTAATTCACATTTACATTAACATCTTTTTAAGATGCATGATGACTATGAAACAAGTAACCAGTAAAACTAAATTATTCAATAAAATACAATATTATAAAGGAAAAACTCTTTGTTCAAAAAAAAAAGAAAAAACTCTAGAAAAAAATTACGGTAAAATGTATATTGAAAAGAAAAACAAAACAAAGAAAGACATATTAATTACAAAACCAACCAGACATATATACATAATTTTTGTTTTGAGCAACAATCCATAATATGAATAGTTGAATTAGCTAAAATCACCGATCGAGGGGGTCAGTTTCTAGGAACACACACACGCATATCAGACTCAGCATTCGATCTCCGGGATGCTTTGTAACGCCGGTCTCCACGGCCGTTGGTGATGGTTCGATAGATTGGCAGCGAATCCAATTTGATCCCCACCGTCGGAAAGTAACTTAGAAAATACCTCTTCCGTCGTCAAACCCTTCAAAATAATGTTTCTCATGAGATCTTCAAATTCCTTCTTCGTCATCTTAATCTTAACCTCTCTTCTTTCACACGAGGATGACGAACTTGATGACGTCACGTTACTTGTTTCCCCAAGCAGCTTCTCTCCGTCGTCGTCGTCGTGGAATACGGTGGATCTTTTTCTTCTTATTCTCTCCGTCGTCGTCGTTTTGTCTATTACACATATGCAGTTACCCATTTTATTTGTTTTAATATTCTTTAACTTATTTAATCGATTGAGTTTGTGGAGGTTCAAGAACTCAGATGAGAAACCAAGTATTTATAGTGTTCCAAAGAGAAATAACCTTTTTCAGTATTAAAGAAATGGATAAAAGGCTTAAGGGAAACGGATTAGATTTGTACGGCCATGTCGGGAGGGAGGACAAAGGTTGATTAGTCGTTACGTGGAATGTCTTTTTCAAAGTTACGTTGTAATTAGTTGACCAAAGTTGTTTCATCCTCATCCAGTCACATCCTCCTTGTAAGTTGTAACTGATTTACTTCAAAAAAAAGAAAAAATTGTCAACAACGGATTTACATTTAAAAATAGTGGATAACACTATAATTTACCTTTTTACTCTAAAAACTATATATATTATCAGAAATAGTTACGAAAATTTGTGAAAATAAAAAATGATGGTATGCATATATATGTATGTTAGATCCTAAAATATACTACTGTATTTGCTACAATATTACACACATTTAAAACATTGAACCTGTCATATTATAATATTGATTACATTGAACGGAATCTTTATCTTATACTTGACATTGACTTTAATTGGTCCTTAAAATGTGCTGTTTCCTGATTTAGTTCTAGTTTCGTCTCAATTAGACTGAGCTATAAATTAAGATAAGAAACTCTAAAATTAGTATGAAACTCGTCTTGAAAGTTGAAAACAATTGTAGATTCAAAGTTTATCATTGATCGGTTGATTCAGTGCCGTATAATTTGAGGATGTGTTCAGAAGTTTTAGTAGTGCACATGAATAACCAAATTATCTGTATATTTTTATGCCTATTTTGTTTTGAAAAAGAATCGTATTAGTATATGTTTATATCATCGAAAAGAAACTATGATATTTAATAAAAATTTAAAACTAATTCTTTTTATATATATAAACTTAAATAGATTTTAATGTAATATTTTTCTTCCACTAGTTCTGATATATATAGCTAACTTAGGAAATGAAACTAAAATTATTAAATTATTAGCAAATTGGTGAAGTTGATGGGAGTGGACTAAAAGTTACTTGTTGAAATAGTTGTCTATTGTGTCGGCCGTTAGCTTCCAAAGACTTGCAACTTAGAGCAACGGTTTTACTTGTTTTTATATGTTAATCAACAAATATATTTTTAGTTGTTGAATAATTTATTTGATTTATTATACTTTTATCATTACTAAAATCGTTTCATAGCTTATAAATTTGAATTGTCGTTTATTGGGGGGGGGGGTTAATTAGCATTCTCTTTTGAAATTGTTGTACATTACTCCTGTTTCATAATAAGTGTCATTTGGAGAAAATGTATCTATATTATAACTAGATGTATTTGGATGTGTTTTAAGTTTAATACATCCAGATACATTGCAAATACATTTTCTTCAAATGACACTTATTATGAAACAGAAGAAGTATTATTTTTCTATAGTTATTCATTAATAAAAGGATTTAACCTACGTAATTATATTAAAAAAATCTGAGACGATTTTGTATGTGATAAAAAATGTTAAATACTTAAAAGGATGTTATTAAAAGGAGATACTAAACCAAATATTTGAGTTTTAATAAATTTGTAGCTAATTTTAGACGAAAAATTATTATGATTTGTTGTAAGGATACTAAAAACACCTAAATTATGAAATTTGAATCTTTATCTTTCTAATTAAAAACATCAAAATAATTAGTTTGAATTAATTCTAAAATCATATGATAATTCTCTTATATGTAGTGGAGAATCGTCATGTTGGTATTTATACAAAAAGTTAAATCACAATGTTTGGATTTATTTATTTTTTAACGAAAAGTTTTTTATTATTTGATATTGAAAGTTATTTTATTATTAGAAGTTTAATGGTAGATTTGGAGCCAAAAATTATCAAGTGTTTTTGTTTCTGGGAATTGTCCTAAAGAAGAATATACCTGATGCAGAAATCCTTCGCGTGCTAAAAAGGAATAAGTAATGAAATGGTGTTTAAGAATAGATTAAAAAAAAGAAGCTGATAATTGAAAAAAATGATTTACTTTTCGCTTTTGATGACTAGCTAAAAACAATTACTATTTTTTTTGTAAAAGAAATGATTGTGTGAACTGTGTGAAGAAGTTTCAGCTATTGCATTTGCATGGGAAGGGGATAACTTTTACGTTTATCTTGTCTAATTGTTCTGTCTTTTTCTTCCATCATTTTTCCATAGTTCACGTGTGCAAATTGTATATATTAAAATTCTAGGCCGTTGTACTTTGATTTCTTTGATCTGTGTATGAATAAGGATCTGGTCAACAGTATTGCAACTTTTCACAAAGAATAAAGAAAGAAAAATTGAACCTGGTCAACTGTTTTTATCCATTACTGAAGAATAAAGTACTGAAGTAAGGTTACGAGACGATAATTCTATTAAACTTGTGCATTTCATCTATAGGCCCAAAATAAGTAGCTGGAATAGGCCTGCCTGGTTTACTAATGCGTCGAATTTAGGAAACGTTCACAATTTTATAAATGTAAGACTGAAGCTCGTTTTCTACACGGTTCCTAAAAAGACAATTCGCTAGCTATTAGAAATTAATAAAACATATAGATACGAATAATAGAGAATTATAATATTTTTTAATCAGAAATTGGGTGGAATAACCCTTGGATTATCGCTAAGTATTGTAATAACATGAGTTTTCTTTTTCTTTCATTTTAACTAGAGCATATTGACTCGATTATCCATCATTAACTCATTTTCTATAATAAATCTTTTTGTCATTCTTATTTTCTTACGATGTTTATTATTTTTTCATTTGTATTCAATAATCATTCCTTTTAATAATTAAATACTATATGTATATTTTTTTTTATGGATATGTTAAAAAATAAAATTTTGAAAAAGACAAACTATTCAACCAAATGATAAGATATTATAAATGAAAAATAGGATAACATGTTATATAGTAGATAACATGATGTGATATAACCTTTTATTCATGCATTATTTACTAGTATATTATTGTTCACTCTTCATCTAGGTACATATTGTATTTGTATTATGAAACAATATGTTATTTAAGATCGTATATGAATATGATAAAATGATAAATCGATCTCCTTTTATTTATAAATGTAGCTAATATATAGTTGGTGGAGTATGTAAATATGTGTTTGTTCTTTGCGTTTCTATTTTCTTCCATCCATAATAACATGTGTTGTATTTCGTATATGTTACATATGAGCGTAAGTTGGAGGGAGATAAGTTAAACTTTATAATTAATCTAATCAATCATATTAAACACAAGTGATGTAAATGATGATTCAGACATGGTTCGTTGAGCTTGGATCCATGTCTAAAGACCCTAACGAAAAATAATAATAAAAAGTCTAATTATTTAATATTTATCAATCACTTCGACAATCGCGTATGGACATGTCACATGTTTATAATATAAGATTGTTTAATCAATTATATAATACAAAAAGTGAAAACGATAGAGTTTGATATATTAGTTCATTAATAAGAGCACTAATAATTGAGACAAAATAAAAAGAAGGAAATGACAGAACAACGATGAACCACATGTAGACTTTGGTAGTTTAGTTCGTCGGTCTCCATCGTTAGCCATTCACTCTCCAATCCAGAAACACACTCGTCTAGTCCGGTCTTAATCTGACTATAATCATGATTGTTGATGGGTTCAGATTAGGCCACGTGTCACTACTAATGATAAACATAGTTGGACCCGCGTGCAAAGAGTTCACACGTGTCGAACAGATGAACTGCGACATGTCTTATGTGCTTTCCCATGCGGAGATGTTAATGTAGGCTCCACCTCAGTTATAGAGGAGTTATATAAAATAAGCCAAAAATATATGTTAATTGTTTTTTAAAGTTTTTTGGTCTAAATGTTATAACTATTTTGTTTAATTTTGGTGTCATATATTGTTTACACTTTATCATCTGTTTCAAAAATGTAAAAAAACAGATTCGGAGAAAAAAACCACAAACAATTATACCTCCTTTCGAATCTTATTTTCATGCAAACTCAAGCATTCACCACCATTTACGCATATTCACGAATGCTTGCTTTAACGATTTGTGGTACATATATCATATATGTACACATAGAAAAGCTATTAGTTCATTACTTGTCGTTTTTTCCTGAGTTTATGAGAAATTTTCAAAATTAAGAGGGACGTAATCAACCTATAAACTATCCTCGATTAAAAGCTTCGCATTTAGATTGGCATATTTTCCTTGTGTTTGCACATCTCTCCCATTGGAATCTTGCTGTAGATAGTCATCTCATTATAGAGTACATCGGATCAATAGAGTTTACTACACTTAGTTACTTGTCATTTTTCTCACAAAATAAATTATTACTACTAACTAACTAAGGTGTATAAAAGATTAGAACGCATCACGGCACGTCGGTACCTAAGACTAAATTTTGAAATTAAATGATATGACGTGGACTATGTTATCTTCTTTTCAACAAAACTGAGAAAAAAATAAACAGAAAATGCAAACAGTACACTCTTCACAATTCAGTATATATCATATATGCACACACACACACACTCATCATCTTCATCCTCGATATTCACTCATAACACAAATCATACAAGAGTTCTTCCAACATATTGTAACTCACTAACTCCTAAAAAAATGCTTTAGGTCTGAATATATTATCGATCTTCACTCATAAAAACAAAGCAAAATACATGCTCATCATCATCATCCTCGTCTAGGAGTATAACGGTAATTTAACGCATAAATCGAAGCGTTTATTTATACATTTTTCTTTAGTTAAAAGACAAATATGGGCAAAGGTCGGAGATTAACAATTAGTAGGAGCGAGCGGTTTCTCGGAGATCATCACCAGTTCGGTGATCGCCACGTGGATGGAGAAACCGCCGTCGAGTTGGAGCTCATGGAAGAGGATGTCTGGTCGGTGCTCGACACTGGCGAACCAACAGACGAAAGCGCGTGGACCGCACGCTCTCTCGAGTCAAATGGTAGTGAACGGAGACGGAACGGTGGCCAAACCGTTACCGGCGATGGACGGACGAAGAGACACGTGGCGACTTCTGCGCCAATGAATGTGCCTGATTGGAGCAAGATCCTGAAAGTGGAGTCTGTCGAATCAATGCATAATAATGACGTGGCGGATGGTGATTGGGAGAGTGAGATGGTGCCGCCTCATGAGTACGTGGCGCGTAGCCGTAAAGGTGAAGGTGGTTCCTCGGTGTTTTTGGGCGTGGGGAGGACGTTGAAGGGACGAGACATGAGACGGGTCAGGGACGCCGTGTGGAGCCAAACCGGGTTCTATGGTTAATTTAGGTTCTTAATCTGATCATTAAAATTAATATTATATATGAATGTATTATGATTTGTCCATAGAGAGTTTGAGTAAATTAAGCACTACAATTAAATACAACAATGTGATGTATATCAATTTCGTCTTATTATAATCGTATATTCGGTATGTAACTTAACAATAATTAAAGTAAAATATATTCAAAACAATCGTTCGTCCGCACCTTATGACAATTGAGATTATGTTTAATTATTTTTATACAGTACATTAGAAAATTTAATGCTCTCTCTCCTCACTTAAACTCTTTAGCCTTGATTAACGAGAATGGAACATAAATTAAAACCGTTAATGTCGGCGGAACATAAATGGAAAATAAATCTCTTCTTTCACGGATAATGGTGGTAATAAACAAAATTTCTGAGATCGAGCGAGCGAAATTGCCAAAAATTCTCAGTTTTTTTAATAATATATTCCGATAAATCCCCCGATCGTGCTTGTTCTTCTTCTAACCTAGAAATGGGTTGCTTCAGCACCAAACACCGAACAACAGAGAGTGACGTCATCAATGGCAGCGTACAGAGCTCAATTCCGACAAATCAAGCTCAAACCCATGTCCCTCATGACGTCCCCGAGCCTGAGAAAGCGCTTCCTCCTCAAATCCCAATAACGACCCAGACAAATCATCATCATCATCATCATCATCATCATCCACAACAAGAACAACAACAGCAAGAACAAGAACATCAAGAATCCAAACCCGTTAATCAGTTAATCGAGGAGAAACAGGTTTTAACACCATTGAAACCCGTCGCTCTCCGAGAAACAGAGACGATTCTAGGCAAACCCTTCGAAGACATCAGGAAACTATACACACTCGGTAACGAACTAGGCCGAGGCCAGTTCGGTATAACCTACACTTGCAACGAGGTATCGACGGGGAACACGTACGCCTGCAAATCGATACTCAAAAGGAAGCTAGCGAGAAGGCAAGACAGAGACGACGTGAAGAGGGAGATTCAGATAATGCAGCATTTGTCTGGACAGCAAAACATCGTCGAGATCAGAGGCGCTTACGAGGATAGACAGTCGATACACCTTGTGATGGAGCTGTGTGGCGGCAGCGAGCTGTTCGATAGGATTATAGCTCAGGGGCATTACTCGGAGAGAGCAGCTGCTGGTGTGATTAGATCGATTCTGAGTGTCGTGCAGATTTGCCATTTCATGGGAGTGATGCATCGTGATCTCAAGCCTGAGAATTTCTTACTCTCTAGTAAAGATGAGGATGCTATGCTTAAAGCTACTGATTTTGGATTGTCTGTGTTCATCGAAGAAGGTGTGAATGCTATACAACTTGTTCTGCTTTTAATTATATGCAAATGTTTGAGATTTCTTAAGATTTCTTTAGCTACTGATAGTTTAGAACGTAGTGGTAAGCTTCAAAAACAGAGGCTTTGCAAGTTTTGTGTGAGCTTGGGAATGTGAGTGATTGTATAGAACTTGTGTGTTGTTTTTCCTTATCTGATTTTCAAGTTTTGGTTAGTTGATTCTTGTGTTCTTAAGAATTATGTGTTCGTTTTATAAATTGAAAAACAAAATTGCAGGGAAAGTATACAGGGATATAGTAGGAAGTGCTTACTATGTTGCTCCTGAGGTATTAAGACGGAGTTATGGAAAAGAAATCGATATTTGGAGTGCAGGGATTATACTATACATCTTGCTTTGTGGTGTACCTCCTTTTTGGGCAGGTAATGAAAAGCTGACAAATTGTTTGTTTATTTCGGTTTAACCAATTAAGTTTATGTGATTATAAATTGTTTTTATGTTGTCGTTGTAACATTGTAGAAACTGAGAAAGGGATATTTGATGAGATTATAAAGGGAGAGATTGATTTTGAGAGCCAACCATGGCCTTCTATATCCGAGAGTGCTAAAGACCTTGTGAGGAAGATGCTCACCAAGGACCCTAAGAAACGAATCTCTGCAGCACAGGCTCTTGGTAAAAGCTCTTTAAGATTAGTCTACTAACCAAAACATTAAGTGCGGTTTTGTAGTTAACTCACTTTGTAATGTGTGTTTTTTTTATTAGAACATCCTTGGATCATAGGAGGAGAAGCGCCTGACAAGCCTATTGATAGTGCTGTGTTATCTCGAATGAAGCAATTCCGAGCAATGAACAAGCTTAAGAAGCTAGCTCTCAAGGTAAAAACTACAAACTTCTTCTGTTCTCTTGCAACTGATTGTGTTTCTGAGATTTTGTTTTTGCAGGTTATTGCAGAGAGTCTGTCAGAAGAGGAAATCAAAGGCCTTAAAACCATGTTTGCGAATATGGATACAGATCAAAGCGGAACAATCACTTACGAAGAACTTAAAACCGGACTGGCTAAACTCGGTTCGAAACTCTCTGAAGCTGAAGTTAAACAACTCATGGAAGCTGTTAGTATTTGCCATCACTTTGCATTCTTCCATAGTTGTCTTCTTTTAAAAAGAAAAAATCTGAGAAGAGAAGCCATTTTATATTATATATGTATATGTTTCAGGCTGATGCAGATGGTAATGGAACAATAGACTACATTGAGTTTATCTCAGCAACGATGCATAGGTACAGACTGGATCGCGACGAGCACTTGTTCAAAGCCTTCCAATACTTTGACAAAGACAACAGCGGGTAAGTTCTATTTGAGTGGAACAGAGAAAATTATAGACTTATGGAGTTAGAAACTCATTCTGAGAACACTAAGAATGGATTTGGGTCACGCAGGTTTATCACAATGGATGAGTTGGAGTCAGCGATGAAAGAGTATGGTATGGGAGATGAAGCTAGCATCAAAGATATTATAGCGGAAGTAGATACAGATAATGTAAGTTTTGTTTCCTTCTCTACAGAGACATTGAAGAAGTTATGAACCAAAGACTGAGATTAACGAAGGGTCTCTCTCTTGTGCAGGATGGACGAATAAACTATGAAGAATTCTGCGCCATGATGAGAAGCGGTACCACGCAGCCACAACAAGAGAAAACTTGTTTCAGTCCATTGGTTGATTAACCGGAAAGGATGAACATAAAACAGTAACTTTGATTTCCAACATTTTGTCTAGAATCGGCGTGTGTAGAACTCAGTAGAAGTGTTGCAGAGCTAAACTTTTACAGAGTGTAGTTTATGTTGAATGGAATCTTCATTCGGTTGCAGAAACCTTTTTTGTTGCTGTTGTTGTTGATGATCGATCATTCAACGAGGAAACAAAGATTATGATAGCAATTGTTTGCTTGGCATTTAAGGCATAGAAGGAATACGTCACCATATTATGCACATACGTACAAATATATTTGCGACACCAACCCAACGTCACGCAATGACAATGACAAATATAGCGAAAAAGGCACATCGAGTTGAAATTATGGTTGAAAGAAAAAAAGTGGTTGATGAAAATGAGATTTGTTGTTTCAGCTTCCATCAACACGAAGGAGCATAGGTCTCTGGAGTACGTAGCCCGCATTCTTTAATCTCACATTCTGGATTGCTGACTTCGAACTCAAAGACTAATTCCGTGGAACTCACAGTTTTTTCGAATTGCTCCTTCGAAATTAGAGAGGATTCGATCCAAATATAAGTAAGTAATCCACAGACGACAATGGCACCATTCCTACAAGATATATACATCATATCATCAGCCTCAACGCCACCCTTCGGAACCAGCAAGACACAAGCTTTAAATCTCAGTGATGTAGGAAAATGTGTATCAGATCCATTCGATTTCATTGACAGGAAACTCCCGGTGGCTCGGTAAGTGAAGTATGTAGGCACTATTACTCCGGGAAAAGCTGCAAATCCTCGAGTCGATGTCTTGATAATAAGTTCTCTTGCTTCTTGATTCAATTTGAAGCAGTTAACAAACTTGTGAAAAGAGCAGTCTAGTCTCTCGAGGGATTCACAGTTTTCTACATATAGGATCGCTAATGAATCTGGAAGCTGTGGGAGCGAAACCAACTTTGTGCATCCCTCGATGACAAGTTTATGCAGACGAGTCATTTCCTTGACATATGGAGGAATTTCTTGTATTCTTGTGTCGCTCAAGTGGAGCCCCGTGATGAGGTCAAAAGCATGCATGGATTTGCTGAGGTTTTCAGAGTATGACATATGTAACCTATTAAGGCGAGACCATGCCCTGATTGATGGAGGAATTTCTTCGATTGCAGTTCCATTGAGCTCTAGAACTCTAATGTTTGTGGAAATCTCAGGAAAGCTTTTCAACTACGAGCAGTCAGTGAGAATAAGTTCATCAAGAGATCTCATGTTGATGTTGATCGGAAGGGCTTTTAGCTTTGAGCAACCTTTCAAATACAACTTTTCCAAATTATGAAGATTTCCAATTGAAGAAGGGAGCTCCACAAGACTTGAACAACCAATAAGATTCAGTTCTTGGAGATTAGTGGCACTTGTGAGATCAGGAAGCTCTTTTAGATTCTGGGAGCCACTCAAAACAAAGACTTCATATAAAAAAAACAGACGATAATACCGTACTTCATGGAACAGATTTCATTACCAAAAATTCCAATACGACGAATAATAGATTCGAATTAAACTGAAGTATACACTGTTTTAGAGAGAGTGTATATTTACTTACTTTTATTCCTTCCCACAATTTCTCAAGTTCGCTCCAACGCATGTTTAATTCTACGAGGAACTCCGGATTGAAATCACAATCCAAACATGTCTTCGAAAAATATTCCCAATGCAGTAATCTAACTTTTGGAGGTAGACAGCTCAGAGTTTCTATTATTACACTGGAGGGTAAACCATAGTGACGGAGTCTTAAGAATTGGACATTAGACATTCTTTCAAAGGCTCCGTTACTTATCTTCAACTCCTTCCCCAACTCACTATAATCAAAGTCTATGCCTATAATACTTGGACTACCCTGAAAAAGTAACCCAAAGATACACGAGCAAAGATGATTTGTTATCAAGTTTTGTATGGAGAAACGTACGTAGTGAAGGACTAATGTGAAAACTTACTACTGAATCATTACGTAGTACTTGGCATATTTCTCTATCATCAACCAAAAACTGACGCTTCCCAGGCTCGTTAATGGATTGTTTACGGACGATTTCTCGACCCAAACGTTCTAGCAAGTCATGCATCTCTACTAATCCCGAGTAGCTGATAGATATAAGTGATTTCTCAGCTAAAACACGAAGACGACCAGGGAAAATCTCTGCAAGTTGCGCTTCCACTTTCTCAATCCGTTCATAGTTGAAACAGCAGGCTATATGAAGAAATAAATATTGATCTTCATCGCATAAGGCATCATAACTGAACTTTAAAACACTTTCTGTTTCTCCGTCAAGTCTTGTTCTAAGTCTTGGTAGTTCCTCTTCCCACTCCTGCTTCGGCATTCCTTTCAAATAAGATCCCATAACACTTAGTGCCAAGTCTTGTAACTTCCCAAGCAAGGCTCTCAAAACCCTCATATGGATACTTTTGACCAAATGCATAAATGCAGAAGATTTCAAGAGCCTCAGCGCCAGGTGGGAAATCCACCTTGTAAATATGGTCAATCCCATGTGCTCTCAAAAGTCTTTTATCTTGCGTTGTAATGATAATCCGACTTCCAAGACCAAACCACCGAGCTTCTTTAGCCAAGGCATCTAGTTGCATCAAATGGTCCACGTCATCAAGAACCACAAGCACTCTCTTGTCCTTTAACCTGTCTGGCGCAACTCCTAAATGATGAATCTTAATATCCTCTTGGTCGATTATTTGGGACAAGAACTCTTTATGTAATTATTGCAGTTTTGCGCTATACTCATCGTAACAAGGTCTTGGATAGCGTCTTTTGATATTCTCCATGAAGACACTAAGTTGGAACAGATGAGAGTATTTGCTAAATAGAGCTCTGGCGATGGTGCTCTTACCAATTCCAGAAGGTCCCCAAATCCCTATCATCCTCACTTCAGCGAAGCCTATGCGTAAGAACGGTTCCATTTTTGTCATGTGAGCTCCCATCCCAACAAAACCGTCGAAATCACGTGATGGCACAAAATTAATTAGCGCATTTGAAACGTCAGTGGCGATTGTTCATTATTCCTAACAATTAGGCAAGATGAATACATCAATTAATTAGTCATGGCCATTAAAAAAAAAATTATCACATAAATCCTACAAAAAATTAAAATACCACAACGTTTACTTTAAACTAGGTGATCGGTCCGTACTGTGTCCGGACTATAAAATATTTTATATGTTAAATATATGGTTAATATTATATATTAAATATACTTTATTTATATATGATTAATATTATATATTAAATATACTTTATTTATATATGATTAATAATGTATTAATAATAATATTATATAATCATTTAATAATTAAAATTAATAATAAATCAAATGAAAAATATTATAAGTTTCAATAGAAATTGAAGATAAAAAAATGTTAACTCAGATTTTTAAAATACTCCAGTAGATAAAAAATGTAAATATGATAACTAAATAAACCGAAAACATTAAAATATATAATTATTTATTTTACTTTTATGGTTGGCCCGCACGCATGTGCATGTATAATTTTTTTTATAAATATAATTAGTTGTAATATTTAAGTATTGATTAATTTCTTATACATATGTAAGCGTTATGTTTTGTACATATACAGTTTTAGCGTTTAACAACAATCACATAAACATTTCATATAATTTTGTGTCTATAGAAAATTTATTATGTAAGCGTTACGTTTTTATACATATACAGTTTTAGTATTTAACAACAATCACACAAACGTTTCGTATCGTTTTGTATCTTTTGAATTTTTTATTTATTTTTTCTAACGTTTAAAGTAACATGTAATTATAAATGTAAAAGTTATATTAGATAATAATTAAATTATTATTTTATGTTTTGAATATTATATTTATCTTTCTCTTTGCACAATATAATCTTGTCAATATATATATTTTAAGTATATACTTTTTCTTGAACTATTGCTAAGTAAACCAAAATAGGTTTTACCATTACTACTTATCCTAAAAGTGGATAGATGGTTGGTCAACACATTCTTGCGTACCAACTACCAACTACCAACCACATCACCGCTGTTAGGACACAAAAAGATTTTTTTAATAAATACAAATTGACTAATAACTAAAATTAAAATTGGACTGTAATCGAGGGATTAAGAAAATGTATGCACGATAAATTTGCATGCGACTTTGATTTTTGAACAATTAATATTTATATCTATCTGCATATTTGTGAAAAGTTAAAGTATGGAATTTATGTGTCAAGAAAATAAGAAAATATATGTTTTGTAATATATATTTTTATAATGTATGATTGATTTTTTTATAAAAATTTATGTATATTATGTATATAGGTATGAGTTATAAATAAGTGAATTGTAATATTTAGGTTTTGCTTAGTTTTTCTGAAATTTTTTGCAAACATTATGATTTTACACAACACAATTTTTCAGCGTTTAACTATAATTACGAAAACCGTTTCTAATATTTTGTATTTACTCAAAAATTCTTATTTTCAGTATTTTGTGATATATGGTTTCTCAACCAAAATTATAATAAAGATTTTGTGAATTCTTATTTTCTAAAATTCTCCGGTAGCTCTCCGCTCACATCTTCGTCAAATTTTTTGCAGCCCGCAATTGCTCGCTTCCATAAACTCTATGTAACTACAGCGTTTAAACAGCTGGATACTAAAATTATATGTATATGGTTGAAAGTGTAAAATAATATATTTAATATTTAATTGTTATATTACAAAATAAGAATTCTTCTGTTTCTAACTTTGATATATATGTTAATCTTATATATAATGGATCATAACATATACAAAACTTTATTTATGAAATAATATTTTAAGATGTTGAAAAAATATATGCATGAAAGAATTAATATGTGTAAGATAATGTTTTAAATATTTCAAAATAAAAACATAAAATGGATCAAAAATATTCTTTTTTTTGTCTTCTTTGACTCGTATTTTTTTGTGTAATTCCGACAAACTTTCACATTTTGTGATCCAATTCCCCATTTTCCCCTAAAATTATCACCTAAATCCTAAAAAATTTAAAATACCACATATTTTACGTTTTTAAAATTTTAGAAAAGGAGCAGCAACTGAGTAAACTTTTATACACTTTTCGTAATTTTTTTTAATTTACCAAAGCCTATTTGTAATATATTTCAAAGCATTTCTTATATTATGTTGCTATATCCAAAAAAATGAAAATTTGTGTTTTTTTAAGTTAGTTTTTTTTTTTTTTTTTTTTTTGAACATCTGCTTTCCATATTTTTGATAGTTGAAAGATAGCAAGTAAAAATCAAGCGGGACGAACCAGTTCCTTGAATGGTAACCAGCGATTGTGGCCACCTTCTCCAAAGCTTGTCTCCATCTCCCAATATCTTCCTCAGTTTTACCAACACAAGTTTTTTGGAAAACCTTCCCAAATTTCCCGGTCAGCTTCTTTACATCAGATGGATCTACTTTATAAAAGATGACCATCATAATTTGACCGAGCTCTTCTCTGCACTTCATAATCTCCACCAACTCTTCAAGACACCACGTTGAAGAAGCGTAGTTCCTCGAGAACATGACAATCGCGATCTTAGATTCTCTAATCGCCCTTTTGAGCTCGGGGCCGATGGATTCTCCTCTCTTGATCCCATTATCGTTGAATGGTGTGATTCCTTTTCTTTCAAACTCCCTTTGAATGTGACTTAGAAAGTCTCTGCGGACATCTTCGCCGCGGAAGCTCGGAAAGACATCGTGTGTCCAGTTGTGAGACGAAGAAGATGGAGGTGATGATTGAATAGACAAAGAAGATGGAGGAACCGATGAAATGGACAAAGAAGATGGTGGTGATGATGTAGACAAAGAAGATGGAGGAATAGATGATATAGACAAAGAAGATGGAGGTGATGATTGAATAGACAAAGAAGATGGAGGAATAGATGAAATAGACAAAGAAGATGGAGGAACCGATGAAATAGACAAAGAAGATGGTGGTGATGATGTAGACAAAGAAGAATAGCCGAATTCTTTGTTTTCTTGATGGGATCTGAATTTTCGAAAAACCATGAAAAAGCCTATTGCAACAGCAACAAAGGTAAGGAAAAAGGAAGAAGAATCCATTTGTGTTGTGGAGATCAAAGGATCAATGAGCTTTCTAGAGTGAAACAAAGAGGGATTTTATATAAATGAATAAAGTGATGTAAAACGTTGACTCTATTGACTGAGAGAGATTTGTGTAAAACTTGTCACCAACAAAAATCATGAAACAGGAATTCACCAAGAATCATATGAAGAGGTAAACCGAGAGTGATTAAATTAAACTTGAAGAGAAGAAGCAATTTCAAGGAAAGCAGTGAGATCAAAATCAATGTCTCTACATTAAAACTGATGAGTTCAGATTCTTACAGGGAAAAGTGTAGAGGAATGTAGTAGGAAATGCTTACAATGTTGCTACTTGCTTCTGTGAGTATTAATATTTGGATTATTATTTTATACATCTTGCTTTCTTGGTGTGGGCAGGTAACTAAAAGCTGGCCAAATGTTTTGTTTATTTCGGTTTAACCATTAAATTAACAATAATAAATTGTTTTTATTATGTTGTTGTTTTTTGACCAAAAGTTTTAAAATTAGATACAAGAGAAAAAAATAATACAAGCCCAGCTAAGACTTTAGTGATTTTTTTGGGTCTGTGGCCCAAAGTTAACTAAGCTTTACCAAATACAAAAATTGTCAACCACATTAAAATCTATGTTACCAGAGTTGGAGCATCCGATTTTGCACCGTACTATCAATGGTCGCTAGAATGGAGTTCGCCGATATGAAATCCGAGAGGACTGGTTTCTTCTTTGCTGCAGCAGTTGCATGTTAGAGATACTGTCTTCCAAGTTTCTTCACGGCACGATGTGGCATCGTGATCCTACTGCGGCGTGATGTTTTATCAGATTGTAAGTATTTATCCCAAATCGAGCCCTCTCTACTTCCCGGATCTGTATCAACAAGCTGAATTGTAGATTTGAAAAGCAACCTTGCAGCGCGGGATTGCCCAATTCCCTCGATTGAACAGAGAGTGTAAAGTAGTAGTTAAGGGAATTCGCATTTTTGTTGTGAAGCCTGGATTGAGAAAGTCTTCAAGATTAGTTCTACTAACCAAAACATTAAATGCGGTTTTGTAGTTAACTTGTTTTGCAATGTGTTTTTTTTTTTAGAACATCGTTAGATCATAGGAGGAGAAGAGAAGCCTATTGATAGTGCTGTGTTATCTCTGATTTTTTGTAGGTTATTGCAGAGAGTCTGTCAGAAGAGGAAATCAAAGGCCTTAAAACCATGTTTGCGAATATGGATACAGATCAAAGCGGAACAATCACTTACGAAGACCTTAAAACTTGATTGGCTAAACTCGGTTCTAAACTCTCTGAAGCTGAAGTTAAACAACTTATGGAAGCTGTTAGTATTTGCCATCTCTTTCCCTATTATTCCATAGTCGTCTTCTTTTAAAAAGAAAGAATCTGAGAGGACTAAGCCATTTTATATGTTTCAGGCTGATGTAGATGGGAATGGAACAATCGACTACATCGAGTTTATCTCAGCAACGATGCATAGATACAGATTGGATCGTGACGAGCACTTATTCAAAGCCTTTCAATACTTTGACAAAGACAACAGCGGGTAAGTTGTATTTGAGTGGAACAGAGGAAACTATATAGACTTATGAAGTTAGAACTCATTTTGAGAACACTAAGAATGGATTTGGGTCACGCAGGTTTATCACAATGGATGAGTTGGAGTCAGCGATGAAAGAGTATGGTATGGGAGATGAAGCTAGCATCAAAGATATTATAGCGGAAGTAGATACGGATAATGTAAGTTTTGTTTCCTTCTCTACATAGACATCGAAGATGTTATTGTGAGCCAAAGATTGAGATTAACAAAGGGTCTCTCTCTTGTGCAGGATGGACGAATAAACTATGAAGAATTCTGCGCCATGATGAGAAGCGGTCCCACGCAGGCACAACAAGGGAAAACTTGTTCCAGTCCATTGGTTGATTAATCGAAAAGGAGGAACATAAAACAGTAACTTTGATCCCCAAACATTTTGTCTAGAATCGCGTGTGTAGAACTCAGTATAAGTGTTGCAGAGCTAAACTTTTACAGAAAGTAGTTTATGTTGAATGGAATCTTCATTCGGTTGCAGAAACCTTTTTTGTTGCTGTTGTTGTTGATGATCGATCATTCAACGAGGAAACAAAGATTATGATAGCAATTGTTTGCTTGGCATTTAAGGCATAGAAGGAATACATCACCATATTATGATTCATACGTACAAATATATTTGCGACACCAACCCAACGTCACGCAATGACAACCTTACACAAATATACAGCTAAAAAGGCTCATGAGTTGAAATTATGGTTGAAAGAAAAAAAGTGGTTGATGAAAATGAGATTTGTTGTTTCAGCTTCCATCAACACGAAGGAGCATAGGTCTCTGGAGTACGTATCCCGCATTCTTTAATCTCACATTCTGGATTGCTGACTTCGAACTCAAAGACTAATTCAGTGGAACTCACAGTTTTTTCAAATTCGAATACGTACAGATGCTCCTTTGAAGGTGGAGAGTTTTTGATCAGAATCCGAGCAGGTATATTAGAGACGACAATGCCACCATTCAGTTTCTCCTCGATCTTACAATATATAACATACGCCATATCATCATCCTCAACGTCACCCTTCGGATCCAGCAAGACACAAGCTTTAAATCTCAACGATGTAGGACAAAACGTATCAGATCCATTCAATTTCATTGACAGGGAACTCCCGCTGGCTCGGTAAGTGAAGTATGTAGGCACTGTTTCTCCGGGAAAAGCTGCAGACTCTGTAGTCGATGTCTTGATGATAAGGTCCCTTGCTTCTTGATTCAGTTTGAAACAGTTAACAAACTTGAGTCTACGAAACTCTTTACTGCTAAAAGAGCAGTCTAGTCTCTCGAGGGATTCACAGTTTTCTGCATATAGGATCGCTAATGAATTTGGAAGCTGTGAGAGCGAAACCAGCTTTGTGCATCCCTCGATTACAAGTTTATACAGACGAGACATTTCCTTAACACATGGAGGAATTCTTTCTATTGCAGTTCCCTTGAGAATCAGACGTCTAATGTTTGTGGAAATCTCAGGGAAGCTTTTCAACGACGAGCAGTCACTGAGATCAAGTTGGTCAAGAGATCTCATGTTGATGTTGATCGGAAGGGACTTTAGCTTGGAGCAGCCTTTCAAATACAACTTTTCCAAATTATGAAGATTTCCAATAAAAGAAGGGAGCTCCACAAGACTTGAGCATCTCTTGAGAGACAAGTACGTGAGACTAGCCATATTCCCAATAGAAGAAGGGAGCTCCACAAGACTTGAGCATCCCTTGAGAGACAACCACGTGAGACTAGCCATATTCCCAATAGAAGAGGGGAGCTCCACAAGACTTGAGCATCCCTCCAGCGTGAGACTAGCCATATCCTCAATAGAAGAGGAGAGCTCCAGATGACTTGAGCATCCCTCGCGCGTGAGACTAGCCATATCCCCAATAGAAGAGGGGAGCTCCACAAGACTTGAGCATCCCTCGAGCGTGAGATTAGTTATATTCCCAATAGAAGAGGGGAGCTCCACAAGACTTGAGCATCCCTCTAGAGTGAGATTAGTTAAATTCCCAATAGAAGAGGGGAGCTCCACAAGACTTGAGCATCGGTTGAGAGACAACCACGTGAGACTAGCCATATTCCCAATAAAAGAGGGGAGCTCCATTAGACTTGAGCAATAACAAAGATTCAGACCTGGGAGATTAATAGCATTCCTAATAGAAGAGGGGAGCTCCATTAGACTTGAGCAATAACTAAGATTCAGTTCTCGGAGATTAGTGGCATTTGAGAGATCAGGAAGCTCTTTTAGATTCTCGGAATGACTCAAATCCATCCACTTGAGATTTCTAATCATCTGTACAGAATTAAAAGACAAGATTAAAAAAAAACAGACGATAATACTAATACGAAAGGTCAGCTAAGATCACTTTTTCAGTGTTTCCAAAAGGACGAATTATAGATTCGAATCAAACTGAAGTGTATACACTGTTTTAGGGAGAGTGTATATTTACTTACTTTAATTCCTTCCCACAATTTCTCAAGTTTGCTGCTAGGCATCTTTAGTTCTACGAGGAACTCCGGATTAAAATTACAAGGCAGACATGTCTTCGGAAAATATTCCCAATGCAGTAATCTAAGTTTTGGAGGCAGACATGTCTTCGGAAAATCATCCGAATGCAGTAAGCTCAGACTTCCTATGACACTAAAGGGACATGTCTCGTAAAAATCATCCCAATCCAGTAAGCTCAGACTTTCTATGGGACTAGAGGGACATGTCATCGGAAAATAATCCCAATGCAGCAAACCCTTGGAAGAACGGAGTCTTAAGAATTGGACACTGGACATTCTTTCAAAGGCTCCGTCGCTTATCTTCAAGTACTCCATCCCCAACTCCGAATAATCCAAGTCTATGCCTATAACACTTGGACTACCCTGCAAAAAAACTCAAAGATACATAAGCAAAGATAATTTGTTATCAAGTTTTGTAGGGAGAAACGTAAGTAGTGAAGGACTAATGTGAAAACTTACTACTGAATCATTACGTAGTACTTGGCATATTTCTCTACCATCAACCAAAAACTGACGCTTTCCAGGCTCGTTAATGGATTTACGAACAATTTCTCTACCCAAACGTTGTAGCAAGTCATGCATCTCTATACATCCCAAGGGTCCGATAGATATAAGAGATTTCTCAGCTAAAACACGAAGACCACCTTTCACACCAGAGAAATTCTCTGCAAGACATGCTTCCACTTTCTCAATTGGTTCTTTGTTGAAAAGGCAGGCTATATGAAGAAATAAAGCTTGATCTTCATCGCATAAGGCATCATAACTGAACTTTAAAACACTTTCTGTTTCTCCGTCAAGTCTTGTTCTTAGCCTTGGTAGTTCCTCTTCCCACTTCTCCTTGGGTATTCCTTTCAAATAAGATCCCATAACCCTTAGTGCCCAAGGGAGTTTACCAGCAAGTCTTGTAACTTCCCAAGCAAGTTTCTCAAAACCTTCATATGGATAATTTTGATCAAAAGCGTACATGCAGAAAATTTCAAGAGCCTCAGCGCCAGGTGGAAATTCCACCTCGTAAATATGTTTAATCCCATGTGCTTTCAAAAGTCTTTTATCTTGCGTTGTGATGATAATCCGACTTCCAGGACCAAACCACCGATCTTCTTTCGCCAAGGCATCTAGTTGCATCAAATGGTCCACATCATCAAGAACCACAAACACTCTCTTGTATTTTAACCTGTCTGGCGCAACTCCTAAATGATGAATGTTTATATCCTCATGGTTCATTAATTGGGGCCAGAACTCTTTCTGTAATTTCAGTTTCGCACTATACTCATCGTAACAAGGTCTTGAACAGCGGCTTTTGATATTCTCCATGAAGACACTAAGTTGGAACTGATGAGAGTATTTGCTAGATAGAGCTCTGGCGATGGTGCTCTTACCAATCCCAGAAGGTCCCCAAATCCCTATCATCCTCACTTCATCGGAGCCTATGCGTAAGAACGGTTCCATTTTCACCATGTGAGCTCCCATCCCAACAAAACCGTCGAAATCACTTGATGGCACAGTATAAAGTAGCTTCTTTAAAACGTCAGTGGCGATTTTTTCGATCATGGCCGCTTCATCTTTCCTAACAAGTGGAAAGATGAATATATCAATTAATTAGTCATGGCCATTTAAAATTTCATTTTTTTTATCACATAAATCCTAAGAAAATTTTAATACCACAACGTAAAAAAAAAAAAAAAAAATACCACACCGTTTACGTTAAGTAACTCAGTAAGCTTTTATTAAATTTTTTTTTTTTTGGTAAAGGATTGGAGACTAAAGTCTACACGATTTATTACAACTCAAACACATTATAAACGAACAGAACGTGCTGAAGTAACCCTGTAACATCATCCGAAAGAATCGAGCGAAGTTCAACCGTGGTTCCTCAAGCTAATGAAAACCTAACGATAAGGAGAAGGCGTGGTTAGCGAGCCCATCCGCAGCTCAATTAGCCTCTCTATAAACATGTGAAACCCGGACTAACCAGTCCTAAGCCGTGGCACAAACGTACCAGGAAGGATAGAGGATGCAAGTCAGCAATTCCTCCTTTCAGAAAATCAACCACTATCGCTGAATCCACTTCGAGCTCCAGACGAGGAACCCTCTGCTCCCACACGATATACAACCCATAATAAACACCCCATAACTCAGTCACCGGGGTGGAACAGATCCCTATGTTCAGAGTGAAACCGCCTTGCCATATACCATTTTCATCACACAAGAGACCTCTTGCAGTTGCCAAGCCCAGGTTCCCGTGTGATGCGCCATCGGTATTCAGTTTCATCCAGCCTTCACTCGGTGTTTTCTATGTGATAAGTATCTCCTCCTGCCATCTCAGATTAATATTACCTCGTAATTTTGAATGCGAGTCTACCACCTCCTTAGCTAGATCCTTGACAAATCTCACTCGATCTCTACATCTGCCAATTGATCCAAACACGTTCTCACATCTCCACTTTCATGCCTACCATATAGCTACAGCAAATAGTGAAGACCAGAGACAACCTGTAACGCCCCCGACCGTCCTTACCGGCGAATCACCCATCCCTCTGCCGGGCTCGTGGGCCCCGCCCTTGTCCGACGGCCGGTGCGTTATTTTTTCCGGACCCCAACCGACTTATTTACTGACCCTGCAATCACCACATGATCTTTCTCCGTGTTTTGGCCTCACTCACACGGTTTCGGAAATCACTTCCCGAAAGGTCACCCATCCTAGTCCTACTCCAGCTCAAGCACCCTTAACTGTGGAGTTCTCTCGGGACCAGTGACCAAAAAGATATGTGCACTTTGATGACATAGGTAGCCAAATTAATCCATTTAAACTTATTCAAATGGGCCGGGCCCAGGTCGTTACAATTCTCCCCCACTAAACGGGAATTCGTCCCCGAATTCTGATCCCGATAGTGTGAGCCTTAACCCCCAAACCCTAGGACAGTCTCCTGGGACAGAACCAGTTTGACTAACCTGGCTCTGATACCACTTGTAACGCCCCCGACCGCCCCTACTGGCGAGTCACCCATCCCTCTGCCGGGCTCGTGGGCCCCGCCTTTGTCCGACGGCCGGTGCGTTATTTTTTCCGGACCCCAACCGACTTATATACTGACCCTACAATCACCACATGATCTTTCTCCGTGTTTTGGCCTCACTCACACGGTTTCGGAAATCACTTCCCGAAAGGTCACCCATCCTAGTCCTACTCCAGCTTAAGCACCCTTAACTGTGGAGTTCTCTCGGGACCAGTGACCGAAAAGATAAGTGCACTTTGATGACATAGGTAGCCAAATTAATCCATTTAAACTTATTCAAATGGGCTGGGCCCGGGTCGTTACACAACCTCTCACCTCCGAATGATCCCCCAAATTCTCATAGATCCATATAATAAGAGATATTGCAAAGAAGCGTTCACTCCTACCAGTTGGGACAATTCTAATCCAGATACCTTCTATTGCTGGACAATCTCTGAGGACATGTATTATAGATTCTTCCCCTCCATGGCATACTTCACAAATAGCTGTGCTGCTTAGATGTCTCTGCAGACTCTCTGTATTTGTCATGAGAACCTGCTGACCACGAACTAAATGAACATCTTCACTCTTTCAATGGTTACAACGTGCCACACACGATCAAATAAACTCTGCGAGTTATATGTTGGCTTTTCTTGTCTTGTTATTAGAGTGTATGCCGATTTCACAGTGAAAACGCCATCTTGGCTCTCTCCCTACATGATTGTCTTTATCCCCTGTAACATTATCTACAACCATTGATGTTAATTGTAGTCTGACATGCGAGGAGATGTATGGTACAATACTGGGCATACGACTCCGTTTCTCCATAACTCACAGACTTTAACATTGAAAAGTTCTTCTGGCATTTCGTGTTCCACCACATCTAACAGTGGCACATTAATGAGCCATTTATCCCTCCAGAAACGAATTTTCCGTCCATCCCCAATAATCCAGCTTAATCCTAGGAACACCATTACACATAAGCCCAACACCACACTCCGCCAGGTAGAAGACCAACTGCCCTTCGACCTCAACCATGTTAGATCATGGGTACCCATAACCTTGTATTTACTTCGAAGCATTCTCGCCCAAAGACTAGAGTTATCTTGCAATAAGCGCCATCCCAACTTCCCTAGCAGGGCTTTATTCATATCCCCAGCCAGACGGATCCCCAATCCCTAGCAGGGCTTCGAAGCAAACTTTTTCCCACGCCACGAGATGCTGTTTTCTGTGCTCAGAATCATCACCCCACAAGAAGGCCCTTGAGACTTTATCCAACTGCAGCAGGATTGATTTCGGTAGAGATATTGTACTCATTGTGTGGACTGGTAGAGATGAGAGTACAGCCTTTGTCGAAGTCATCCTCCCAGCAAAGTTCAATAACCTTCCCTTCCAGCCTGCTAGTCTTGAGGAGACTCTCTCAAGTACTTCCCCAAATGTGTTCTTGTTAATACGTTTCTGGAGGATCGGCATTCCCAAATATTTCCCCAAATCTCGAGTTGATTGTATACCACTCGCTGCACTTATCAATCTCTCCATCTCACGAGTAACATTACCCGAGAAGAAGATTGTTGACTTCTCCAGGCTTACCTTTTATCCAGATGCCAAATAGAACCTTTCTAGAACCCTTCGTATCACTCGTACTTAGGCTACAAACGCCTCAACAAACCAAATCAGGTCTTCTGCAAAACATATATGTGACAGTTTCGGTCCTCCACGGGATATATTGATCGGTTTCCATTCTTTCTTAGCTATAGACCCCTCAATGAGATTGTACAGTCTCTCCAAGCAGAGCACAAACAGGTACGGCGACAGGGGATCGCCTTGTCTCAGCCCACGCTGTGGTTTGAAGTCATTCGTCTTCTCTCCATTCCACAATATACTCATAGATGGACCCGTAACGCACTGCATTATCCAGCCCACCCACGACTCAGGCAATTTCACTGCTCGTAACGTATCTTCTAGGAAATTCCATCTGATCCTGTCATAAGCTTTCGCAAAGTCAAGTTTCAGAAGCACCAAGCCCTTTCTACCCTTCTTACGCCTCATTGAGTGTACAGCTTCTTGGACTACGACTATATTATCCATACTTAAACGCCCTGGTATGAAGCTCGCTTGTGCTGAGCCAATCAACTTCGGCATAATTTGCTTCAGCCTCAAAACCATAGTCTTAGTAGTTGTTCTAAATAAAACATTACATAGGCTAATCGGCCTAAACTGCGTTATCCTCACCGGTTTCAACACTTTCGGGATAAGGACTACCAACGCATCATTCGTACCAGT